GCGTGTACTGTATGTACATGTACAAGGAATGATCACTTCCATCACCTTGATCACCTTGCCGCAGAGGTGCGAGGCCACGCGGACCTTCAAAGAAGTATCAATCTCACGAGCACTGTAGAGCTATCCTATCGAGCTGCTCATGATAGCGACAAGCGCCATTCGGTCTCACCGTACGAATACGAAAGGCGTTGGCCAGAGCCGAAATGGCGCGTGGAAAGAGTTTGTCGTCTTCTTGAAACGAATGCTCCAAGACAACCCTGCTACCGTCGCACTGTCCTCACTTCTAAGTTGGCTTTCTTGCCTAGATCTCATGCTCTGTGTTACAGGATAAAAATACGTTCCTTTCCTTCACACAATAAACTAAGCGCTGCGCATATGCATGGTAGCACATGTGCGTCTACCTCATCATCCTCGGCCTAGTCGCAACCCCGCATTCAATATAAACGGCCAAGCATGAATGCGGCAGTAGTCTCCATGAGTACAGCAACATGCACACGCTTCCGTCTGCCAATAAATGTACACTGCAGAAACGTGGCAATAGTTACCGATTTTGGATACCTAATGCACAAATTCGTCTATTCCTCTACCACTAAGTCCCATCTATACCTAACAGACTAAGTTTAGGTGTGCGCCTGCATACCCCCCATTGCCAAGTCATTCCAGAAGCTATCACTGCCCTTTCTGAGCGCTTTTCTCGAATGCTGCGGCGAGGATGCCGCATCATGACAGCGTCTTGGCATCGGCCCCTCACGTCCTCCCTCGATCAATCCACGACGTGGGCCGGACTTCGAATCGCATCATCACCATGTCGTTTCTTTCGCTGTTCTGAGGAGGCCGCGCAAGCTGCTGAGTGCTCATCCACTGGGCGTCATCCTTGCATGTGAATTAGCTGACTGACACCCCATAGCGAGAACTTCGCCCTCTCTGTCAAGTGGAGGCGGTGATATCAGGCCTGCCTCTGTCAACGGCCCCCGAAAGAAGTTGAGGACGGTCTGGTATCCCTCAGCGTAATTGGGATCATGCACCTGGCGGTTCCATCTACCCGCATGGCGGAGCTCTTCCACTAAAAGACGACTTTTCCCTTGCATCAAGCTCGCATTGACTGTTTCTTATGGGAACTCGATTGCTTCAGTGCACTAGAACTTGCCACTTTTCCCTTTTACCGCCTTAGCCGGCGTCAGTATGGAATGTTGGTGGCGTTGTGTGGCATCTGTAGCCATCGGGATGCCACTTCCGCGGTTTTTCTGCTCACCTACCACTCAAGCAATGTCGTCTTCCCAAGTACCGCACTTATTTCCGTCGATTCCTTCATTCTCGAGGTGGTGATTACCTGGAGCACGTCGCCATTGTACACAAACATAGTCAAAGAGGTCGGTAAAAACACCGTACCAATACATAAGTTTGGGCACTCCTTGCAGCTGCTTGGAGTAGCCCATTAAGCTTTAGAAACTCGAACTGCAATGTAGAGGTCAACACAGTGGATATTAGACTACCTTTCAACTGCTTAAAGACATGTTAGCTAGGACACTCTTTACAGTAGTATCAAGAGAGCAAGAGTGGAGCCGGAGCTGTCATATATCGGTGTGCCCAATCTTATAACCTAGTACTGTAATGCTACCAGCTTGAAACCTCTCCCAGCTCCACGAACCAGGGAAACGGTGATTGAAAAACTCCAATACGTTCCCAAAAACTAAAACATCATGTGCAGAACTAGGTCATAACTTTGAGCATACGGATATATCACTGCTTTGGCTCCATTCTTGCTCGATCGACACCACCGTGGGGAACACCCTAGCTAGCAGATATTAGCTTCGTCTAAAGCCTATTAGGGTACCCCAAGCAGTTGCAAGAAGCTTCCAGACTTATGTCCTAGTACTGTAGAGTTTTCTGCATGGCAATCCATCGTCCGCGTAAGCTGTTCTATTTAACATTGTTCGACACGCTCTAAAGGCCTCTAACACGTTCTAGATAATCAAGACACGATGTACCAAATGTGGCGTCGAAAACTAGGCTACCGCTTGGACGGCCCTATAAGTCCCCGGTACTTAACAAAAAGTCAACATATAACGTAGAAGTCCACCACGCCGCGGTCCAGCAACAAAGTGACAGAGGGTACCCTATGCCAAGATAGCCTGCTCATAGACTCCTCTTGCGATATCGGAGATGCCAAAACGATCGTAAAGACAACCCCATATCCAGTCTGCCAGCATTGCGAAATTACAGCAAGGAACACCTCATCACCAGCCTGGCTCTGAAGTTGATGTTCACAAACAACAATACAATATGTCGCGCTCGCTATTTCCCTTCGTTATTCACGGGTCGTACTTTTTGATTGGTATAAAAGGAGTCCTACTGCTAGATTCTTCCCTCCGTACCAAAATATTCTACCATATCCACCCACAATCTCGATCATTAAACCTTCTATTAGCCCCTCCCTCCGCCCCTCCCTCCTGTATCTCACAAGTACCAGAACTTTCCCCAACATCAAGGCCTTCGTGTTAGCAAACACACCAACATTTCCAAGCATACACCCCACAATGCCACCAATGGATGTTTGGAGATGCTGCAGCTGCAACACCCTCTGGCAAGGCAAGTTCTGGGTTGTCCACAGAGACCTCGCGTGCAGAGACTGCGGCCATTATCAGTGTCCGAGTTGTCGAGTGTGGGAGAGGGGCATCCGGCGATACTAGGGTGATTTCTAATAAAAGCGGAAAGTTGCACGAAGGAGTCCTCCTGAAGGACCTGGTGGCATTAAAATTAGGCTCATCTGCAATATAGAAGCTACCTTCTGGGTATAACTGCAAATGTTGTGCCCCTTTTAGACGGCCAATGGTTCCTTTTTTGCTTGCTAGACAGCATGTGCTAGTTAGCACCAGCTTCCTCAGCCCCTCGGCCAAGCCGCGTCAAACAAAACTGCCAAAGCTTGTGTGCGAAATCGCATGGACTAGTTAGCTCCCGTTTTTCGTGCTCCTCCGCTATGCCAAAATCACCCCGTAATTCCATGGCCTGCCTAATTCAGAGGGCCGCATCGTTCACCCTCACCCGCCTCAGCCCCTCCCCCCCCAACAGCGCCTCATAAACCTAACCCTCCAGATTACCACTCACTCCCACCCACGAACTCGTCAAAAACCCAGAAAAAAGTAGCACCCGCACACCCGCAATCCCCTCCCCCCGCGCGGGGAGCCCTCTCCAGCGCACGCACGAAATAGTCCCGCGCCAACCCGCCCCTTAGCGAAACCGCCGTGTTCGCGACGAACGCGGGCAGTCTGCGGTGCGCGAGGTAGAGCGCAGGCAGGAAGGCGGGAGGGCGCGTCGATGTGCTCGTGCACTGCGATAGTAGCGGGGGGAGGTAGTGGCGAAGACGTGGGTGTAGATTTCGTCGCGGAGCTCGCGCGGGAAGTCGAAGAAGGTGAGGCGGGGGCTGTGGGTGGGGTGGTGGCCGAAGGGGGTTGGCGGAGGACGGTGGGCTAGGTTATGGTGGTTGTGGGCGGGTTTGAGGGGGGCGGGGAGAGGGATAGGGGGAGGAGCGGGGAGATTGCGGAGGGAGAGAGGTATGGTGGAGTAGTGATGGTAGGGAGAGGCGTCGGGGAGAAGAGGAGGGTGCGCTGGGGGTGGTGTAGATACACTATGCCAGTAGATCGCGCACGCGGTGAATGATATGCTTTTAGATCACGTGGATCGCGACCAGTGCCTTTGGATGTTTAGGTCCTTATTGTGTTCGATAGCTGCACGTCGCTTCTGCATGACGGTCATACTGTTAATACTTGGGGGTATCCGTCGATTCCTTCACCAAAGCATCAGCTCAAGGATGTGCGTAGTGACGTTGCGAAAGGTTTACAGTATGGTGTCCTTGTTTGCCATTACACGAGTCCACACCCCTCACACGCCCGATGCCCACACCCGCGACACGCTTTGTTCTCATGAAACCTCATTTGGCTCTCCACGCGCCGGCATTGGCAGCATTTACGGAAGACGCCCTCGACTGCTCGTCTTCGAGTAGCTGTTGCCGTGGAGGCAGTAGATCGTGTCTGCGCGGTGTTTTGTTATATGGTTGGATCAAGTTGAAGTAGTTGTATGTAGAGCCGGAAGATCGGAGATCGAAGGGTATGTGGTTTGGAAGAGGATGTTCGTGTATGGCTGATAATGCGTCCCTAGAGTGTGGAGTCCTACGCTACTCTTTCTTTGATGTGATGATCTGAAAACCTTAAGTTGAGGATGTGGAAATGAAAGGTTTTTGTAGTTGAGAAGTGTCAAGCTTTCCAAACGCGACCGACGTTGATGTTGATCGATATATTAGTGTCTCAGGAACAACGGGTGAAGAACAAGCCACGAATGCCACCCAGCAGCCACCTCACACTCTCAATCTCCTAGGCCTACACGTTCCTCACCAAGCGAACGGTCACGGGGATAGGTTATTGGACAAATTCTGATTCGGCATCCTACCGCCACTAAAGAGAAGCAACCCAGTAAACATGCCAACAAAAACTCCTCCCAACAAAGATCGATGGTTAATCAATCAGCGGCATGAAAGTCCTTCCAATGAAAATGACAAAGAGTAAGAGACCGCTGTATTTGGCGATCTGCCTACGGTTCGCAATGTGAAGCGGGATATTCGAATACCAGCGCCTTTCGGTCCATTGAAAATCCATCGCGGGGATCTCGCCATACTGCACCCTCAGAAGTCAGGTACATTTCGATCCAATCAGTGGTCACCTAAGCGCCCTCGCGGCTCTTGCGGTAGCTAGCCTGAAATACAATCCAGTCAGCATCAAATCGAGAGAAAACAATGATGGCGTGTGAAAGCAATAGAGGGTGTGATTGATCAAGTTCGGCTTGTGAATATGAACAGCATTTGGTGCTCCTTATTGCATACAGGGTAAGAGCAGTGGAATGAGATACGGGCAGGTGTCCGAGATCGGACAATAGATGGACAGCCTCCTGAAGCGCGAGTACACATAACATGCAATAATAACATGCAATAACAACAACGCAGGGGAAGACTAGAAATCGGACGTCTCATGTCGACGCACCTCCTGCTCGACCTGCAGCTGGTCGACGACCGGGGCCAGTTCCGAGAGAATCTCGTAGGCCTTCTTGTGGTATTCGAGCTGAGCGGCGATCAAGTCCGCGAGGTTGCGGAGGGGTTCGGGGGTGTCGAGAACCTATAGCTCAAGTCAGAAATCTGCTAAAACAATATATAGATATCCCACGGAGAAAGAACCACGGTGGCTCTCGGAGTGAGGTTAAGGCTGAGACAGGCCACTGCATAATGCCAAGGTGTCTACTCACATTCTTCATCACGCCCACAGCTTCTTCGGTCTGGCCCACAAACTCGTCCTCTGCCTGCTCAATTTGAGCCCTGGCCTCCTCGCTGATCTCATGGTCCTCCAAGCCATTTTTAGGCTGCTGTCCGGGCAATGAGAAAGCGGGGCCGCTCTTCGCCTTGGCCTTGGTCGCATCGAGACTCAATCGCGAGTTCTCAACAGCCTTGCGTGCCCGCTGAGCAAACATCAAGTTCGTGTTCAGCGTTGTGCTCCATCCAGCCAAGAACCTGCTCTGAATCTGAGCATCCTGGGCTAAGCGCGCCTCGCCGACCTTCTCACTCGCAATGGCGAATTTCTCCAGAGCTGTAGACAAAGGGTCCTCGCCGGCACCGGAGTGATCGGCTGACAGAATATGCGATCCATTGAGGGAAGCCCGCGCAAGAGCGTGGCTAAAGGTCTTGGGCTGCGGCTTTGCGGAGGGAGGCGCGGTCAACGCGGCTTGGGCCTCTGCTGGGGAGGTCGCGGCGGAGAGCAGGGAGACTTTCTCGGAGACGGTGCGCCCAAGGTCGTTAAAGGATTCACGGAGGTTGTTGGGATAGTCGTATGCTTCGTTGGTGTATTGGGATCTGGGGTCATGGTGTCAGCGGGGAACCGAGAGGCAGACTGAGTAGCACGAACGTTACTTGGAGCAGCGTAGTGTGGACCTTCTTAAGAGCATCGACTCGCTTCTCAAGCTCGATGTAGTCCGGCGGGAGCTGAGTCTGTGTTTGCGGAATCAATGAATGAGCTAGCCGTAAACACCACCCCGATCGGAGCTCCTGAATACGAGGTGGTGGACGATTAGGCTATCGCACCTTGTCTTCAGCCTGTCCAAGCTGTTCTTTGACATACTGCTGGGTTCGGGCCGCGAAGGGAGTGAAAGAAGCACTGCGAAGCAATTCCTGTCAGCATTTCGAGGCTTAGAGGCAGCCAGTTCGAGGGTCCAACTAGGGCCTGAGGGGATGCGTACGAGAAGTTCTTCCCGAAAGCCTGCACCTTGTCCATCTTGGCGATTGTTTACGGTGTAGGAAAGTAAGTGTCGAGGTGGGTGTTGGCGATGGGATGGTGGTGGTCTGTTGGGTGTTGGTGGGAGCTTTCCGTTCCAAGGTTCAAACATGTGCTCCTGCAGGTCGAACTCGCCAAGCCATTTAACCTCATCGCTGTCTCACCTCCAGCTGCAACCATCCCTCGAAGCTGACTTCCTCTGCAGGGTACTAAGTCGCCGACTTGGATGTACCGAGATGACGGGGCGGCACCCAGAATGACAGCTGTCCTTTTCACCATGCTCGGCAGGATTTACCAAAGAGAACTTGTGGCTGCCTGCTGATATGTATCATAATGGCACTTCAAGTCCTCTAACCTACGGACTTGCAGATGATTAACAAGCGAACTGTATTTTACTGCCTCGATACACTAAAGCTTCATTAATATCTCTTTAGGCTATCTCAACGATCCCAGAACGACCCTTCTCTGCTTCTTGCTTTTCTATTAGTACGTTACATACGCCTCTGGAGTGAATCGTAGCATAGAATTCATCTATACGATGGCTCAACTGCGTATCCGTTGTAGAGCCTTTCTACGTGCTCATTCTCGACTACCTCGCGGTATCGTCTTTGAAACAGGGTAAATCCCGATACGACAAGCATCGGTTTGCGAAGGCGATTAAAGATTTAAATGCAGTCGAGCGTGTTCGTCCTCCACGTCTCACGATGTCATCTCCGACACATCGTAGACTAAATGCTCCAACATGGCTCTGAGGTGATGAATGGCCATGCTAGCTATGGTGATGCAAAGACTACGTTCGTGACTCTGGTATGGACGACAGCGTTGTTTAGTTCGGAGGAGCGTTAGTCGCCTCAACCCGAAGAAGAGCGACTGCACTGCTTGCTTTTTGGCAGTATTCTAACTTCTTCATACGTAGAGAACACGAGAATGTAGAACTGAACTTTGGCCGGGTTGATCAGATAATCAGTTAAGATCGAGCCTCTGATTGGCCATCCCTTGATGCAGCCAGGAAACCCCAAGCCCTTTATTGCCTGCGAGTAACCCCGTTCGCTCCTCCGCAACACCTACATACCTGACTGATACGATTTTCCGCGTGATGCTGAGCTGCTCCACAACTCACGAAGCGTGACCAAACGCGTACCCGCTTCGTTCTTATCTACTTTCTTCCCGACTTCGCGTGATAGCCACGATAATGGCGACATGACACGAATCTGAAACACCATAACCGCACGCGACGCCTGCAACCTTCACATCGCGGCTCAAGTCGCTTTTCAACATCAGCCCTTTTGATCAATATAACCAGTCTGCTTTGGACGTTTCCTCTGATGAGCGTGTAATGGTGTCGTGCGTTCCTAGCGTTTCATGGCTGCAATAAGCGCATTTCTTCCCAACTCTTACCATCTTCAATAGACATAGATATCAAGGGTATGGAGTACTTACAACCACCTCCACTATACTTCGAGATAGTTTCCTAATGCTTCCAATCGTAGGCTATATTTATTTTCAACATGTCGCACCGTGTATCAAAACGGCATGAGTATCAAGCGTTAGAAGACGACGATCTGGACAGTGGTTCAACTTCCAGGCTTTCAACAAGTAGCAACTCACCGATTCTTCCTAAGCCAGATGTGGATGAGTTCGAAGAGGATGATACATTGCAAGGCGACGGGGATGGCAACACATTCGACACCGATGGCCTAGAGACGTTTTATGAGCCCGTCGAGGGATACGAAGGCGCTCATAGGTATGACCCTAAGTATCGCTGGAGCAAAGTGGATGAGCAGATCGTAGTAAGGAAGGTAAGGGATCTTCTTTTTGTCTATAATACGTTTCCGATTTTATCAGTGGACGTTCGATTTTCAACCTCCTGGAAGTACCGGCATGAGGCGCCTGTGACGAAACGGGCGAGCATCAAATACTCTCGATTTTTAACGGTTTATTTTGAGCCTGCGATATTTCCATACTGCCTCTGAGGCCCAAGTCGTGATCTGGACCATTTCCGACGTCGCCAGGAAAGTGGAGTTCGCGTCGTTCATCGTTCTGATTTCCTCCTATCTTCCTTCTCTCTCTGCCGCGATCTCCCTCAAATCTCACTGACATGCCCCACAGATCGACAAATGGATCTGTACTTGGGTGTGCCTTATGTTTTTCGCCCTCCAACTTGACCGCGGCAACATCCAACAAGCTCTCTCCGACAACATGCTGCCCGACCTCGGGCTTAATACAAACGACTACAACTACGGCCAAGCGATTTTCTACACCTCTTTTCTCCTTGCTGAGCTGCCCTCACAGTTAATCTCCAAATGGATCGGCCCTGATCGCTGGATACCGATTCAAATGGTCGTCTGGAGCCTCATCGCAAGCATGCAAGCCTTCCTCCAGGGCCGCAAATCCTTCTACCTATGCCGCGCCCTCATTGGGCTTATAGAAGGCGGCTTCATCCCGGATAACATCTTGTACCTCTCTTACTTCTACACCGGTGCCGAACTGCCGACGCGGCTCTCCTACTTCTGGGTGTCATCGCAGTTGACGAACATCACCTCCGCCTTCTTCGCATATGGCCTCCTCCACCTCCGCGGCGTGCACGACATAGCCGGCTGGCGCTGGCTCTTCGGCCTGGAAGGCCTCCTCACCGGTGCCATAGGCGTGCTCTCCTTCTTCTACCTACCCCCCAGCCCAACACAGACCGCCAGTCGCTTCCGCGGGAAAAGCTGGTTCAGCGCGCACGAAGAGAAGATCATGGTGAACCGCATCCTCCGCGACGACCCCAGCAAGGGCGGGATGCACAACCGCCAAGCCCTCACGCTTAGCATGGTCAAGGACTGCTTGACCGACTGGCACATGCTCCCCATCTACCTGCTCGCTGTGTCATTTCAGATCCCTACGAATCCGCTGACGGCGTATCTGACGCTGCAACTGCGCGAGATTGGGTTCTCTACGTTTGAGACGAACTTGCTGACGATTCCGGCATATTTGCTGTTCATCGCGCAACTGCTGTTCTGGACGCAGGTAGCAGAGCGGTGGAACCAGCGCTTCTTGGTTGGGCTGGTGAGCCAGATCTGGGCGCTGCCGCTGCTTGTGATCTTGGAGTGGCTACCAGGGGATGCGAACCAGTGGGTCAAGTATACGCTGACGGTGCTGTTGGTGGGCCATCCATATGTGCATGCGATTCTGGTGGCGATTGTGAGTCGGAACGCCGGGACGGTGCGGACGCGGACGGTGGCGAGTGCGTTGTATAACATGTTTGTGCAGGCGAGCGCGATTATTGGGCAGAATGTACGATCGGGAGCTTCCCTTGACAGGCGATTGCTAAATGAGTGCAGATCTATCGCGACGAGGATCGACCACTCTATCGGAAGGGGAATAAGGTCTTGATCGTGGTTTGCATTTGCAATTTTGCGTTCTTCATTGGGGCGAGGGTCTTCTATATTAGCGTTAACAGGTATGGTTTGCTGTTAAACCGACTTCATCTAGCGCATCGCTGACGACGAGATAGACGACGCGCAAAGATATGGGGTGCGATGACGTTGGACGAGAAGAGGGAGTACCTAACTACTACTAAAGACCGCGGGAATAAGCGGTATGTGATCTTTCTCCTCGTCTTCATGCGTTGAGTAGAGGATTTGAGCTAACGAAACACGCTCCAGGCTCAACTTTCGATTTGCGTACTAGAGAGGTAGATCTTTCAAGAAAAATAGAGTACTAGGACGTCGGTTTGGACACTTCTAGTAGCTGCTTGGGGTACCCCGATAGGCTTTAACAATCTAAATACGACATGAAGATTGACGCATTAAAAATCAGGCTACCTTTTGACCGATTGAAGACCTGCTAGCTGGGGCACCTCTTACAGTAGTGTCAAGCGGGCAAGGGTGGAGCCCGAGCAGTGAGACATCTGTATAGGCAAATCCATGACCTAATATTGTATGTGCGTTATATCTGAGCCAGCGGCGTGGGTTGCTCGTATGCATGAGCGACATTCACCTTGGTCCCCCAAGATCCAAGTTGAAAGCTGATTGCCGTCTATCATCATGTGGTGAAATTTTCGTACCGTTGGCAACTTCATTTTCAGCCTGTGGTCTCCAATATGGAGCATAACGAATGTCTATCGTGCAACTCTCAGCCAATTTCAACGCGTCAAACGGAACGGGGCAAATGCTGCTGTTATTGGCTTGCTGGCGTATATTAGCTAGCTACCTAGGTAGCTCACCCTCCTCCATTCAATCTCGTCATCATCGGCTTCCATTCCGTCCGGCGAGATTCGGGATTGGTGACGCCTGACTACTGCCACGGCACCGTGATTGGTGCGTGGCGATCATTTTGGTTTCTGAATGCCTGGGGCGATATGGCTTGTTAAGGAGAGGAGTGAAGATTGGACGGTAGCTGTAGAGAATAAAGTAGAGAAGAGTGTATCACGTGAGAGTCACGTGTCAGTCAGCATCTGGCACTAGTCCTACCATTTCTAACGGCGTCAGGGGCGTTTAAGGCCCCCAGCACGCCAACATCCCCGCTTTTCCTACCATGAAGAACCTCGCGCTCCATTTCAATCAAAGGGCCTCAGTCCGGACAGAATAATGCCATGTTTGAAAGCAATATTCTACACGAGAGGCTAGAATGACACTGTTGTTGTTGTTGTACGAGGACGGTAAAGAATTCTAAGAACAACACAGATGGAAGAAGTAGGGCTGAACTCCGTATCTGCATAGACGTCATGAGGTAGTTTAGCCTTGCGCCTATCTGCATGCAGACTGCAGTAAGCGTCGAAGCGGCTTAGTATTGTAGGATGCTTTCGCTATTGGTTCCTGGGGAGATTTTGCCTCCCCAACCCTCAACACCAAGATCTCTCACCCATCACATCGGCAAAGTCTTGCCACAGAGGCATACACATGGTGCCACCAACAAGCCTTCTCCAGTCCAGAACATGGGAGCCAGCAACTCGAAGCACGTTTCCACATCATCGCGGCAGGGCTGAGGCTCATGGCAGGGTGGCTCAGCCGCCTACTTTTAGGTTGGCGGCGAAGGCTGCACCGGCTATGCCTATCACCACTCCTTAGGTCTCTAGAGCTGCACATCGCCATAAGCTAGTATCTTCTCGAAATCGTGCATGCATTTACCACCAATCCGATTGGGAGGACGCTGGTAATTTCCGTGCTTACGCTTCCTGCCGCTTCTAATACGCCCAATTGATCGACAGGCTGTGTGGTTCCAATAACAGCGATCAGTGCACTAAAGTGCAACCATGAGAACTTTAAGGCCGCTTATTCCAAGGCAGCGTTGTGTGACAGCGGAGACCGGGGCCAAAACACACCTACTGCTTGGTCACCCTTGATTCTTCTTCCTTTCTCTTCCTTCTCCTCTGTTCCTCCAGTGCTCTAGACTATTAAGATCATCAGAAACATCAAACGTGGAGGTTCTACTGGCACAATGCACTTCGATCGTGTATTGGGTCTGAGCGTGGTAGCCTTAGCTGCCCTCTCAACATGCGCGACAGCAGGTAAGCAGCCGTCTCGTATTCAGAATTTATGTCATGATTAATCTTTATAGAAACTATTCGATCCATAGACCTACAGGCCCGCGATACACCTTGTCCGAGTAGCTATGAAAGCCACAATGGACTCAATTTCACCACGTACTGCAACCGTGAGTGACGCGTTATCACCACTCCCAGGCTAGTATACTAAGACGAGATATTCAGAAAACAACCCTTGGAACGATGCCCAGGGCCCCTTCGAGACGGACACGATGGAAGAATGCATGGAACACTGCTCGCGGTACTGGGGCGACAGAGAGGGCTGCTTCGGCATAGTATGGAACGAGTCAAATATGTGCTGGCTGCGCAACTCCTCCACCTCCACACAAGGCATATACCCCGAAACGGGCACGCATGCAGCGCTCGTCCCTCGCGACGAGGTCAAAGGCGTCAGCACCGACTGTCCATTCGACAACCTTTCGATTCAGACTGTCCGAAACGTAGAACAGTTTACGATCCACTGCGACCAAGTCATAGGCGGCTACGACTTATGTTTCGATGAATACTTCTCTTGTCTCCCGAGCCCTTACAGCGGCTTCTGGCACGCCGACTCTCTCCAAGAATGCATGGAAATCTGCGCCGATTCCCACCCGCTCTGTCAAGGCGTCTCCTGGAATCCCTCTCAGACCATCGGCTTCGCGAACTGCTGGCCAAAAACGGGCTGGCAGAACACACTTGGCGCGGCCACCGCCAACATGCAAATTGGCGTCCTCCACTCTGCTGCCCTCACGAGCATAACACCCACGGTCAACACGACATGTCCGTCCGGGAAGGCTTATGATTCAAAGGGGAAGACGTTCGATATCAACTGCGCACAGCTGAATACAGGGACTAATATCACCTCCATTCACCGTGCGAACATCACTTCTTGCATTGACGCATGTGCGAACAGCGACAAAGACTGCGTCGGCGTAGTCTTCGATAGCACAATGGCGGCCGGATTCCAGAACTGCTACCTCCAGAACACGACGAGCGTCATCTCCAACAACGCGAACACCACCTTCGCACTGCTCTCAGGCACTCCGATCCCGACCTCAAGCCCTACCAACACCACCTCGCCTAGTTCTAGCTCCAAATCTAGTTCGAAAGCCTGGATCGCTGGGCCTGTAATCGGCGGCGTCGTCGCCATCGGTCTAATTGCAGGCGGCATCTTCTGGTGGCGACGACGACGAAGCGCGCCTGTGAGCGGGACTACCGCCACTGGGTACAAAGACGCGTCGGGATATGGGTACTCGTATACGCCAGGCCCTCCAGGCGAGCTGCACGCAGATTCGACGGCGGAAATGGGGGCGGCGGGTGTTGGACCGGTGAAATATGCGCATGAGCCGCAGAGAGCTTCGGTGGCGCCGCAAGAGCCACAGGAGCTGCCAAGTTGAGGAGAGCGGATTGCGGTGGATGGACTTCAAGATAGAATAGAGTAAAAGGAAAGGTATATATGGATTCTCCTTTGGTCATATTCAGCGGGTTTAGTGGATATCTGATGAACTTATGGAGGACCTCCTCAAGTTCAGGGATCTTGTCAATAATGTAGAATTACGAGTACTGATTTTATGATTGAAAGCTCATTTAGACCACTCTCTAGGGGAGGTTCCCCCAACTGAAAGTGTCTAATTTTCAGGGGTAAGGAGTTCTTCGACTTTACTTTCTTCGACTCCCCGTTGCCCACCACGAAGCGTCCTACTATCACACTGCACGTGGATGCTCATACACGCTATTTACATACCCATGTTTGGGTTGCAATACAGCGTGTAGGCGCATCCGGTGAACTAGCGCAAAGATGAAGCTACAGGTGTAATAGGTAGGGTTAGAACGGAGGAAGCCCTTTTCTGGACAGATTCTTACCAAAGCTGAGCTATAACTGTTAAAAGCAAGGTACCGAGAGGCGTTACTTTCCGGATCATCCCACATCTGCGGCTGACTTTCGTGGCTTGCTTCTCGCGCCAGTTCACCGGATGCGCCTACACGAGCTTAGGTCAGCGAAACCCACCTGAAAGCACAGCAGTCTATAGCCACCACTATTCAGTCTAAGTATATAAAACGTACGTAGACGAAAAGAGCTGCTTTTGAAGATTATTATTGTCTACTTTTAAAGTATCGTTCTTTCAGAGCGTTGGGATGTAATTGCGTTCTGAAAAGGATAAAGCAGTTTTGGTGTACGGCCTTTTTTGTCCACCGCGTGACGCTGTACAAGCCTCACACGAGGCTATACCATGGTCTGATTTTATCCCTGCAAGAATACGCTATACGCCCACATGCCCTCATCTTCAAACATAGACTTTTTGCCCCCCAAGGCTTCAAGAATGACAAATTCTATAGGTTTTAAACATAGCCCAGATTGCCCACTTAGTCGATGAAGCTCCGCCTGCTTGAAGACTCGACTACACTATGTCTTCTTCGTACTCCGGTACTCTGAACCCTTAATATACAGTGCGACTTTTACTTTATTGAATCCTATAAACATGGAACCCGACCTTCGCCAGAGCGTCGACCTCTCCCTACTTCCTCCGGCACGACATTCATCAGACGAGAGTCGGCTATCTCACAAAACTCGCGCCCCGTCTGAAGACGACCGAGATAGCGCAGGCGCACGCCCTAAAGAACCACAGCTCGACTCTCCCAAGAAAGGGCAAAAGCGCGGATCTATTCACAACTTACTATACGAAATACTTAGCCTACTGGTATCAGCTGCATCGCTCGCTATTCTCATCGCTGTGCTCTCGAAATACGACAACAAGCCGACTCCAAAGTGGTCGCTGGGCCCTCTGGGCATCACGCTCAACGCGATTGTCTCTATTCTGTCGACTGTCTTCCGCGGGAGTCTCTTGATGCCGGTTGCGCAGAGTATCAGCCAGTTTTGTTGGATATGGTACACGCAGCCGAGGCCTTTGAGAGACGTATGCGACTATGATGCTGCTAGTAGAGGACCGCTTGGGAGTATTCGACTTCTTTTTAGACTGCGCTTCATGTAAGTTACAGAGAAAGGCCACGAGTCTGCGCATACCGGTTTGCCACTGCTTGGGGTACCCCTATGGGACTTTGAAAGCCTAGGCGCGATATCAAGCTTCAAGCAATGCAAATCATACTGCTCCTTGGATCACCAGCTACTGACTAGCTGGGCTACTCCTCACAGTGTCAAGTGAGAGAGATTAGAGCTAAGCAGTGATGAATCCGTGTGCCCAGACTTATGGCGTAATACTCTACCTAGATCTTCACTGCTATTAGACGCTATCTGACAACACACAGTCGTTTCGCTAGCATCGGTGCCGTCATCACAGTAGCCGCTCTGGCACTCGATCCGTTCTTCCAGCAGTCAGTGCGGTATCATTCCGAATCCGCTGTGGACCATGATCGAAATGCCACAGCAGTGGCAGCATACACTTGGGGCACTGACATCGTTCCTGATGAGGACCTGCTCTTAGGTTGTAAGCAAGATGGCCTATGTTAATGTTAGTAGAACCAGCCTAACGTTATCACCTAGATATTGCGCTTCCCTACGACATGCAGGTAGCTATGCACACTGGCGTCCTCTCAGGCAACCTCGTCTCCTTTCCCGATCCGCCCTTCATGTGTCCGTCTGGCAACTGCACGTGGAATCCGTACAACACTCTAGCTATTAGCTCAAAGTGCATTGATATTACCTCTCACGCGAAGATAGATTGCGACAGTGGCTGCCATTTCACAGCATCCGAAGACATTGTAATGCAGAACCTACTCTCCCGGGTTGACGAGAGTGGGGGGGATTATCTCAACGATGGAGCCGATCAGTGGGACCCTTTCCGCATGGAATTTGTATACATCCCCGACGCGCTGCCGGTACTTAGGCCGTGGGCGGACATCACCGGCCTTCTCGCCATGGTCCAATGGGTCAAAGCTACGGGGCCAGAAACCCTCACACTCTCTTCAACCACCACATTCGAAGCTATGCAATGCGGCTTTTACATTTCTGTGCAAGTACTCGTACCCACAGTCCACAACGGCGTGTACTCCGAGGCAGTGATTCGAGAATACGTCCAATCCGACAACGCCAACTCCACTCCAACCTTCACCGCAAACGACACGTCCTTCTACTTCCTAAATGCATACGAAGGCCTGACTCCGGCCCCGCCAAACCTCACGTACCACCCCCCAATCGCAACCCCCAACCAGTCCCCCACCAACTCCACCAACACCACCTTCACGTTCCCGTTCAACGCCTACTACGCCCTCACCTCCCAATTCCTCCAAGCCGGCTTCCTCACCGGCGACATCACCCGCAACGCCACAGCCGGCATGAACGGCCCGGACAACGCCATCATGCTGTACCGCGCCGCCAACGTCACGCACGCCATGCACGGCCTGGCGCAGTACATGACGACAGTCATCCGCGCCGTCGGCTCGACGATCCTGAAAGGCGACCAGCAGAACAACTCGGTCATCGCCGCCGACCACGCCGTCGCGGGCTCCGTGTTCGTGCAGAAGCAGTTCGTGGCGGTGCGGTGGGCGTGGCTGACGCTGCCGATTGTGCTGCTGGTGCTGGCCGTGGTGCTGCTGGCTGTGGCGTGGTGGGAGACGAGGCGGTTGGGGGTCGGGCTGTGGCAGTCGAGTCCGCTGGCGCTGTTTTTCCATGGGAGGATGGAGGGTGGCGCGAGGGGGTTTGAGGGGGTGGGTGGGGTTGATACGGCGGAGGGGATGCGGGGGAAGGCGGAGGGGTTGTGGGCGAGGATTCCTAGGGAGGCGAGGGGGACCGTGGAGGTATATGAGAAAGATAGTTTGGGGAAAAGGGGGAGAAGTGTTGGCAGTAGTATAGAGCTGGTGTCGCATAATATGTAGGTTTTATGGTAATGAACGCGTTTGCAGTATTTGAAGAAGACAATGATAGATGAAGTAAAGGTCACAAAAGAGTGCTTTTCTGCCCAACTCGTAAGGGACGCAACGAGGGGTCAAAACCCTCGAACAGAACGAATCAGGTCATAACTTACCTATCGTCCCAAATTCAAGCACCTCGAGTGTGATTTTGACAACGTAGGAATTAGTGGGAGACACCCCTGGGCCATTCAGATAGTGTTTCCATGAATGTAAAGTTCCCGAGGCACCAGACTAGAGCGCCGGTCATGACTTACACATAGGTCCAAATATGAGCACCAGAAATATGACTTTGACCACGTAGGAAGTGGTGAGAGACACCCTTGGGCCATTGAATCTGACGCAGTTATCAATGTCCAGTTCCGGACCCTCTATGCTGCATGCAAACCAAGCGTATACAGTACTAGGTCATAAGTCTGAACACACGGACATCTCACTGCTCGGGCTCCACTCTTGCTCTCTCGACACCACTGTAAGGAGCACCTCGGCTAGCATGTCTTGGGTCGCTCAAAAAGTAGCCCTATTCCCACTACGACACTCACTTCAGCCTTGGCACCACTACCACACTCGTCAGCAACGTTCAATGAACATATCTAGTAGGAAGTTTGTGATATCGTCATATATACACGTTTCGAGTAAAATCTACGCCTCGACACCCCATCATCACCCCATAGCTTGAATAATACAATTGGACCACTTCCGTGTTAGTGCCTCATATTCACTCACCACAAGTCAATGCTCAGAGTTCCTTCTCTTTTGCAGCACCAGCTTTCGACTCCTCACGTCTCAGCTCCTTCAGTCCTGTTACTGGCCTGCCCGCCACAGCTTCCGGGCCGCCAACCGCTTCGAAGCCCTTGTGGAACACCCACTCGACCGCCTTCTCGACTGGCTCGTCGAAAATGAACGGTAGGAACGGCACAGCTGCTAGCCCGAGCTGCCAAAAAATTAGCATCTTCTAAAAGGACCGTGATACCCCAGAATCAGGAGAAACTCACCCCAATCGGTCCATACGTCCGGATCCTCACATTCTTGACGTCCTTCATCGCTTTACCTGAGTACTTTACGATGCTATGTATCGTGAACGCTGGCAATCCCATACTCGCTAAACCCTGGAAAAGCGCTCGTTGCGCCATCACAGACCGATAATCCTCGATCGCTGGCACGATCCCCGGAACGACATGCGTACCCGTTATAGCGGAGCCATCCGCTACACCCGCCGGTAGGAGCTTCTTTACGCCCTCAACGATCGAGTTGCCTGAGCTGTCCTTCTCCGCGTTATGCAGTTCTGGGTGCAGCACCCGCTGGTTCCGTAGATATGCTTTGTAGCCTTCGTGACTGACGTCGCCGGCCAGGTAAAGCCAAGAGACAGCGTATGCACCTTTGACCAACCATGGATGGGCAACCGGGCGGAAGGACTCGCCGATGTCTGAGGTGTATGCGATGTAGCGTTGGCCGGCGCGGAGAATGGTACGCACGCGAGAGGCGTAGGCGGCGTAGCGGAGGTCGCTGTCTGTGGTGTCGCCGGAACTGGAATGGGTGTGTTAGATGCTGTGTCTTGAAAAGAGATTTAGAGAGGCTCGTGGTAATTGAAGAAACTTGAAAGGGCCATTTGTGGTTCCATATTGTGTTGCTTCGGAAGAGTACTCGGCTCGGAATGAATGGAAAGATAGGATTATACTCACGATCCATCATACAACGTCTCCCATAGCTTCTCGTCGTCGTCCAGTGTCTCCTGCAATCCCTTGGGTAGGATCTTCCTCGCAGGCTGCACTGAGTAGTCCGGCCTCGCGCCCTCTCGCTCATGTGGGATGTCGTCAGTGTCGTTATCCTTCTTCGCCATGATTCCTGTATCCGTATGCCTAGACCCTCAAATATCTCTTTAACGCCAAGTGAAGTACCCTCTTCCCAAAATGAAACGATCACAGAAGCTCTCGTGGAGGTTGTAGAACGGCGAATGCGCAATGCATCGCGACCTCGGGAAGCCTTTGACTGGACGTCACCAGCGGCACTTCCCGCGCTGAATCATCCAATCTTCACGGCAGCAACTCCAACAACACCCGGCCAGAGCTCTCCAACAAACCACCAATTGCCCGCCACCACACCACTCTCCCGCATCTCCAACCCCTCACAACCGCAATCATGGTCGTCATGTATCAAATCGCAGGCCGCCAGGTCGGATCGCACGTCGTAAGCGCCGCCCGAGCCCTTCCCGACCGTCCGGAGGAGCTCTTTCACTCCCTTCATCGCAGCTTCGGAGCGCATACCCTACTTGCTACAATGGATGTATGCTGATTGATGTGTTGTTTAGCTTGCAATGGCAACCCTCGGCACGTTTTTCGTAGGCTCGTGGGCCGCGACGGGCGGCTCGAAGAAGTCGGCTGAACAGGGCCCGCCTATCTCGGCTGGCAGCAAGGACGAGGAGAAGTTTATACAGTACGTGCCATCGGCTTCCATACGTCCATCCTCGGTTTTAGAGCTTTGATGGAGCCGTAATCGTAATGCCGCGACGATCGAGAGGAACACCGGCTAATACGCGTTTGTTCAGGGACTTCCTGAAATCGGCAGAAGCGGAGGAGAAGAAAGCGGCACACTAGAGATTACATTGGACCATCACCGGGACTGGCAGATATCACGGAGCGGAGTCGTGAATGCATGACCGAAGGACAGTCGGAGGACGAGAGCATCTAGGATTTCTATCGGCTGCCGAGTTGTAAAACCTGTAGATACAGCGCCAATTGTACCAACAACTGCTCTCGTTTGGTTGCATTTCGGGTTACTTTGATCTGGGATTCGGTGATTGGATGAAGGTAGTTCAAGTGATGTTTCTAACTAAAGTAATAAGCAACGAAAGAGGATATCAAAACTTGACATAAGAACATGGCCCATTCCGCTAAACGCCGGGACAAAGACTCCGCGCCTAAGTCACATGAAGGACTGCGTTCCACGCAAAGTACACCAAGAACCCCCGCTGCGCCCCTAAGAGAACCACCCCTAGGTAATAGCCCTTCCCTACAACCAACTTACGCGCTGCATCTCTCATCAATGTGTTCGAAGAAACTAGTCTTCGATAATAGTCTTCTTCGTCATAAAGTCTACAATCTTGTAGTAGAACTTCGCCACTTGATTCCTGGGGATCGCAATTCCCTCTGGATCAGTAGCGTAGTCGGGTAGGATGTCGAAAAGGTCCTGATCCCTCTTTTCGTCGAGAATTGGCAGATACTCGAGGTACACGTTGTCGTATGCCGTCTCGCCATCGTGTGCGGGTATTGTGAAATGAAAATGAAGCGCTGCAGTAAGATCAATATCAATTCGATCTCGCCAGTTGCGGCTGATATTGGGAGGAACTTACTGCCGTTGCGGCCAGTCTGAATGCAATCATATATATCTTCATTGTCTTCACCCTTCTTCACGCCTCGTATTATCAACCCAGTAAGATCACTGTAGAGATCTTCCTTGAGCTTGCGGATCTGAAATTCTTTCTGCGCTTCTGCGGATCCGGGGAGGACGACACTACGCTGCTGCTGTTTCATCGCGCTGCCCTGTCCAGCCTTTCCTTCCGGTGGTGCCGAAGAGCGTGCCTGTGCCAGTTTCGCGGTGATGGTCTTGTTCTCATTCTGTGCGGTAGCCAGAGATGCGGAGAGGGTCTTGTTTTCCGAGGTCAGCCTGCTATTAGCAGCTGTTAGTTCTGCGACCTCTTTCCGTAATGATGACGTCTCAGAGGCTCGCGTTTGAAGGGAGGCGACTTGTTGCTTAAGAGACCTGATCACGGAATCTTGGTCTTTACCCAATTATTAGCCATAGACCCCCAACTAGCTCAAATTGATTCTCACCTTTCTCTCGTTGGTCTGTCGTGCGCTTCAACTGCTCAAAGACGGTCTCTTTATCAGTCATCCCTATCTCCTTCAGATTCTGATATTTGAGATTGATGTTCTCAAATTGGTTCCTCAAATCCCCCAGCTTTCGCCTCAACGCAGGATCATTGCCTCCCCTTTCTGTATCTGACGCGCTTCCTGCTCTCCTCCGCGGTACTGATGCTTGTCGTTGTACGGAGTTCTGCCGCTGCTTCGACGTCGCCTTTGGCGGGGCTGTCTGTTTAGACACCGGTTTTCGTGGTGGTGGCATCTCCGGAACTTCGTCATCAAACTCCACTGACTGCTCAATCGAATCGTCCATATCCATCAAATCAGGCTCCGCCTGCGTTTCCGGGATCTCCAAGTCCGGCTCTTGCTTCATCACCCGCTTCGCTGCCTTCGTCATCTTTGCTGCCGCTTTTGGCGCAGCCTTCGCTGCGGCAGCTTTCGGTGCTCTCTTCCCAGCAGCCTTCGGGGGCGGAACCTCCATGAGACTGCTCTCACTCGACTTCCTCGGCCGTCCCCTCTTTTTCGGCGCGGGGTCCGCCTCCTCCTCCATCTCATCATCTTCAAACTGCTCCACCTCCTCCGTATCGGTCATCTCAGCGCGTTCAGCTAGAACCTTCCTTTTCCCACCAGCTACCGTCTTTTTCGCAACGCCAGCTTTCTTTGCGCCCAATACGCTTGCCCCACTTACGCGACGCGGGGCTCTTTTCGCTTTGACGCCTTTCGCAGCCATGGTTGTGCTTGGTTTCTTCGTGGCCGGTTTGCCCTTTCGTCCTGGCGCGTGGTTCTCGATGGCGGAGTCTGGCGTGAGTAGGACGCCGGTTATTTCGTCTTCCGAGGCCGAGTCGACCATATAGGCAATCTTATTCGTCGCGCGAGGCATTGCGATACAGGGAGCGCAGCGGGCGCAGTAGCGATTGAGATTGCGGTATGGTGGTGAAAGTAAAAGTGGTGGAGGGGAAGGCGCGAACTCGTCAACAAAACAAACAGGGGTGTGTCTCTGGCCCAGCATCACGTGATGCTCAAAGTCCGGTCCTCAAACTACGGATTCGTGCTGAAAGCTGCGCCGGTGCGGCGACGGGTGTCAGCTCGGGCATCTTCTCGACCATTCCGACCGGCATTAATCATCTGTCGTCGTCGCCTTTTCTGCCTCCAACACCACCCCAGCCCTATATATCGCCTCTCCCATCCGCCGCCATGGCTACTGCATCCGGCTCCCCAGCTCCTGAGAAAGAAACATTCACGAAAATGGCAAAGGGCGACGTTGAGGCTATCGGGGCGCACTGCCAGATGGCGTACTGCCACCAGCTCGACTTTCTGCCGTTTCGCTGCGAGAGCTGCAAAGGGTGAGTCTTAGCTCTCTAGAAACCTGCGGGATAGTAACTGACATGCTATAGAACCTTCTGCCTCGACCACCGTACCGAAACCGCGCACTCCTGCAAAAATGAAGGCGCCTGGGCGCGTGCCCGCCGTGAGGCTGAACTGAAGAAGAGCAGCTCTACGCCTCCGATGCGCAGCTCACTACTTACGCCCCAACCTTGTGCTTCGTCAAGCTGCAAGGAGAAGATCAACACACCCCTCAAAGAGGGCATCCATTGCACGACATGTCGGAGATACTACTGCGTCAAGCACCGCCTCCCCGAAGACCACGACTGCAAGAACCTGATACCCCTGGGCACGAGACCCAAAACCACAGTAGATGCGCAACGGGAGAAGGCACTGGGCGCGTTCTCGAAGTTCAAGGAGTGGAATCGGAAGATCTCGATTTCGACTGCAAGTAAGGCTAAGGATATGGAGAAGCTGGTGCCGAAGTCGAAGGCGACGGTCTCAGCTGCGAATGCGAGGAATGCGCTTATGGATCTGAAGAAGAATGCGAAAGGGGAGGCGTCGATACCGCAGGATAAGAGGGTATATCTATTAGTTGAGGCATCGGCGGACACGACCAAAGCGAAACACCCTTCTGGCAAGTTCTTCTACAATAAAGAGTGGAGTGTGGGGCGTGTGCTAGACGCGGCGTCAAAGGCTCTCCAGGTGGAAAATGTGAACAATAGGGGTGGAGGAGAGGAGGCGAAGCTGAGAGTGTTCCACGTCGAGGGGGGCCGCTTGCTGGATTTCAGTGAGAAGATCGGGGCACCGTGTGTGAGCGGGAATACGGTCGTGCTGCTAAGAGGCGTCGGACCTCCGGCTCCAGATCTCATCGAGGTGTAGAGGTGCTAGATATTGCATGGCATGGCTGGGTCCGGAGGAGTTTGGATTTGCATATGGGCTGGCAAGCAACGGCGGCGTCCGTGAGCGTTTAGGTCATGATACCACGAATCTACATTTAGCTCTATATTAAACCATACTGATCTTCTATCAAACTGGGATGAGGAATACAGTGCCTCGCTGGAAGTCCGTCTGCAGGCCCGTGCCACTGCGTGAGGTGCTTCAACTGCTTATCAAAATTCTGTGTGAGAAATAACATTTGTAAAAACCGAATCTAGACATGCTACCACATTCCCTCAGTCGTCGGGATACATATATAGGACACTCCAAGTAGCACCACCTAGTGATACCAACACCCCCCAACACCTCCAACCCCCGCAACCCCCAAACCTACACCCTCTTCTTCCCCTCTCCCCCCACCGCCCCCCCAACAACCCCACTCAGCCTCCCAAACATATCCACCCCCATCAGCACCGCTGAATGACCACATTAGCCCCCCTTCCCCCACTAAACAGAAACTCAACCCACTCACCGAAAGCAACATACGGCACATACAACCCCATGAGCCTCCCCTGCTCCTCCAGATTCCGATCCCAACTCAGCGCCTCCGCGATACAGGTCAGCGTGGTCAGGCCCGCTTGCGCGGAGAACAGGAGCAGATGCAGCATCGCTTTAGGCTGCAGCGGGGCGGACCAGAGGGCGCGGATGGCGTAGAGGGTGAGCGGGACGTGATAGAGGAGTTCCATGTAGAGGTAGGTTGTGAACCAGGCGCTGGGGGTGGGGGGAGTTAGTGGGTGCGAGGGAGAAGATAGGGGGGCAGGGATGACCGGTGGGTTGGAGGAGGGTGGAGGGGGTAGGAGACCTACGGTGGGGCGATGAAGAATTGGTCGCGGTAGGTTGTGACGTAGTAGGAGCGGAGGGAGGTCATGAAGGCGGGCTTGATGGAGTCGGGGTAGAAGGGTGTGAGGTCGACGACTGGTTGGCGTGTTAGAGAGGATTTCGATTTCTGCTGTTACGGAGAAATTCGCTCGTTATGGACAGAGAACCCGACTTCACGCAAGGCTGAGTGGGAATCGCGATTCGTGGAAGATGATGTGGGCACATCTGTAGAGGCTGGCATAATGAAGGCGATAGAGCGAAATGGAACAGTGTCCAAGGATAGAATTGAAAGTGACCGAGATGAAATGCCTTACCGAACATAATAGGAAGATGAATGATGAAAAAGATCAGGTACACGATATCAAGCCGACGTCCCATCTTGATTGTAGACACAATGGCCGCACGCGCTCGGATAGATTCGAAGTTGATTGGAAGTTAGCGGAGATGAGAGACGAAAAGCTTCGATTGTTGCACGGGTGTGGTGCTGAATGAATGATAGGCAGAGAAGACAGGGGAATTTTCCCACGTGATATCTCCCATCGCTAGTCAATTCCGATCGCGATTCCGTCTCCTTGGCCCTAGTCCACATCCTTTACCTACTCTTCGTTACCGGCGTCGGAGGCTCTCAAATCCTTGTTTTCATCTCAATTTCTTCAGAAATGCTGTTGCACACGACAAGCCACTCCTTCTAGGTAGAGAACGCACAAGGAACGGTGTGGCTGGCTGGCGACGCGGCCACCTTCACCATCCATGGTTCCACGCCTCCGAAAATACTCACAACAGCAACTCTTGGTTTCCAGGACGCAAAAATGTGAAGAACAGAGAACATTTTCGCGGGCGCATAAACTTCGGCAGCAACGAACCTTTGGTACGCTGCTTTTGGCACGTTGAACTTCTCGTCTGTGGCATTGGGAGATATTGGAAGCGCAAAATGGGTTCTGGAATTAGCCCACGACTTCTAATGCGACAAGAGCAGAGGTTGAAATGCAGTGGGCGTTTGTAGATGACAGCGATTGAGATGACACTGATTGAGATACTGACAACTTGCGCTACTGCAACGTTCTACTATGGTACCTGGGGTAAGTGTTGTGGGTGGAGCGTGCCACATTCACCTTGTCTAGCTGGGCTACTACTTGCTGCTACCCCGGTCCGCTTTCTGAGTTAAGCTGCCTGATATAATTGGTTCGCATCAACACCTTATTAGTTCCTGCTTTCTGGGTATATTAGGTGTTCTATGCTACTAACCATGGTACTATTATATGTCATCTCTCTTCTATCTTATAAATTTTACACATATATCTCTCTTACCCTCTTCTCTTCTCTTCTATCTCTTATAATATGGCTAATTCTACTGTTCTTTATGCCCTTGTTCCTACTAGGGGTCTTACTATTATCTCCTATCTACGGTTAATACTAAAATATAAGCTGGGATATGTTTTTGGAGATGATAATTATGGTGGTGTACAAGATATACTAGATAAAGATATACCAATAGTATTACCTTAGGAGTTACGGTGTATCTCTTTTTTTTTCTTTTGTTATTCTGCTAGTCTTCTTAAGGACATTATTAGGGATTACTATATTTCCTGCCTGCGCGTACGCCGGCTCTTCCGTCTTAATAATCTCCGCTTTGGGGTTCGCTTTGCTAGGACTCTTGGGTTTCATCTGTTTAACTTGGGTGTCTTAGATGGCCTGGATGCTACTACTTTATTGGTCTAATTCTATTAAGGAGGATATTGCAGATGATACTTTGGATTCCAATGGTGATATCGTCTAGGCGGACATTAGGACAAAATTTAGTAGCCCTGCGCTATCATCGCCGCTAGCCAGTGGCCCGTTCTATTCTAAAGGCACCAATCACAACCTCTTTTCTATGTATTAAAATGCTCAGGAATCACTATGATTGGTGCCTTGAAAATAACAAGGTGAATGCGTGCACGCTCCACACACAACACTTACCCCGGGTACCATAGTAAAAACTCAACAATTCGCTTTCAAGCTAAGATAGCAAACTCGACTAGAGAGAGATGACTGCATACAGTCACGTAAAGCGCGGGCCTTTGCTGTCATCTCTGCCCGTGTCCCTCTCCTCCTTTCATACGATAGTCAACCGTGTCTTCGTGGCGCCCTTGAAGCCTTTATGAATTATATCATTCTCAATTCCAAGACGAGAGAGTCTAGCCAGGAACCCAAGCCGTTCAAACGCTCCCGGCTTTCGCAGCGACGCTCCAAGAACTAGGCAGTAGTCCCCACCTCCCTTCGTACAAAGACGCATTAGATAACAGCAATAGCTCCCCTCAATCCTTCCCGGATCTTGCTCTGCTCGATGAACAGTCAGGGGCCATGGAAAACTGGGAGAAAGGCGCGACACAGCGAGCGTTACATCAGGCTGGAAGCTGATGTATTCATTTGCGGCTGTTGAACTTGCTGGTTGGAACGTGACATTCAGACCATTGATGTCTGGGGGGAAATGCAGCCAGGCAGAAACAAGAGGACCGTCGAAAATAGCATAGCCGTCCGTCACTTGGCCGAATGGATCCAGTCCAGCTAGGCTACACCGAATCTCAACGACTTCGGTGAGCCAAGTGATATCTTCTCTTTCTTCAAAGCTTGATCTGAGATGGTTGTAGCTAACCATATAGTCGAGCGAGGCCCAGCTGAATGACGGAGCACGGTAGGTGCGACTTACAAAGCAATTCTCCCGCTTCGCAGTATTCCATAAGAAGCCTCTCATTGATCCGTCATTCCAGATGCCAGCGACGTATGGATCTTTAAGCAGCTTACTGAGAACCTGTACAACACCTGACAGCGCGGGGAGCTTATCGCTTTCTTTGGTGAGGGACGCATTCGTAAATCGTGGTATGATATCGCAATACCAGAACTTGTGCAGCTTATGCCGGGGGGTTTCCTGAGAAAGATGCTTCCGACTGTAAGGATGAGGGTCGTTGAATAGTGTATGAGAGACGTCCCAGGAACTCCTGCATTCGCACTGTTCGACAGTGTTGCATTCCCAACGGAGCTCATGGAGGGAAAATAGTAAAACACGAGTGGATAGCAGGCGTTCTTGAAAGGCCCATGCACGCTTCTCTAGGGGGTCGATCGAAGGCAGGAAATGATGGGTTAAAGCCTGTCGAAACGCAACCGGTTTGGGCGACAAGTTTGGATTTTCTGGTTGGAACATTACGGTTCCGTTCAGAAGCTTGGGTCTTGGTCTTAAAAATCCCTCGGTGTCACCAGTAGCAGACCCAGCAGCCAATGTGACAACAGCATGCTCATATATGGCTGCCATGTGGGCCGATTGTTCCTCCCAATCAGGTCGAGAGTCCTGAAGTATGCAGAGAGAGTCGATCCATATATATGAAAAGCCTAGTAAAGCAGTGATTTCGATTGCATGCTGGAAAGTTTTTGGCAGCCGGGACCATGGAATGTCCCTCATCCATGAATCCACAGTTGTACTCTCAGTAGCAAGGGATCGCTCTAGTCCCCAACAGTGAGATAATGCAACGTAGCGCTCCATCTTGGTGTTTTTGGTGTTCATGAGGCGGATCCGAAAAGGTGCTTGCGGATCATGGCTTGACTTTACGCGAAGAATTCGCTTTGGCATGGCGAGAGGTCCATTGGCTTTGCAATTCATGTGGGTTTCCAAGCAGTCCCTCAGCCATGATTTGGCCAGAGCTATGCAAGCGAGTGATCTAGCATGAGCCTCAACTGGAGGGCATGAAAGGAGATTAGGATGTATAGGTTCACATTCGGCGCCTGGGTTAAATCAGTAGGAAAGAGCTGACGTGAGTACTCAAGATAAGGCTGTACTCCAGTATTCTATCAAGGGTAGAGATTTAGTTGGTAGTCATACCTGGAAGTTGAGGGCAGAAGCAGTCAAACACGACTCCCCACTCAACTCGAAGATGTAACGGGTGACGACCCCAAATACTAACGTCTATTTCCAGATCACTAAGATCGGACCTCACTTTGAAGACTATGTCGCGTAGCAATGCGCACGACCGGCATTGTTTGGCAGATAGCGAAAGCTCACGCAATTTTATGTCGTGATACACCCATAGCGGGGATGGTACCAACAGATCCAAACATGTTGGACAACTAGCATCCATGACAAAAGCCCTTGCAAACGACTCTGAGGTGGAAGGTTGGTCTGATAAGTTGAGCTGCTTTCGTGAAATTGTGGACAGATGAGGATGATGAACTGGATGTCTAGAACGCGTCGTGCTGCCCCCCCGCAGCCTGACGGTTGCTTTTCGACATTTCCATGTGACCTATCACTGCACCTAGCATAGATGGAATTAGTGGGCAATTGCTTTCTTGCGGCCTTTATACTTCACATTTTTAGCAATATTTCCCTCAGTAAATCGGCACTTCATTTCTCCCTCAGAACATCGCGTCAGAGAAAGTTAGCTGCATCTTTGTGGGGCGTGGGGCTGTCCAATCTTTCCAGTAAAATGATTTGACTCTAGACGCTGGGAAAAGTGCAGGAGAAGCGACGGACGAAGATGAAGGTTGCCATAGAAGTTTGTTTTAGCACAAGACAGAAGAAACGTGTGGGTCCGAACCCAGCACGTGACATTACTCGATCAACTACAGCCAGCCGTCCACAATCTATACAGCACCCTCTTTCTAGATCTCACGAAAATCGTTTACGTACAGCAGGTACTTCTATGCCATGTCATTCATGAAGCCTCTCCAAATCTTCTAACCACTTGCCCGGAATTTCTTTTAGATACGGAACTCCATGTTGCGTGCCGAATGAAGCACCTCGCATTGATTTCTCTAACCTATGAGACGCACCCAATGCGTCCCTTTTACCGTCATAAACACCCACCGTGACTCCCTCCGTGCTCTACCCTTTCCACAGCCTTACGGATTAGGAGGACAACAAAGCTCACCAGGACCCCAGGACATTGGAAACATTCAAGACGAGTTATACAGCATCTTCATTAAACTTCATAACGTCTAGCAATCATTACACGCCTTTTAGTCATGGCTTTCATCCTATCCATGCCATACCCAAAATAAACACCCTTCCGCGCTAAACGCAATGCCTACAAAAGATATCAAAACACCAACCCGTTTCCTCCTCATCCCTCATTTACAACTCAAATTCCCCATCCGCCCATCCCGATGCGTCCCCTCCTTCGCCGCCCCAAAATCCCCCGCCACCAGCGTGCGATTATACATCAAACACCCCGTCATCAGCTCGCCCCCCGGCGTGCCGTAGTACCCCGCCGGCGTCGGCACCTCCCACGCGATATACGCCGCCTTGCACCCGCTGAGCCCGTTGCACTGCTCCAGGCACCCGATGTATAGGTCAGTGTCGTTAGTCGAGGCCGGGTCCCAGTACGCGGCGTAGACCTGGTTGGCGGCGTCAACGCTGGCGAGGGGCGCGTAGTGCGGTGGGGACGAGGAGAGCGACACGGGAAGCACGGTGTAGACGGGGCAGGTCGCCGGGATGGGAGTGTAGGCGGGGCCGCCAGCGCGGGGAGCGAGGGGGTTGTGGAGGGGGAGGGCGAGGGCGGTTGTGGTGGTGAGGAGAGTGGTGAGGAGGGTTGTGGAGAGCATTGTGGGTGCTTTTGGCTCGAGCTCAGAGGTGGTTGGGCGGTGAAGTCGACTGGAACGAGTTGTTGCGGGTAGGTGTTTTCGCTTGAAGAGGATAGATATTCTCGATTGAAGGAGAAGGATTCTGCGCGAAATGTGGTTTAAGTGGTTTGTTGACCAGGTTGACAGGTGGTTGATTGTCGTATAATTGAAGTCAGGGATTGAGGTTGGCTTTAAGAACACGAAGACGAGACGAGAGGCTTTATCAGTGAGACCGGAGGTTTGATATTGAGACTGACCTGTAAAGAGTGAGAAAACAAGAGGGGTTAGTGAGACGAGTTATATAAGAGGCAGGAAATCTGTCATTAGTGACGATTTAAGGCGCAGCGGGAGAGGCTGGGAAGGGTCAGCTGCGACCCACAACGCAACCCGGGGTCCCGCATCTCGTGAAGCACAAATAGATTATTCGGCCGTTGGTTCCTGCGATGATGTCGGATCGGCCGATCAATACATGTCTGGGGCAAGTCCTCCTGCAGACGTCATGCTGTAACCACGGTCCAGGGGTAAGCTGAGCTGACATTGGGCGATGCGCGCACACTAAGTCTATTTGTTTGTCCAAATCGAGTTTGTGCGTTCGTTTTCGGACGCCATTGATCTAGAGTGGTGTTGTCGTGAGTGGTTGATGTCTGACAAGGTGACATGATGGGATGAGGTCTGGGGTGGAACGAAGCTGGCAGCGAGGCTGGTCGACATCGTGAGTGGCTGACAGGGGGTCTTAGCGTGTGGAGAAACAGTCGATCTGTCTTTCAGGGGTATGCGGATGACCTCACTCAACGTCTATCATGAAACGCTCATGGATGGAGCTCGTTCAGGTATTCCAGCTGCTCTTTCGGGAAACAAGACGGCCTTTTGCGAGGTTTGACACGGCCAGAACTTCTACAACAAGCGCAATTATTTCAGGGCTGGTGCTCTGAACATCCGTGTAAGTGCTATTTATATATGCCTGTTACACCCGATTCTGCCTCATCACTCCACCAAACTATCGACTTGTCGAGTGCTTGTTTCCCTTCCCTAGTAGCAGGCAGGCCTCTTAGTCATTCTTCAAGAAGAGAGAGCTGTTCGTAAATGAGTACGAAACCGTGAAATTAATGTATCAGTGAGCGTAGTCAATGCGCAATCCTCTTTGCTGAATAGTTTCACAGTCGGTGTAATCGGAATACTTCTCGACGTGCTCTAGTCGTAGCTGAGGTAATGGACCACTTGTACTCTGCGACTTTCGCAGCAGCACAGCAAGTGCTTGCGACCAACCTCGTGTTTTCTGCTGCATCGTTTCGTGTTAGTCAAACGAAGTCTACGTGCTTTGCACATACTAATAGAATCGTGCATCTTGCTAGATGCTCCAGCGGCTGTGCAGTGGCTTCGAGGCGAATTGAAACTAGAAGATTAGCAAGCTCAAGTACGACGAGAACATACATGTCATTTGCTTCGAAGTTCTGAACGGTCACAGGCGGGCATCTGGCGATCTGCTTTGGCCTATTGAAAGTCTCAATCTGTGTCCATAGCAACTACTTATCATACACACCTGGAACCTGGGCATCCTCCCACTCAATCGCCTTCGCCAGGATCCGCCTCGCTAACTTCAGCCCGTTTGACCTGCTGCCAACACCTATCACACCATTGAATCCAAGTGGCCAGCAACCGAAAGTTTTTTAACGTGGAGAAAAAGGTATGACGGATGTCGAGGGCGAACAAGCTCCGTAGGTCAGTCAGATAAGAGACTAGGAAAGACCCTTTGCTGCGCTCTCTGAGCAGAAGATCAGCATACGCCAGAGCTTCATAACGAACTGCTCCGCATCGTCATCAAGCAGCTGCACAAATGATTAGTAAATCATCAGGTTTCTGAACGGGGGAGGACAGCTTACCGCTTCGAACTCGGACACCAGGTCCTCAGGCTTTCCCCTGTTCTTGAGATGATTGCCAATAAAGTCAATCATCTCCTGCTCCTGCACGCCGAGATAGTCCATAATCTTCTTCTCAACGAATGGCATGATAGTCCCCTCTAGCGCGGCGTCATCAAAGAAGTCCCACTTGACTTCCCAACTGAAGAGGGCTTCTTTGTCGGCCACGGGAATGGAGAGAGCGAGTTGGCGAGTAGCCTCCTTACGCTCCTCCGGTGTCAAGCTAGCAGCTTCTGCCGCAGTATCGATTTGGATAGGGACGAGAATGCGCCTAGTCGTGACCTCCTCTTCCTCCTCGTCTTCGAGCAAGCTTTCGATTTCAGCAGCAGACTTGCGTGGTGCAGCAGCAGCATTGACTTTCTGTGCAGCAGCTCCAAGCGACAGCTTGAAGGGCGCGGCCGGTTCTTGAGCTGGTACGTCGGGGTATAGCTGGTCCAGGAAGTTATCAGCCATATCGCGTTCCTTCTTGCGTAGCCGGTCCTTGTGGGCATTGTCTCGTTTCTCCTGCTCCCGGTCCATATTGTCGGCCTGGAATTCTCTCAGACGCACGTCCGCCCGCTTTCGGGCCCAGGCGGCATGATCTCTATGGTATTCGTGATTTTTGGTAGTGGCTTCAACCTCATCATTCCAATCCTTCAGCTTCTTGGCCATTTCAGCTGCCACCTTCTCTTTGTCGGCTTCTTCTTGAGTGTCACGAGCCTTTTCACGTTCTAGAGCTAGTCCACGACTCTTTTCCCGATTGATCCAGCGTCGCTCGTAGTCGAGATACTGCTTTTCCAGATCAGACTCCTTCTTGGCTTTGTGTCGGCGCTCTATCTCAGAATCGCTTGCTGAGTCGTCCTCATCGTCGCGTTTTATCCAACCTGCAGATCCGTTGGCACCATTGACAAACGAAACTCCGCCTTGGTAGTCCTTGGGGATCTGGGCACCGAAACCTTTTGGTCCACTGGGAGCACCATGAACTCCACGATCCCTAGGGCCGACTGGTATGCCATTTGCGCCTCCTGCAGGGCCGAGTGGAGCTGTCCGGGGAGGAGATCCTAACCGGTTCGCCCTTGAGCCAGCAACATTCCTGGCCCATTGCGCCGCCTCCAGTTCTTCTTCCTGCCGCAGTCGCTCCATATCTCGTCTGTGACTCCGGTCTCTGAATGCAGCAATCTCTGCTGCGACTGTTTCGCGCATGTCTTCGGGAATATCTGATAGTTCGTCCTCGACAGTCAGCGGGATCGTGACAACTTCCGCATTTGTTCCCTCAGGCTTCACGTCGCCGCCTTGCATGACTATATCTCCGTACATAGCGACGTCGACATCGATGTTGTTCGGGGGAGGAGGATTGAAGAGGCTCGCGAGGACGTCTGCGAGATTGTTTTTGGCCGTGTCGGTTCGAAATTCTACTTCCTCCTCGCTCTCCTTTTTGCGTTCTTGCCATTCGTCAGCGTACTTGACGGAGGCTTCGTCCACAACGATCTGGATGCTAGTCAATAAAAAGGACGCAGACTTGGAAGTTGGGACTGACCTGAAGAGTGGCCTTCTCGACTGTCTTCTTCTCGTCCTCACCATCTACGCCATCCTTCTCGACGTCTTTCTTGGCCTTAGGTTCTTGCTTCTTCACTGGAACCTGAATATCCTTAAAGATTTTCGCAGCGGTCGCCAGGCCCTGAGAATCCTCATACTCGGCAAATCCAAACTTGCAAGGCTGGCCGTTCGCGTCCGTAGCTCGCGTCCACCTCCGCAAACCACCAGCACAGCGTAGTATCCTCTGCAAATCATGATCAAAGTCATCACCTCCGCCTGACTTATTTCCGAGTGCCTCCGTGATGTTGTTGACGAATATGGTGCGCGCGATTTCTTCCCTCGTCGGCGGATTAAGACTGGCAACAGGCTCCCTCATCTGGAACCCCCGATCAGCGCCTCTGTATTCGTGACCCAGACCTCGTCGACCACCAGCCGATCCGGGGTCCGCGGCGCTCTCCCTACGCCCTCCGGAGGAATCTTGTCGGGTTGGTCCAGAGGTTCCTAGGCGAATGACGGGCGCATTGAAGTTGATGTTGGGCATGTTCGCGGGAGGCTGAAAGTTAAGTGGGAGACCAGCTGGTCGGCCTGGAAGTGAGCCCTGAGCTTGCGCCATGCCGGGCGGTGCGGCAGTTCCTGGTGCGGGCATACCTGGTGGTGCGCCTGGAATTGTTAGTAGTGCGCTCTCTTTGACTGCATGATGGAAGGCCTTACCCATCCCCGGGGGAGGCGCCATGCCCGGTGGCGGTCCATAGCCTGGTGGTCGCTGAAACTGTCCGGGTGCTGTTTCCGTCAGTACGAAGATATATTCAGCGACAAACGTCGCGCGAAGGAGCCACACGCCTTGATAGTTGTACATGTCTGCAGCCGCGCCGATCTGCGCGTCTCGGAAGCTGGCGTGAAGCTTCGAGGGTGGTCGGAAAGTAACAGCTACGGTTGGCTACGCGCCGGAACAGTGTGATAGAGATGAGTGGGTTGAGCACTGGGGGAGAGGTTGAAGACGTGAAAGTGAAGACCTATCACGTCGAGAGCCGGCAAAACTTCGCCTGCTTGGCTTGGCGAGCCTTGCGCCAAACTTTCTCTGCAGCGAACAGAAGCACAACCACCTCGAACGCGTCCTCGACTGGCCCCGCTGCCAATTCACTCAATTAGATGGCATCTCAATAACCCACGGCATCCATCTCGCATCCACCATCATGGAGTTCCGCCGCGTAGGAGACGCCCTCCTGCGCTCTCCTCACTCCATCATCCCATCTCCCTCCATGTCTCTCCGAGCCTCCCAACGCCCTCTCATCTCCCTCTCAACCCTCTCAACACCATTCCAGCAGCGCAGCTTCTCCACAACCCGCCCAACCCTCGCCGCAGCCCCCCAACGCGCACCCCCCCCCCCCCCCCCCCCCCCCCCCAACGAGCCCGACGACCTCTCCGCCTCCCTCGACTCCCTCATCGGCCACTCCATCCTCGACACCCCCTCCAAACCCCCGGCCCCACGCTCCTCCTCCACCGACTTCAACGCCGCCTACGGCAGATCCACCTTCGGCAGCTCCAACCGCGCCGCCCCCGGCGGGCCGCCGGCGCCCTACGCGCGCTCCCTCGACTTCAGCCGCATGCAGATGCCCGAGGGCACACCCTCGATGCCGTCGAAGATGCCGCCGCCGCCGTCGCCCCTGGCCGCGTCTGCAGCGCCGCCGCGCTTCAACGCTAGCAGCGGGCGCAGCATCACGCTGGATCCGAGCAAAGGGCGGGATCTGATTCGGGGGCTGGGGATGCTGAATAGTTTAGTCGCGCGGAACAGGGTCAAGGCGGATGTGCATGCGCAGCGGTTTCATGAGCGGGCGGGGCTGAAGAGGAAGAGGTTGCATGGGGAGAGGTGGCGGAAGAGGTTTAAGGTGGGGTTTAGGAGTTTGACGGAGAGGGTGGCGGAGTTGACGAGGAAGGGGTGGTAGACAGTTTGGGGAGGAGTGGAGAGATGGGCGGGGAAGGAGAGGGTGTGTATTTGTATTTGGGGATTTGAGGGCATGGAAAGGGGTGGAATGAAGAGGAGTGTATGGCATTGCATTAGAGGAGGGTGGGCGTAGTGGCTGTACAGTCAAGACTTTGATATAAAAATTGTACCACCAGTTCAATCAAACCTCGTTACATACCTAGATCCATTTCTGAATGTTCGTGCGGTCAATTCTGTACCTTATTGTACCCAAAGCGTATACGCACCGGCACCCTCCGTGTGAGCGCTCTTCACCACACAGGCCAGTCACATCTGTAACTTCTTCAACCATATGGCATACCTACCGTCAGATACTTCTTCCACATTCCAAAAGAACAGATTCGCTCTCCTTTCATCACATGTCATCCACCCATCACAAGCACAAATCAGCGCAGCATCACCAACACCATAAACCAAGAAGTCAGAGTTAAGCTGCCTAACATAACACCTAGCCACACTAGCAGCCTACCAATCCAGTCGCAGTATAATATGGAAAAATGATAAGGCCAGTCGCATCATAGTGTAGAAAAGGGATGAAGCCGTTCCGCCAACACCGTGCATGCGGAAGACGCCCCTAGCCCATCCAGTGAACGTGAAGAAGATATAAAGACCAGTGCCGCCGCCGTCCGTCTATGGCCCCTTACCGTGTGCCCGGCGCCCAGTCGTAGAAATCGTAAGACATAAGAGACCCCGACAGAAGCAAAAGAAAACGTGTCGTCCATACCCGTCATGTCGTGTAGGCGATATCTAGCACCAAGAGTCCGCCCGGTCCCTTCTACCCATCATCCATCTTCATAAACCATAAACCCAACCCTCCAAGTTCATCTCCCAACCCCCCTACACCCCAAACCTCCCGCCCCCCAACCCAATCCTCCGCCCCAACAACTTCGTCCGCCCCGTCTTCACCGTCTCCCTAAACTTCCCCCAACTCCGCTCCCGCTCCTCCCAATCCGCCATCTGCCCGAGCATAAAATCCCACGTCTTACTCTCCAGCCTCACCGCCTCCTCCCCCCTCATGCACATCTCGCGATAAATCCGCTGCTGGCGCGCCCTCCCCGCCGCCTCCTCGCCCACAAGATACGGGTCCTCGAGCGGGCTCGTCGGCACCCCACCGCCAAGGTTGTCGAGCGCGGTGGTCGACGCGGCGGGGGATGTCCCTGCCGACGCCGCAGTCGCGGGGCTAACAACAGCAGGCGGGGGCACCGCGGCGAGCGAGTGCAGCAGCGCCGTCGTGTTGGCGGCCTGGTTGGCGCGGCGGCGCGCGACGTTCTCGTACTGGCGCGATTGGTGGTTGCTGTGGATGTTGCTCCAGTGCGAGATGTTGTAGTTGTGGGCGGAGAGGTCGCTGGCGGAGCCATGGGCGCGGGATTGGAAGCCGGGTGCGTATCTGGGGGAGGGGAGGCCGAGGCGGGGTGGGGCGGCTTGGGTAGATGTGGTCGCGCGGCGGGCTGTGGGGGAGGGGCGCGAGGTGGAGTTGGGAGTGGGGATGCTCTGGCGGCGCGACGTGTAGGTTGGCGCTTCGGAGACATAGGACGGCGCGGCGGAGCGTATGGAGGCGGTTTCGGGGTCGCGTTGGTAGAGTGGGAGGGCCTCGGTGTAGAGAGGCGTGGTGGTGATGTTGCACGTCATGGTTGTGATCGCGTGCGTGGGGGAGTGGATAAGTGGATATGTATGTTGATAAAGCTAGGAGAAAGAGAAGAGAAGAAATAGTGCAGCCGAAGAGAGGAACGGCTAGAGGAGGAAATGAGAGAGAGGAATGAGGAATGAGGAAGCGCAAGGGAGAAGAAAGGGCGCGGTGGGTGGAGAGGGGTGAATATATTGGCGTCGGGCGGAGGGTTGATTCAGGAACAGCTCACATGCCTGGCCCAGGCACGCCAGGGTAGCTATGCACAAGGACCACGGCAGCTGGACGCTCTTCCAGACGGTAGCAGAAGACGGCGCTGGATCCGTCCGGCTGGGTGGGTAAGGACGCCGTGGATGCAAATGGTGGGTGCATGAGCTGCAGAAGCGGGGTGGATTCTGGCTTCTTCGAGGGGTAGACCCTCCGCGGCTTGCAGCACGACACAGCCTCAACGCCATGGAGCTCTTCCAGGCGCTGCAGGTTAACGCCGAGATAAGGCCAAGCCGAACTGCCCAACCTGACCATGGCTGCAATCGAGTGGGTAATGCTTCCAAGAGCCTTATACAGAGGCCAGCCTCGGCGTCTTGCGCGGCCCTTGCTTGGTTCAAGGAGCCAGAGAAAGAGAGACAAACCTGCTTGAAGCCACGTCCACATCACCCTACATATACCACGCACTTAGCTGAAGGATGGCTGTGGATACCCGTTCCCGTATTTCCGCTGGTGCTAGAGAGGTGTCGTTCGTACGGATCGAACCACGACCCATGTTTGCCGGAAGCGCATCACGACTTCCGGCCTTCGGTGCTGGCGTAGCGAGTTCCCGTGGTACCTACCTGCCCGACTGCATCTAGTTAGGATGGAGTTTTCTCCGACTGAGGGCTGTGTGCTTCGTATGGCTGTGGCACGCTGACGGGCGTTAGTGTCGTGTGAGGCATATAAGTGAGCCATTTGGCATCCAAGTTGTAGCCCTCGATAAAACACTGTACACAGTATGGTAGTAGAGAGCTCGGAGCTGGCCAGTATTCTCGGCACCGAGTGACCAGCTCTCCACACCCACTCTCGCTAGTCTCCTGCTGGGCGTAGTTGGAGGTGTCCAGGCCTCATCATGCGCAAGTGTCATGCTGGCGTTCCCAGATCCACAGATAAGGATGCCAAAAGTGTAACGTCTGACGATAACCGGGCACGTCTTCTGCATTCGTAACTGTTGCTGTTGTTGCGAGAAACCGAGATACATCAACGTAGAGAAATTACGGCCGGGACACCACCCTAGTCCAACATGCTGGAGGTGTCCGTCCCGCCAGTCCTCAAAGGGGTATTTCCAAGCCACTTCGCCTGTCGCCAAACGCCTGAGAAGTAGAATTATTAGAAGCCTCCTTACCGTGTAGCCCTCACCTAGCATCCCACTTTCCTCGACCCTGCCGCTTGTATGGCGCTTCAGAGAAGCCCTCATCCTCCATGTCATTGTCGAAATCTTCAATCTCAAACTTGCTACCAAGAGCTTCCCTGGCCTGTCTGAGCATCAACTTCGTTTGAGCGCTCATTTTTCGTAACCGCAATTCCTCCTCCATTTCATCGCGTTTGACCTTGTTGATCAGGCGCTGCGACTCGGCGGGGAGGGGGCTGGTTTGCTGAACCTGGAACATAACCGGTGAACCATAGCTTTGCCGGTTGTATTCGCGGGCACGTGGTGAAGCAAACGAAGCAGTTTTTCGGAAGGCTGGTGATCCTGTATTCGACACCAAGGAGACGCGCGCTGACGATGTGCGGCGAGATAAGGGAATCCGCGAAGGCCTCTCACTGGAGCCGTGGGCCATGGAACCAGCTCGAGATACTGGGCGCGGGATCTGAGAAGGCGAAAGAGGTGTCGATAAAGCTGGAAGGCGTCGTTCTGAAAGCCTTGGGCTTGACGCTCTAGAGTCTGCGTCTCCTGAATCCTGTACCATGACCCACTCCCGATCATCCGTACACTGCCGCTTGATGGTTCGCGGACGAGTCTCGTCCACGGACGCTATAGACAAAACCCCATAGTTGTCTTCTGGAAATCGTCCGGGGAGTGTTGAAGCATCGGGAAATGCCTTCAGCTCTGGATTCATCGATAGCTTTTCCCACACGTTTGACTCTGAGACGCCACCTTGAATGTCGTAGCCCTGTCCGCCACCGGCATGGAACCCTCTGAACGGCACGGCGCAGTACTGCACCAGCTTCCCCGCCACTCCGCCCACCATCGTGATGAGATTCCTTAACGTCGACTGGCTCATGCCATTCGATGCCGACGGCCCGTCCATTACTCCCCCCGCGGGCGTATTATCCCAGTATCCGCGACGCTGCCCCCCAAGATTGTGATAATCGTCGGCCTCTCGTTGGAAGTTCCCCAAGACCTGTGGCGTCTCTGACCCTCCTGCCAGATGGTACTTTTCGTAGGCCAGCGGTGGCGGGCTCTTGGCATTGCCTGCGCGATCTATCGACGCGCCCACGGAATGGTCCCAGAGATCGGAACCAGTGGAGAACGGTGTTGTGAAGTACGAGTCGGAGTTGTCGTGCCGCGAGCGCTTCTTGCTAGTGCTGAAGCTATCGTATCCTGTCGCGTGTCTGCCTGGCCGGCCGGTAGCGAGAGCGGGAGTATGTGGGGGAGGGTTGAAGAAGATGGGCTTGGCGCCCGTGTGCGTATCGAGGATCGGAGCCACGGGAGAGCCATATGACCCGGGCATGTGTCGCGGTCGCGGTGAGACGGTAGTCATGATACTAGACTTGGGAGAGGCGATTGCGGGGAGAGCTCAGCTGGGAGCTTGGAGGTGGATAGTTCTGCACAGAGCGAATGAATAGAGTTCCGCCAATAATCACAGAGTCTCGCGCAGAGCCCCTTGATGCAGTGAGTCTGTTATGCGCCCATGGCGTGGAGGATGAATATGATGTTGGAGCTGGGCCGAGTTTGTTGTTGAGAGCTCTAATCGTTGCTGGGCGCTTTCTAGCGCGTGGCCCATGCGTCACAAGACGGTGGAAAGTCAGCCGGACCTCTCTCCCCAGCCTCAATTCTGCCATCTCAATTCTCATGGAGTGGTCCAACGATATCCAGCTTCTTATCCAACCCCTTTTGAATGTTGTCTCCGATTCTAATCTGAAAAAAGCCGCAGCTCGTCTAGCTTATTTACAAAACAATGAAGAAGACCTCCCTTTAGAAATTACTTATGATTTAGGACTCAACAGTGTAAAAGTCAAGATGTCAAACGGCTGGCAGTCATTGCCGTAGTGTTATGTCATAGTTCGATCTCTAAGACGACCAATGACAATAGCGTACTACCAGCTGCTGTGCCCTATAAGGCGCCAATCTCAAACACGACTCCTTTCTTCAAAATGCATATATAGCTCCTAAGCGCTGGGTCAGATTCAAGCTCGCAATTTTGTCCACTACTCATAGAAGGAAAAGATATCCTCTCAATCAGCCTCGCACATTTCTCACGGTCTATGATTTCCTAAGGTTCAATCAAACTCCTGCTCTTCTATCCATATATTTCTATATATAACCAGCTACTGTGACACAACCTAAAACTTATCCACGATGCCCGACACAACCACCCTCACTAGCCTCCCTTTCGACCGCACACCCTTCGAATCCCTCCTCAAACGCCGCGTCTTCTTCACCGAATCCTTCGAGATCTACCGCAAAGCAACTAATTTCAACGGCGACAACAAGGGCCTATACGACTATGGCCCTCCAGGCTGTGCGTTACAAGCCAACATCGTAGACGCTTGGCGGAAGCACTTCGTCCTCGAAGAAGACATGCTCGAGCTGGACTGTACGATGCTGACTCCCGAAGAGGTTTTCAAGACGAGCGGCCATGTGGAGAAGTTTGCGGACTGGATGTGCAAGGATCCGATTACAGGTGATTATCTGAGGGCGGATCATCTGGTTGAGAGTGTGTTGGAGGGGAGGCTAGATGGGGATAGACGAGCACGGAGTCTTGCTATTGAGAAAGAGGAGAAAGCTGGCAGCGACTCCAAGAAGAACAAGCTGAAGGCTAAGGATGTCGAGGCGATGCGGTTGGATGACCCAACAAAGCAGGAGTATGAAGAAATATTAGCCAAGGTACGTAAATTAGCGGAAAGGCATGATACATTTTAAGAATACGACTACATCGACGCTCCCATATCGCCACTTTGATCCCTTCGATCTATCTCCAACATCCAGATTGAAGCAACTTAAGCCAACTCCTCAAACCTAGATCGATAATTACGACGGCCCCGAACTTGGCGAGCTGATCAAGCGGTTAAACATCCGCAACCCCAACAGCAACAACCCCGTCCTCCCCCCCATCCCCTTCAACCTCATGTTCAAGACCTCCATTGGTCCTAGCGCTGCGGCTTCCGCCTACCTCCGTCCCGAAACCGCCCAAAGCCAATTCGTAAACTTCCGCAAACTCCTCGAGTACAACCAGAACCAGATGCCCTTCGCATCCGCAAGCATCGGGAAAGCATTCCGCAACGAAATCGCGCCGCGCTCCGGCTTACTTCGAGTTCGAGAGTTTCTGCTAGCGGAGATCGAGCACTTCGTTGATCCAGACGGTGGGAAGAAGCATGAAAAGTTCGAGGAAGTGCGGGAGGTGGAGCTGAGGTTGTTGGACCGGGAGACGCAGTTGGCTGGGCAAACCGACCTTCGCATTATGATGATTGGTGAGGCTGTAAAGCAACGCATCGTGGATAACGAGACGCTCGGGTACTTCTTAGCACGTGTTAGACTGTTTCTTCAGAAGCTGGGCGTAAGCATGGAGAAGTTGAGGTTTCGGCAGCATCTTGCCAACGAAATGGCGCACTACGCTACCGACTGCTGGGACGCGGAGCTGCTGACTTCGTATGGCTGGATCGAGTGCGTTGGGTGTGCAGATCGTAGTGTGTACGACCTGACCGTCCACGCAAAGCGGACCGGAGAGGCGCTGGTAGTTCGCGAGCCTCTCGCAGAACCACTGGAAGTCGAGGAGTGGCAGGCCATGCTGGACAAGAAGAAGCTTGGGCCGAAATTTCGGAAAGACGCAAAAACCATTGAAGACGCTATCGCAGCGCTATCGCAAACCGCTCTCGAGTCTGCTGCCGCTACCCTCGAAAAAGAAGAGAAAATCACACTCCGTCTATCAGACAGCCACTCAGACATTACCCTCAGTACCGACCTCATTACCATCTCTCAAGTCACACGGCTCGAGCACACCCGCGAATACACCCCCAACGTCATCGAACCCTCCTTCGGCATCGGGCGCATCCTATACAGCTTGCTCGAACACGTTTACTGGCATCGCGAAGGCGATGTCGCGCGTGGTGTAAGTCTCCTGTTCTCTTGCATTTCGCTCTCAGCGCCCCTGCTCCGAATCTAGAAGTAGTCATCACTGACGACACACCAGGTCCTCTCCCTCCCTCCCTCCATCGCCCCCACAAAGGTCCTCCTCGTCCCCCTCTCCGCCCAACCCGCCTTCCTCCCCATCCTGCGCACTCTTTCCCGGAAACTCCGCGCGCTGGGCATCTCCAGCCGCATTGATGATAGCTCCGCGACGATCGGAAAGCGGTACTCGCGCAATGACGAGCTTGGGACGCCGTTTGGCGTCACGGTAGACTTTGAGTCTGTGAAAGACGGGAGCGTGACGTTGAGGGAGAGAGATGGTATGAGACAGGTGCGGTCGTCGCAGGAGGGGGTTGTGGAAGCGATTGTGAGGCTGGTTGCAGGTTTGGAGACGTGGGAGGATGTTGAGAGCAGGTTGCCGGCGTTTGGGGTGGAGTGAGTGAAGAAAATGCTTCCTATTGACGTATTGAGGGCGACATTCGAGGTCCTTCAACGGGCGATTAAGTTTCGGACGAGATGTCAAATCCTGTAGACCGCGAATTAGGCCGACCTGCTGGCGACCTTCTAACGTTCTAATTGGCTTAATGATCAATTCGCCGTCCTGTCATTAGACTAGCAGGCCAAACTAGCTAGGTCAAGGAGCCGGCTCCGTACTCGCTCATGAGACCAATCTAAACTAATGATATTCTCAGCAAGCCTCAGAACGAAGTCAATAAGGTTTGATCTCTATTTAGATGTCGCTAGAAAACTAGAGGTACTTTGAGATGATAACTTCCAAGAGCAGGTGTATAATCAGAAGAAAAGGAGGTTAGAGCGTAGCATAAAATTATACATAGCAACGATTACAACTCTGCATCATAAGGTAATAGTAACTTTGCACATGTCGAGCACCTTTTAAGATATGACGACAAAGTAGTAAGCTTCTTATATGCCTGACTACTTATTTAAAGACACGCGGGTAACAGACATTCGACATACGCGTTTATGGCACGCGAGCAGAGCCAAATGTGCTGCCCACAACACAACATGGGTACGGGATAAGCTGATATCCAGAGCAGTGGTGAACAGTGGAAACCCTCCTTCTGTGCCTCATGAGCAATGAGGCTTAGCCTAGTGCCCACATCTCGAACCGATTTTCCATAGAATACCGCTAATGCCTTCGACTTACAAGACCATGCGGCCAGAATACTTCCGCATGTGTGAGCATGGTTCGCGAGTATGTTTCGCGAGCATTGCCACGTAGTCTGTAAGCAGCATGTGCATGAAGCACAATACTGACCCCGAGATGAAGTTTATTGCACCCGTTCATACTTGATGTGTCGAGGTCCGTCTGACCTCGTACAAGCATCTTGGATCCATTCCTCAAGCGTGACGTCCAACCTGCTCTTTCGAGTGCCGAATAGATTCCTCCAGAACCAATGAAGACCCAAGCTAGATAGTAGTGTCGTACTGATAGCTAGTGACAATGATGTTACTTGGAGAGTTTGGCCTACTTCCAGTGGCCGTGATGGAAAGGTTGCCCATATTCCCCATACTAAGCTGATCAGTAGAAAGATCTGCTGAGCTTGATCGCTTCTGTTGATGTGGTATTGTGACATCGCTAGTATGCCATATGCCATGGCAATACAGACGAAAAGTGGCGTAGTGGGAGACAGGAATAGATGTAAAACCTGAACAAAGAGATTTAGAAGAATCTACGTGGTGTCAGCCTTGTGCAAAATCGAGGGAAACTTGCTCTAATTACCTGTGCAAAGTTCCGTATCTCGACTGGAGCTTCAATCGTGATGTCAGAGAAGGGAGGTATCCAGTGAGGATTGGTCAATTTGGTCGAATTCCCAAATCTTGGGATGCTTGATGCTGCGACACAGCTCCCTATAGGAAAGCCATGGCACGCATCGTAGCCACGCATCGCTGCATAGCAGAGGATTTGACCCACTGTCAAAAAAAGATTGTCAAGTCTCCGTCGGGGCGGGGGCGTTGAGACAAAGAGGACGCCATATATGTTGTCGAGTAAGGTAGCGTTTGCATTTTGTAGCGCCCGCGATAATACCAGTCCACCATGGCCGTGTGCGATGAAGATTATGGGAGTTTCATCTTGGCCTGAATCTCTCTGCTCCTTCAAGGAGTTCAGCAGACTCATCGCCGGTTCTGCGACACTAACGTCTAGATCGCAAGGGATTGTCCATAATCTTTCGTGACCATGGAATTCCTTAGAACTATGCGGTTCGACCCCCCAGGTGTATGAGAGTGCAGGATATGGAATAATGGCCTCTCCACACCCAAAATGGGTTTCTGTCTTCCTGACGGACGATTTATCTAGCTGATTGCGGATACGCACCTCCACAAGGTCAACCCTTTCTTTCAGTGATGATTTCATATGGGGCAATCGAATAGATAAGAAGTCGCATCTTGCGGGGATGGAGACAGAGGAGGCGTGCGTTGGTGTCATATCGTGGTGCAAGGCACCGTCGGCAGCTACACCCCGTTAGCCTCAACTCTATTTGGACGTGCGGTGAAAATAGAGTACGTTCTGGGGACTCAAAGCGTGGATGGAACACAATACGCGACCACGGAATGAATGAAGCTGACACTTGGGGATATGAGAGAAGGAAAGCCGGTTGTAGGATGATAGCGGCAACAGAAACAGCGCAAGAAAAGAAATTGCCAAGAGAAGCCGTGATATGCAGGAATGGCGGCGCATAAGCTGTGCGACAGCTCAGCCCGCACCCCTCACCGGTGAGGGAACCCGGGCGTTCTGCAGCGCATAGCCACTATCTAATCCAGCCTGGGCGGCGACAGACTTCCATGGTTGCCTTTGCGCTGCTTTGGAACACCACATTTTCTTCCTTGCTCGGACCAAAGCTTGAGGACGTATCTATTCGCATTGCATCACTGCACGCCGGCCCTCTGCTTTGAAGTGTCCGCTCCTGTCTCAATCCCTCCGCCTCTCACCTATCACACTTCTACCTTCCCGCCTCTGTGCCACTCATTATTTCGCACTCCCGTTTTGTCCCCCTCTTGTCTTCCCCGAGTCCGCGACCGATCTTTGGGGCACCGCCAGTCCTACACCTTGTTCAGCGACTCCAAAGACGCTCTTATGCCAGCAGCGACCTTCGTAGGCTACGTCGCCCCGCCATAATTGACTCGTCGTAATGGCAGATCTCCCGCACACCAAGTACACGCAATGGCTCCGGACGCAGGCGAAGACTTTCCCAGCCGCTGACCAGAGACTATCGTGTCCCTACTGCAGCGGCCGTATATTCCAGAACGACGACCAATTGTGGGATCATACCCTCTTAAACCACTTGGTCACACTAGAGGGCTTAGGTATCGACCCTCAGAATCCTGGTCGATTCCGAAAAGTCCTTATAGACGAAGCTGCGTAGGTTTAACTGCTAGCCACAGTCCCATATTGGGCTACCACACGTGAGTCCCCAGACTGACAATAGACTTAGGAGAGGATCAGCTGACCAGGCCACGCGGGAGTCCCATGTCTCATTTAAGGCTCCTGCGGGTACTGGGTCAACGCCCGATTTGGCACAGCTGTCTCTGTTGGAACCAAGGTCCTCCCAAGCGCATCCCCGTTCCAACAAGAAGCGTCCTGCTGGATACGATCTCCAACCATCTGAGTTAAAGCTACGTGTGATCCGGGACAACCCTTATGTAGAGGACCTAGACTATTCAAGGAAGATCCCATTCTCTGTTGGCGCTTATTCTACCTCTCGTCCCAGGTCCAATCAGCTTCAACTGTTCAACCCCAAGGATGCTTCCAGCGAGGATTGCTCCGTCGTCGCCAACCCGCACAGCCAGCATCATGCCTCGCATCGACACCAGCCCAAGGCCCGGAGATCGACCTATTCCAGCTCAAGACATAGCACTCGTCCGGCCTCCCCAGACTATGACGTTGCCCCCCCACCAAGCTCCGAGTCCCTCCAACAACCTGGTATCCTTGAAGTCCAGCGTACCAATCTTCGCTATCCAGATCTCATCTCACAGCCCGATGCATATCCAATCTCCCAGGAACAGCTAGCCTCCGAAGTCAAGTCCATATATGCCAGCTTAACAATGGTGGAAACCAAGTGCATCCATGTCGACCGCGCTCAAGCCTCTGTTGCACCTGATTCTAGAGGGGATTCTAAGCTCGCCGAGCTCGCCAATGACCACTGGCAGGCCCTAATTGCTCTACATCGAACTTTATTGCATGAGCATCATGACTTTTTCTTGGCTTCTCAGCACCCCTCCGCTTTTCCCGCTTTGCGTCGTCTGGCATCTAAGTATTCGATGCCGGCGCGGATGTGGAAACACGGGATTCATTCCTTTCTTGAGCTGCTCCGACGCCGGTTGCCAGAGTCTTTGGATTATATGTTGGCTTTTATTTATCTGGCCTACCAAATGATGTCCCTACTGCACGAGACTGTTCCTACATTTAAAGACACCTGGATTGAATGTCTAGGAGATCTTACACGGTATCGCATGGCTATTAAGAACGAGGATTTGCGTGATCGTGAAACGTGGGCTGGAGTCGCACGTTTTTGGTATAGCAAAGCCGCTGATAAGAGTCCATACGTTGGTCGTCTATATCACCACCTTGCCATCCTCGTTCGCCCGAATGCGCTGCAGCAGCTCTACTACTATTCCCGTTCTCTCACGTGTGTTGTTCCTTTTATGAGCGCTCGGGAGTCAATTCTCACGTTGCTTGACCCTATTCTAGGACGGTCCAGTGCTTCATACACGCATTCGCTGCCCATTGATACCAGCTTTATCAGAGCTCACGGTATTCTCTTTGGGAGGTTGTCGACTGACGCCTTTGAAGAGTCCAAGGATGCTTTCCTAGACCAGCTAGACAACCATATTGGGCGAGTAACAGCAAAGTGGAACGAGCAGGGTGTTTTCATTGCTGTTACCAATATCGCTGGTTTCTTTGACTACGGCTCTCACGACTCGCCTTTGAGACTGATCTATCAGTCATATGCTGAGAAGATTGCCCACAAATCTCAGAGATCGTCCAGTCCTTTGGAACAACACTCCTTAAGTCGCTCACCATCTCCTTCTTCTCTAGGATCGAAACAACTCAGCTCGGACAGAACCTCGTCGCAAGTGTCCAAATTGTCTCATGATGTCGCCTTTTCGTCCGCCTGTCGTCTTGCCTTTTCCACTTTTGCTCTTGTTCTTCGGCGTATTGGGGATAAGAATGTTCTTACGAGGGGCCCCCATCCGCAACCTTCGGAGAGTTCGAATACTAATGACGGTGTCTTGCTGGAATCGAAGCAAATAAGACATGGGTGTTTTCTACCTGAGCATCCTCATTTGATTGAAGAGTTTAAGGCAAACAACGTCGGCATTACACTATGTCCTATCTCCAACGCGCTTCTACACTTTTGCGGGAACATCAAAGAGCATTCATGTCCGCGACTACTAGCCGTTGAAATTCCCTCTATGGCGAACCGCGACAGTTACGGGAATGGAAAAGAAGATGTGCTCACTTGCAGCAAGACAGTAGCGCACGAGCTCTCCAAGAACTGCCTTAGTCTCATTCGCAAGGCCTCATCGCTTTTTCATTGCCAATTTTCACATTTTGTAGCCTTCTCACTCTTCGTCAAGGGTGTCTTGGGTCGTCCAACCGGTGAAGGAAGAGCTATTACATCTGGCGTAGCGTCGTCCCAGCCTAATGGGAGAAAAATACTTATTGAGAAACTGGAAGAGCTTCTTGTCTCATCAACGTCCTTGATGGTGCCTTTCACTATAATCGTCGTCGCTGCGGTTATATCCCGAATCTTGGTTTGGTATAAGGCCCAAGGGAAACTGGCCTTAGGAGTGCTTCTAGCAGCATGTGTTTTCAAGGCGGTACGTCTGGCTGAAAACGCCGGCGGCTATATTCTTCTTGCGTAAGCTTCAAGCTCTATCATGTCAGTGACTTGGCTGATGACTGTCATAGAGTCGGACTGACGTATTTGTTCTTTGCGCTTGGAATTTGCCGGCTCGGGAGAGGGTAAGTTGCTTTCCCTAAAAATGAGAAGCCCATGCAACTGACACTATATTAGGTCTCCCTTTATCGCAACCACAATAGGGATCCTGATCACGATTGTTGTTATCCAGTTCCAGCCCATTCGCGATTTCTGGACTGGACTTACCGGCCTAGACAGTAGTTTTGCCATCTGCGTTGGGATCCCACTGAGCTTCTACTGCTGCGATCTAGTCGTTATGCACATCACCAAAGCTGTACAGTCTCAAAGCCACGACGAAACACATTTACCCTCTCCCCATGCGCGGGAAGCAAGCATCCCCATTCCTCTGGGACCCCTTCCCAGCAGTCCCAACCAAAATCGTCGTCTGCGCCAACAACGCGATGGTGACGAAGGTGGGCTTGCCGACGATGAGATCGACCGCAACTTGGCCTCGCAGATTAGGTCCTGGAATGATTCCCTCCCTAATCGTAGAACGACAAAAGGTCAGTCTTCATAGAACGATACAGCATCCTGTTGAGGTCCCGAGCAAGCTGTGACACGATTCTTGTACATGACACAATGTATGTACCTGTGCTTCCGGTGTTCTTGTATGTGCTTTTCGGCGGTCATCACCCTGATTCACTTGAATCTCATTACGTTATCAAACGCCTTACTCTACGGAGGAAGCTGTACGCTAGGTAGTTACTCGCGCACTAAGTAGAGTTCTGTGCATCCTCTCGTGCTGGAGACTTTGACTCTCTTCGTTGGATTCGTCTGGCGTTGGGTTGACTTGGTTTCGCCAGGAGGAGCATGAACCATCTTCGGGGTTTCATTGGAGTCTGTTGACCCAAACAGGGAGATAATCTATCACATCTATCACCTTGCAGGGCTTCGAAGCTCTACATGCTCCAAAGAACCAAACGCTTCTGCTCTCATGAACCCGTGATCCTGCATGACGCATTACTGCACTGCGGACATGTTTTATTAAGCCCATCTATGACCCTACTGCTAAAATCTCTGGGCACCATTCTGCTGGCACATGGTATCGATAGTAGTATTCACCAGCTAGAAATGGCGGAAGGCTAACTCGGATCATACCACAAAATGCATATCACGTGACAGAAAGATTAGGTACGCAGCAGCTCTGATATCTGTGCAATTTTAACCCTGTATATTTAGCGTTTGCTCTTCCACTTTGGCATTCGAAGAGCCCCAAAAACATCCGATTCATGCATTTCTACTTCAATGCGCGAACAAACTGGAACAGTGACCGTCTGGGCTACCCTGCGCCGCAATCAGTGTTTTATCTCGCCCAAACTCGTCAAGCAGAACTGAATTGCACGAGCCCTACGATTTACCTACCTGAACACGAGTTCAGTCCACTCGCTACGTCGCAGCCGAAGTTTGGAGCTATGTCGGGGCCTCATTGGAAGTACTGTGTATAACTTTTTTTTTTTTTGCGGTTTTAGGTTCTGGCTACGACCACACAGTGGCCTTTTCACTAATTTTCGAACAGGGAAGCCAATATGGGAGGATCCAGAAGACCCTGGGCGTCCACGGTCGTTTGACTCCTCGAATGGGCGGCCAGATTATGCCCCCGAGTGGGAGCTTGAACCGTTTGGGGGACGTTGGTATCATATTGACGATACTACCAGAAGCGTGCCTATCGATCCAGTATGGGATGACAGCAAAACGGAGCGAAGTGTACCTTACTCTTTCGTACAAGACCGTCTCTTCGCTCCATGGACACGGAGCCGCCTGCTCGTTGATCAGAAGGACCTCCAAGATGCGCTTGGCCCGCTTTGGACTTTGCCATGGGATTCTCGCCAAAGTCTAGCTTTCGAAAAAAAGCGCATTGCTTCGTACACAAAAGGGAATACTAAAAGATTCCTGGGAGAAGCGAAAACGCTTTTCGAGACCCTCAAGAACGGATCCGGGCTTTTTGAAATCACAGATATGGATGATTTTGGTTCCTCTGCAACGTTCAAACCACCTCCGTGGGCTCAAACCCTCGACTCCGCCCTCGATGCTGAGGAGCAGCACCTCATGGTCGACCCAGTCCATTACAATCTTTGTAAAAGCGAGAACGCGAACGAATGGGCGTGCGACATGGAGTCCTCTGTTGGATCACCGTGGTATCGGTTGATTCATTTCCAAGGCCTCGCGTCTGCAGCCGCTAGGGAGATTTCCGCGGAAGATCTCGAGCGCAAGGATAGCAGCGAGCTTTGGGAGCGGATTTTCGCCGTTACTGACTACGAATACCATGACACCGTAGAGATTTTTGATCTACATCTCTTTTGTGGCCAGCGCGCACTGGAAAACCCTTTCTTCGATGAAAGGCTGCCCAAACCATTTCATATCAACTATCACCGAATCCTCATGCCAGAGAGGGCTCGGCGTAAGTCGACTTGGAAATCAGGGTCTTTATACTGCACAGACAAAAAGAAGTTCATCGGAGAAGCGGCTTTTACTTTCCAGATAAGATTGGACGGAAGTTCTCGTGTAGTGGGCGAGGATCCCCTGTCGATACGTCACTGGACCGGTATCCTGCTGACCCCTGACCTGTCCGAAAGATCGTTTGGCTTCACGGGAAATCCGAGTATGATTTTGCAAATTATAAGGCAAGGACTTCAAGGGGCAGCGGATTCCCGGGAAGAGATCAGAGACCATTTCGAATCTATCTTTCAAAGCTCAATCTTTGAGCCTGAGACGCACGACCGACTCCTGTTCGACGATGATAGTTTTTCGCGGTCTAGACTCTACTTCTGGGCAGTGGATAGTCTTGCACTTTTTCAATCGCAAGTTCAGGATGCTGCCAAACAGTGGGATCTCTTCTGGAAAGCTAAGGAGAGTGACCTCAGACATTTGGAGGACGCGAAGGTGTCGAAATTTGGTAAAGGGATTATTAGTTCATGGAAGATGAACGACGAGGACGCCCTGACAATACAAGAGTCCGCGCAGCTCGTGGATGTTCAATGCCAGCGCCTACGAGATCTTAGTGTTCGATTTAAAGATCTCCACGGTAGAGCAATCGGCTTGCGCGACGGAGTATGCTCACCCCTCCTGTTGCATAAACCCCAAAGCTGACAAACGAAAATAGTTATTCAACGCCAGCAGTGTCATTGAAGCGCGAGAAGCCACGAAACTCGCAGAAAACGTAAAGTTGCTTACGTATGTGACCATCTTCTTTCTACCGCTCGGGTTTTGTGTAGCCCTCTGGAGCATGAACGATAACATTGATACGATTGCTTTTGCTGTTACAACTACTGCCGTCGCGCTTGGAACCTACGTTCTTGTCGCAAATTTGAATAACTTCGTTGGCGGTATCAAAATAGCCTCCAAGAAACTGCGAAAAGACGTCATAGCCTCGATGGAGAAGGAAAAGAGCGACGGGTGGAAAAAGTTAGGAAAGGGTTTTGGTACTTTCAAACCTGATCGAGAGAAGATCACGCCGTCCGAGTGGTGGGTTGTCTACTACATTATGGTCAAGCTGGTCAGGACGCCGCGTCCGAATAGACTGTTCAGGCGCTTAGTCAACACCAAAGCATCGTCAGACGAAGAACGGCAAGGAGGAAGCCCAGAGAAATGACTGGAGGAGAATAATTGCAGACCAACTTTTCGATAGTCGCGAGTAATAGATAATTCCGGATACGAGTTTAGGGTTAAGAGAGATTCGAACAATTATTTTGGCCAAAGTCCAAGTGAAACTATCACAACAACTCCCTATTTGAAAATTACCAGAACTTAGAGACTTGTACGTAGCAACCCTTGACGTTAAATCCAGCATAGCGGTAATGCTATTCCCACTCCTCTTACTGCTGATACTTACTCTACGCTTATGGCACAGCATGTCTTGGGGGAGGCTGCGCCATTTCCACAGGCTGATGCTGCTGGGCACCCACCGAGCCCCCAACTTGCGACTGCCCACCCAACTCATGCAACACATCCTGCGGCGGCACGACGCCGTAATGCGGCTGCACATTCGCATTTTCCCATCCTCCTTGAGACGGTGCAGCATACATCGGCCGCGGCGGGCTCGCGGGGCTGGGACCCATTAATGCAGGCGTTGTGGTGGCCGCCGCGAGTTTCTCGGGCGGCGACGCGTAGTATCCTCCGACGCCTCCAGCTCCTCCGTCGCCGCCGCCAGTCGTGAAGGCGGGCTCGGCATGAAGTGTGGAGGGGCCGGCGGCGGTGTTGCGACGCTTCTTCCACCAGAGGAAGAAGCCGAGGAGACCTGCGATCCCGAGGAAGATGAGGCCGCCTAAGATGCTGCCGACGATTGCCGCGATAGGTGTCTTCGGCCTCGGATGAATGGTGGGAGATTGGGACGAAGTAGGCGTCAGCGTTGGCGTCAGCGTTGGCGTTGGCGTCGGTGTCTTAGTTGGGCTTGAAGTTGAAGTTACAAAACCGGGCGTCGAGGTATCTGTGGTGGCTGGGCCTAGAGTAGTGGCCGCGGCTGAGTCTAGAGTCGTAGTTGCGGAGGCAACTAAAGAGTGGGTCAGCAGGGCAAATGCGTTGACTTGACGAGGCAATATTACGTACTTCCAGGTAGGTCGCTATAGTAGTCTTGGATGAGAGTATATGGATGGCGATCGTCGGTTGCACACTCGACGAAGTAGGAGGTATCTCCATCACCGGGCGTCGATACCAAGTAGTCGGAGAGACAGGTATAGCCACTTTAGACTTTGTCAACGGTGCTGATATCCTGTTAGGGAAGTGGCAGGGGAAGTACCAGGTTTCTGACGAGGTATACGAGGTTATGTAATCCTTGGACGTGGAGACATAGACTCCGTAGACCGTATTGGCATCACAGGATGTCCCAAAGGTTGCCCAATCCGAGGACCAACAGCCTCCCCAAGTGTTATTAGCAGTAGTAAACTCGTCATAAGCGGTTCCGATGCAGGTCAGGGCATTATCTGACATTAGGATTGTGTCAGTTTCAAAGCCCGAGTTGAAGATTATGATTAAGATCCAACGTACATGTCGTGTCTCCATCCGAAGTATAATAGCCGACGAAGTCAGTTGAAAGAAATTCGTCTTGTCTCTTCGCAAGACGCGGAGCGGCCGTTATGACAGGATCAGGCACTGCTCCAGCCACAGCAATAGACCCGAGGAAGGCGGAGAGCGCAAGCAACTTGCGAAGAAAGAACATGTTTGAGGACGACGAGTGTGCGAGAAAAGACAGTGAAGCTAGCACTAGGGTAAAAAGAAGTGAGGAGAAACAAAGCTGTTCCGGTGTGCACGGCAGGGAGCTGTTTAAAACAATTCCTCCAAAGGTATGAGCCTGGCGCGCTCGGGTATTTGAACACGGGCTGCATTTTGAGCCTCTGGTAGATAGTCGCGAGGCTGGATCGAGCTCGGTAGGGGATCAAACCCGAAGTCATACCTGGCCATGGCTTGATCGAGACGTCCTGAAAAGAGAGACATGGCGCGCCTAGGCTTCTTGATCTGCGCCATGAGCTTCCTCATTGGTCACCAGCTGAAGAGCAGCATGGTAAGTGGTTGGTGTGCAGGAGGGAGAGTTAGCTAGCTATGCCAGGCTGCCAGGCTGAAGTTTGCATCTCGCCTTGGCAATATTAGCATGCATGCAGGTCCACGGGTGGAAGATCGACCGGAAGGTCGTCGAATGTTGCTTCTTGGCGCCCAACCTCTTGGTACTCGGTTCCGCTCCCGCCCTGGTGCGTTCTGGACCTGCCTATTCTTCCTCAAAGCCTCTCCAACCAACACCCACTCGGCGCATCTCCTTGCCCCCCCATTTCGACGCCACGGATGGTTCTTTGTGTGCAAGGGACCCAGAACCGGATGCATCTGAGGGCCGAAGTACTGTTCGAATGCCGGGGCTCTCTTGTGGAGTCTACATTAAGCTGCACTTAAGCTCAGCTGCCATAGATAACGATTGCTTAGAGAGGACGGATCGGTACGTTCTAGACTACTTCTATGAAGACATTGTCTTTGTCGCTGATTTTGTTAAGTTTGACAACGAAATCGGAGAACTTGAAGAGCGCATTTATGCCGCCGAAGGTCCTACGCGCGCCGAGATTAATCGCTGATGATGTCTTGATTCAGAAACTACCTCTTCATAGAAGAAAACACTGATCTTGAGGCATAGAGAACTCGCGAGTCTGGGATTGAAGGTCGTTGTCCTGGGACAATCGATTGACAAGACGAGGCTGAGATTTAGGCTTTTTCTTCAGCCGTGAGGTGGCGTCTGCACAATCTAATCACGGCACAAGAATAACACTACCTGCATGGATGTCTGCTTGGAAATTAGATCCCTACCTCTGCATTTTGGTGGCTTTCGCCAAAGTTGGACGCCGGTCTCATCTAGATCTCACGACGCAAGGCCAAGCCTATAATGTAGCGATGTTCACTTACCCTAAAACCCGATGCCATTAAAACTCATTTCGCTCTCGAGTCTGAACATACAGGGTATCAGATTGGACAATATAACTGAGCGAAGCTAAGCTTGCAACTGTGTAAGCCTGAGCAGATTTTGGCTACCCTGAGTATGCCAAGGCTTGCCCTAGTACGAGATGAGCTCAACGTTCGAAGACTGCGGGATTATCAAAATCGCTCCCTACGATTAAGATATAACGCAGACATTTTCAACGGCCTCTTTGATAGACGACCACCATCAGGTCGAGAGGAGTTTGAAAACAAGAGTTCTACTGTTTACCAATAGACTTTATTACCACAAGGTCTTGAACAGGTTACTCGAAGGAGCTTCATGGGTACCCTATTTATTTAATCAAATAGGTTTCGACTCCTCTCGTAGTAATCCGGCGTGAATCACAAAGCCAGAGTTTTCTTTCAGCGCATCGATTAATAGCTCATCTGGGACTCTCCAAACATCGAACGATCGATGAAAGGCTTTGAGCCACGATTCGAACACCTCAGAAGATCTGAGTTGCTGGGCTACAACACATACTGTTGGCCTTTGAGTCTTGCTGGTCGATCGAAGATGACAGATCTGAGTACATGTATTTACGAAGGGCTCTATAAGAGCGTCGTTGTAGATGCAGTCACATGCAATAAGCACATCGACACCAATAGGACCGTCCTGGTCACCACCCGCTTGCGTTTGACCTAGGAAGCGGGGGATGGTAGCGACCGAGTCCAGTTCCCAGTCTAGGATTAGCGTTTCGATGTTTGAGACTGTATCGTCCGTTTTCAAGCTAGTTGATTTAGCTTTCTTGGAGCCTTGTTTACGCTTGCTAAGAGGTATAGCTTTCTCGGTAAAGTTCTCAGCGAGGTTCTGTTTCAGCAGCTTAAGCACGTAGTCTTGATCTGTCGCGACGTATTTTCCGACCTGGGGTGCTAGTGAGAGAGCCACGATGCCTGAGACGCCGCATCCTAGTTCGAGGACGATAGACTCTGAACTAAAAAATCCATATTTGGCAAGCACGTTGTCCGAAGCAATCCATTCCGCAAACAGCGGAGTGACGGACCATACAACTAAGCTGGTGGTTAGTAAACACAGCGAGCTTCGGGATGATGAATCTTGAAAAGCAGACCTGCCCCAGTCGTGCCTTCTTTGCGGTTCGAAGAGAGTAGAGCGGGAGACTGGTGAATAGAAAGGTCGCGGCCGGCAACCGTCAACTCGAGCAACGTGGCCTTGGAGTTGATGAATCCTAGCGACCGAGAGGGTATGGCTTGCGAGAAGACGAGAAAGGATTCTGGATTACTCTGAGTATTAGTCAGGTGGTCACGATACCCGTAGCATCCGGATGATGCTTAGATACCTTCTTCGGGATCTGTCACTGGATCACCGAGGGCTCCCAACAGTTCGTTCATGGCAGGCTGCCGAGCGATGTACACGACGGCCCAACAATACTCTTTTCAGCCAGCAAATGGGGTGCAGAGAGCGAGGGGCTGTGTGGTAGGCAAGATGGTGGCGCCTTGACGTGGTCCTTGGAGGCTCTGGCAGGTCGACGGTGTGTTGTCGAAGTGGACGCGTCCGAATCGAAGAAATAGATTTCACGTTGTTGACTTCGAGTCCTACGATGGGGTGCCTGAGAGCCAGTGGAGTGGAGGCTGGACTTTCGGACGTGTACTCTCGGATTTTCGTACCCCAGACCAGGGTGTCCACCTCAGCGTCATTGCGCGCTAGAGCATCACAGCTGGCGATCCGCTTTGGCGTTGCCCAGGTGCTCTCAACACCAAGCACACCCCCATCCGCCACCAAGCCACCTTTCGTATCTCCCTAAACTACTACCTGGCGGACGCTTCAGCTTGTCACCCTTTATCACCCACCCATTAGACCTCGCCGTCGCAGCTTCTCTACTCGAGTCCCGCTCGGTCTGGTACCCACAGCAACCGCCCTCCTCCATCTCTCGACGCACTATCAACGTCGTCGCAAGCCGCCATTATGGTTGCCAACCCCAAAACTTACATGCCTTCGGCGAGAGCCATCAAGAGCGGCCCCTTCACTGTCGAGGCTCCCGGCTACGAGAAGGTCGAAGGCGAGACGATCCCGCGCCGAAATGTCAAGACCAAAGATGCTCTCAAGATGCGCCCGCGAGAGGACGTTGCCACCATCTACGACATCCTGAAGTATTCCTCTGCCACCTTCGGTAATGCCAAAGCTGTCGGCCACCGCACCATCATCGATACCCACGAAGAAACGAAAAAGGTCAAGAAGATGATCGATGGCAAGCAGCAGGAGGTCGACAAGAAGTGGACATACTTTGAGCTCAGCGGTTACAAGTACATCAGCTTCGTGGAGTTCGAGAAGCAGGTCCTGTCGCTGGGATCTGGCCTCGCGAAGCTTGGGTTGACCAAAGAGGAGCGCCTACACATTTTCGCTGCGACGAGGTAAGCTCTAAAGATGCCCATCATCATTATTTCGCAATCCTAATTCTTCACAGCCCTCAGTGGATCTCAATGGCACATGGTAAATATTCACGATGACCTCTATATGCCCCAAATACTGACATGTTGATTTAGCCGCCATATCGCAATCAATGGCCATAGTCACCGCCTACGATACTCTAGGAGAGGAGGGTCTGAAGCACTCGATGCAGCAAACACACGCCAAAGCCATTTTCTTGGACCCAACATTGCTACCAAAGCTTGTCAACCCGCTCAAAGAGGTCAAGGACATCGAATTCGTCATATACAGCACTGTCAACAAGGCCAACCAAAAGGACATTGACACCCTGAAGAACGCTCACCCGGACCTGAAGTTCTTGAGCTTTGATGAGCTGCTGAAGCTTGGCGAGGAGAACCCCGTTGAACCGACGCCACCGTCGCCTGATGATTTGTGTTGTATTATGTACACATCCGGGTCAACGGGAACTCCAAAGGGTGTCAAGCTCAAGCACAGAAACGTGGTTGCTGCCAGTAAATTATACTCAGAATCAAACCCCTTAAAACATAGCTAATCTATACTAGTTGCTGGTGTGGATGTTATTGTTGGTGAGTATCTAGGCCCCGGAGACTCACTGCTCACATACCTCCCTCTCGCCCATATCCTCGAGTTCGTCTTTGAAAATGCTTGCCTATACTGGGGAGGAACCATGGGATACGGCACAATCAGGACCCTTTCGGATGTCTCTGTGCGGAAATGCAAGGGCGACATTCGCGAGCTCAAGCCCACAATTCTCGTTGGTGTTCCACAGGTATGGGAGACCGTCAAGAAAGGCATTGAGGCGAAGGTCAACGCTGGCGGTGCCATTACTAGGAACCTCTTCTGGGGTGCTATGGCTGCAAAGGGCTTCCTACTGGGGTCTGGGCTTCCAGGATCCGGCCTTCTCGATGCTGTCGTCTTCAACAAAGTGAAGGAAGCCACAGGAGGAAGGCTGCGAATTTGCATGAACGGAGGTGGACCAGTCGCGAAGAGCACGATGCGATTCATCTCTCTGGCAATCACTCCTATGATTCTCGGCTATGGACTGACAGAAACAAGCGCGTAAGTATAGTTGATTGTGTTTCGAACTCCAGAACCTAACAGAATCTTAGAATGGGAGCTCTGATGGACCCGTTGTCGTGGACAGGAAGCGGCGTACTCGGCGAGATTCCTGGCTCTATTGAGATGAAATTGGTCGACTTCGCTGATGCTGGCTACTTCTCGACAAACAAGCCCCCCCAGGGAGAAATCTGGATACGAGGCGGAGGTCTGAGCGACGGCTATCTTGATCTCGAGGAAGAAACCAAGGAGTCTTATACCGAAGACGGCTGGTTCAAGACGGGCGACATTGGCGAGTTTGACGCCGACGGCAACATCAAGATCATTGACCGAAAGAAGAATCTAGTCAAGACTCTTGCCGGCGAGTACATCGCACTCGAGAAGGTGAGATGAAACCCCCCGTCTTTAATATCACGTGACTAACTTTGAGAAAGCTCGAATCCGTATACCGTTCCTGCCCTGTTGTTGCCAACATCTGCGTTTATGCGGCTGACGACCAGATGAAACCCATCTGCATCATTGTCCCCGCAGAACCTGCTCTCAAGAAGGTGGCGTCTGATGTTGGCGTACAAGGCGACTCGCTAGAGGAGCTGGTGCACGACAAGAAAGTCAACGCCGCTGTTCTGAAGCAGCTGCAAGCCACTGGACAGAAGGCAGGGCTGGCTGGGTTCGAGATTGTCGCTGGTGTAGTCCTTGCCGATGAGGAGTGGACGCCGCAAAACGTAAGTTTCCTATATGCGCATCGCTCTGGTGTATTTTCCACGTACTAACCCTCACAACAGGGCCTCACCACCGCAGCCACCAAGATCAACCGAAAAGGCATCTTGAACAAGTACAAGAAGGGCGTCGACGAGGCGTATGCTTCCAGTGGTTAGATCCGCTCGCTGCAAGACGGAAAGACAGTCGGAGGTTTGGATGTCGTCTTTTACTCATTAACGGTTGCTTCAGCTCGGAGTGATGGTTTCTGGGTTCTTTATTTCTTGGTTTCTGTATCAGGACCCGTGGAAAGAAAAAGCCGATGAAATAATGGATTTGCACAACCTGTATTTTATGCAACACTCCCCCAACCGCGTTTGAGAATTTAAGTAAGATCGTTTTAATTATATGGATCTTTATGTGAGATGTTTTTGGGAAGTGGTGATTTTGTGGTTGTATGTTCGGAACGGCGATGGAGCATCCATGGTACGTTACCTGGTTTTGAATCATGATGTTGGGCGTTTCCGTAATGGCAGTACTGTGGGCTAAACATCAGAGCGCAGCATCCTGTGCATATACCGCACCGATCTCTTTTGTTCTCTCATCTCTTTTCCCTCAAAGCACATCCAATAACGAAAGACGATAACCCCCGACGAACTACCCGCCCCACCACCACCGCACCGCCAAACACCCAGCCCAACAACCACCAAAATGCTCTTCCCACAACCCTACGTGGGCGCCTACCCCCTCATACCGCCGCCCTCGCCAACATCCTTCAATATCAACGTCACCGCCCTCGTCACACTCTTTCTACCAAACATAATCATGGCCCTCTTACTTGTGCTCTTGTGCGACATCCTGGTGCTTATCGCGACGGTGCAGGTTTTCCGGTGCGTAAGGAAGGCGAGGAGGGAGGGGGATAGGGATGCGGAGGTGGATTTGGAGGAGGGGGTGGAGTTGGAGGGGTTGAAGGTTGAGGGGGTGGGTGGGGAGGGGGATGGGGGGAAATGAGGGTGGGCTGTTGAGGGGTGATGGGGGTTTGGGGTGGACGAGGAAAAGGGAGGGGGGAGTCGGGGATCGCGGTGTCATCTTTTTGGGGGTTTAGAAGCGGATTGCAGGGAGAGGCGAAGGTGTGTAGATGGCGCTGTGATTTGGGACGTTGTGGAATTGATTATTTCGTGAGGATAGAGAGGGACATTTATAGAGCGTTTTTGGGAGGTATAGAGGTATGAAAGAACTGTAGAGTTTGAACCTGAATCGCGAGAGTGCGGAAATGACATGAGGATCTAAAGCAAGATGGAATCTTCGACAGAGCTTCTGTGAGTTGTGACGGTACGCAGGGAGGTACCTACGATATATCAATACGCGAATGGCTTTTACTGTCTTCAGCAACACCATAGTGTCCATTCTTCTTGTGGAATCACTTTCCTGCCCTCTTCGATTACACGAAGTGGTGCCACTAGGCTGAATCTTCCCGCTTTGGCCAAGTCCGTTCCCTCGTCAATTAGATCGTCCCAAAACCATGTTTCCTCCCCTCTAGCATCTAGAAGCCTTTCACGGGGTACTTCATCCCGCAGTATCCTTGCCATGAAATCTCGCATTGCGAGAAGACACCCAGCAGCGTCTGCATTGACGGTAACATGACCCGCACAGAGGAGGACACTAGGCTTGAGCTTCGGCGGAGAAGGCACAACATCGATGCTACGCCACTCCCCTCCTATGTCTGAGTCGACAATAGACTCGAAAATAAGACCTTGGGGTGGAGGGCTGCCAATTCCATCTTGCACCTTCCCACTCATATCCTCCTCTTCCTCCACATCCTCTACATCTTCGACCTCCGTGTCCTTTTCTTTCACGAACTCCACAACCTTCGCCAAACTCGCCCACCAGTCGCTTAGGACCGACTCTTTCACCAAGATTACCGCAGCTCTGGGCTCCTCTCCCCAAGGTGTGTCCCGGCTGTCCCGGCTTTCGGTCTCGTATAAGCTATCCCCAACGCAAAGGAGACGCGTCTCGGCGTCAAACCAGGCGAGCGAGTCAGGCGTATGGCCGGGCGCGTGGAGAATTTGGATATTGGTTTGTAGAGGCAAGCCACCGAATGGGTCCTTGTAGGTCACGTATGACAGATCTACGGCCCATGTGATGTGGTACCAGGGGGCGCGACGGTTGAGGCGGTCGCAAAGAGAGTGCCTTTGTAGTCTGGAATAAGGGCTTAGAAAATCCGTGGAGTTGGAGGATGCGAGCACGATCGTTGGTGGCCCTCCCATAGTTTCGTGGGTGATAGGCTCGGAGGTGGTACCCGTGTCATGGCGGCGGCTTGGAGAGATATAGGAGGACAACGAACTGTCCGTTGGCGGAAGATGATGAATTCCAAGGATGTGGTCGTAGTGGCAGTGCGTCGTAATCACCACATAAGGAATTCGGCTGTCTGGATTGATGGTGTGCTCGAGGAATGTGCCAATGTTCCAGAACTTAGGTTGGGAACTTTGGGGAGATGACGGGGAGTATTGTGGGTTTGGGAGGTTTGTCCCGACGCCTGTATCGCTGAGGACGATGATGGAGAGGGTGTTGGAAGAGCAGATCTTGGCGTATATGTGCGGATGCTCACCGTAAATGTCGTTCTCACGGATCAAGTACGTGATAGGGTTGATGCGGCGGATGCTAAAGGGGCAGGATGGGTTTGAAGGAGGCAATGGCATTTCGGAGGGCGACGCTCGTGTTTTGGAAGACGTGGTTGCTTGATTTTAGGACGACCTAGAAGACAAAAGATTCAATCGGTCATTCGGTTTAGATTCAAGTAAGCTACTTAGATCGGTCGTGGGTCATGAGATGCGCGAAAGTGTGCAGATAGAATAGAATACAGAACTCGATGCGTCTGCCGTTGCTTGAGATAGCTCCGCACGTCTACGAACTCGTCTCAGATATCAACACTCTCTATGGTTTGAGAGAACATGTCAATCAGATGCTCTCAGCTCATAGATGGTAGATGGGTGGAAGGTCCTTGGAATAGGTGGAGTTCAAAGTATTCTAACTAGTTGAAGACGCCGTGCCGCACCGTCCGCAGAGAGAGCCCGACCGTGAGTCAGCTTCTTTCATTCAACGTCGGCTTTATCTACTTTCATCCATCTCATCTCGACCACCCTTGCGAACTAATTGAAATGCTGTAAGCTTAGATTTTCCGGTATACAGTATAACTAAGTTGTGCTTCTCAACACGGCAGCATTGGCTGTCCCATTGGAATTGCCAACCGCGAGATTACCCTGTATGAGAGTAACGTCATAAGCCAATGTATTTGAATCATATTCCGTCCATAACAATAGCGAAACCAGTCACATATACCCTAGTCCAGTAGCACGCCTTGAGCTCTTGGCGCGTTCGGAGTCCCGGCCTTGCATGCCTTCGACAACCCGCATTGGTCCACCAAAAGCTGCATTTTCAGCCTCGTCAGTGTAGACGAAAGATTTCTGGGCGTAAAATGCGCCAAGCTTTTGAAGATATGGGGGCCAAAGAGGCGGGGTATAGCATTCAACGTACGAAGTACAAGTAGCCTTCGTCAAGTGAGCTATAGGACACGACACCACGCAGATGAAACAGGACTACGAGCATCATCATCCGACATGAAAAAGCGGATTATTCAGCGAATCAAACAACAATTTGGCTTCTCTAGAGATGGCCATACATGCTCAATATGCGGAGGCATGTATATCTCGCCAGAGGAGAACAGAGGAAACGATGGCGCGGCTACTTATAAAGAGCTGGAGAAAGCGGGAAAGAACGGTTGTGATATATGCAAGGTCCTTCAAAGAGCGCTGCTCCAACTTGCGACGTCTTCATCTGTCCCTACGGAACATCTATCCTTAACGTGGAACCAGCATTGGCAGACCACAAGTTGTTTCTTCTTCGTTGACCGTGAGAATAAGGATTTTGCAACGTTGGAACTACACCTAGATCCAGGTACGATCATACTCCTAGCAAATCTGTACTTCGATTGTGCAATAACTGCCAGAAGGGAACCTACAAAAGCTTTTCCCATTCCTCCGTGCGCCAGCGATCCCTTCCGGGTTAGATTCAGAAGAAAGCTTCAATACAGTTCTTGGATGGATTGGAGACTGCTTGCAGAGTCATGGCCTGTGTCAATCCAAGCAGCACATGAAGATGCCCACAAGAGTACTCGACCTTGGTCATCCTGATGACAGGACCACAGTGAGACTCGTCGAAACTGAAGCAAATTCGCACAATGGCCGGTATGTGTGTTTGAGTCATTGCTGGGGCAAAGCTAAAGTCGAATGTCTCACGACGCAAGCTACACTTGAGCGAAACAAGCAATATATTCCTTGGGATGTGTTGCCGAAGACATTCCAAGACTCCATTCTCTTCACACGCCGCCTGGACGTTCGGTATCTCTGGATCGACAGCATCTGCATTATCCAAGACTCTGAAGATGATTGGCAGCGTGAAGCTTCGCTTATGTGCCAAGTTTACCAAGGTGCTTACCTCACGCTTGCCGCCGGATGGGCGAGAGATGATACCGATGGGTTGTTTAAAGAAGCTCCAAAGGAATACCGATCAATTCAGATATTGAGCCCTCCAAAAGCTCGTCTACCTGCTAGCATATTCATGCGGACACCGTTGCGGCATACTTGGGATTGGCACAGCCGAAGTGCAGACTTGGAATTACATCCACTTACATCTCGGGCGTGGTGTTTCCAGGAACGGCTCTTGTCCCCACGGGTACTATACTTTAATGCACATGAGCTCGTTTGGGAGTGTATGACGAATTCACGCTGTCAGTGCACGGTGTCCGGGCCTATCGCCGCGGAGGATCCACTGCCTAAAATCGAGTATGCTCATTCTGAAACTGTGCCCTCTCAAGATCTTGTCGAAAGCTGGCACAAGCTAGTCCGCAGTTATTCTTTCTTGGACCTTACTTTCGAAAGCGACATCTTTCCTGCCCTTTCTGGGGTGGCCAAAGAGATGCAACAGCGTCGAAATGGGCCATTATATTATGCAGGACTGTGGGGTGACAGCCTTGAAAAGGACTTATTCTGGTATGTCACCTCCAGTCCAGTTCGAGCACCCGCAGTTTGGAGAGCGCCATCGTGGTCGTGGGCCTCTACGAAAAGCTACGTCGATTTTCGACAAGTGGATGTGGTGTGCTTCCAAATTGTAGCCACTGAGGTCCATTGTGCCGGCATCGATCCCACGGGAGCGTTGCGTGCCGCGTCTATAACTCTCAGTGGTCCCATGGTGCCAGCTGTTTTCGTAGCACGAGGCTTCGGGGGCGTTGCGCTACCAAGCGTCAGAGAGTTAGAAATTGGTTTCATTCAAGACCATGATTTCTACTATGATCCCACCTGTAATGAGGAGTCATATCGAAATGGAGAATTGCCCGTGTATCTTCTTTACATGGGTTACAGAACAATGATGGTTTTAAGAAAACCTGATATTACATCATACTATATGGTACTTCAGGAAGTACCAGAGAAGATGAGTACATTTAGGAGGCTCGGATTCGGAACTTTTAGGGACAGTTCAGTGACAGCAGTTGTGCCGTTCGAGTACCAAACATTTACTATTATTTAATGTAAGAAACTACTATATGCGCGCTTGAAGAACTAGTGCTAATCGTACAGGATAACGTTCCCTACCATACAAATAGCTAAGATATTTTAACTGACTCCTCCCTGACCACTAATACCTAAAGCGACCGTATTCCCCCAATTTCGACACGGTCTCAACATCCAGCTTGAACACGATAATTCTAAGGACGTTACCGTCTTAAGGGCTTGTCTAGCATGACAATATAACTCTTTTAAGATGGGTCTATCCTTAGGGCGTGACTATCTAAGAAACGCCTTTATCGTAAGATGCCACCGTCGTAAGAACATAGCCGTCAGCCTGTCTCAAGACCATGGCTTATCCAAGGCCGTAGCTGTCTTACGAGCATGGCTATTTATATAGAACAGATTTTCTTAACTAATAAATGCTGGATTGCTGAAAGCTCTCTGAAGGTGGTGGAGTTAAGAGAAGGTAATCGAAGATGCTCCCACTATGAGTCAGCTTCTTTCATCCTACGTCAACTCTACCTCCTTTCACCCATCTGATCTCGACCACCCTTGCAGACTGATTGGCATGATGTGAGCTTAAAATTTCCGACATTCAGCGTAGTGCTCTCCTTGGCAGCAGTACGAACTATTGGCTATCCCGATGGAATTGTGAACCTATATTCTATGCAAGGAACGTCAGTCCGTAACCAGAGCGAAACCAGTCATATATCAGGTTCAGTATCTGCCTTGAGCTCTTGGCACGATCGGCGTCCTACTCTATTCATCAGTAGTTATTCCTTGACTTCTTGAAGGGTCCGCTATGACGTAACCGAATTACCAAATTACTTTACTATATGACATGGACCAAGTATATCCACAGATGGAGATGGACGGCGATCATAGTGAGTGTAAGTTCGAATGGAGTTGCGGTTGCCGGATTGTTGGTTTAGATGATTCATACCGACCCGTGGTTCAACCAAAGTCATAATCCCGCAACCCACGGCTGGAATTTACCTACGCACTGATCACGAAGTGCTCTGCTATATTCTTCTCTTGACCATCACTACACAACGCGGCGGGGTATTCTGCATCACAATAGCACATTCTACAAAGGCGTCCTTCTCAAGCACGTCCTCTCCAATGAAAGAAATGCATAGCCTCGCGCCGCCGCCCGACCCTCCACTCTATCCCGACAGTATCCCTCTCTACCTTCTCAAATGGTGGGAACATGCAGTTTGCTACCTTCTATCCGTTGTCTTCCTCGTCATCGACTTTTACGTACCTGGCTTTCCATTCAACGACCAGCCTAAGGCGGCTTCTATTGTCGCAGATATCTCTTTTACTAGTTCACTCTTTCACCACCATTTAGCGCCCGCAACGATCCACCTTCGCATGGCTCCTCATCTTGCCGTCGAGGGGCTCTATCTTCTTGTGGCTGTTTTATTCTCACGCCTGTTGGTCCGAAGCCTCCGCCGTGGCATAATCGTTTACCTCGCTCTCCGCATTATCTGGGCCATTGGCTGCGTCCTCTACATATATATCCCAGAAGGCAGACCTCAACCTGGGAACTACTACTTGGTCGTACAATGGTGGCCGGGCGCTCAAAAGGACACCCTCCTCCTTACGAACGCTGGGATACTCAGTGCAATGGCTGGATCGGTATTCAATACTGTATGGTTATTGTGGGAAAGTGGTGTCAATAAGAGTGAATGCCAGAAAGCTAGACATGGACACGGTTGTGCTTGCGCATACACCGGGCATTGGAGGGACTACCTACTGTAGATAAAAGAGGACTTGGTTAAGATGTCATGGGGAAGGGATGAGTAGGGTTGGGGGTGGCAGACACGCTTGGCAAGGCCAATAACAATGTTGCGGGCCCTGTTCCCAGGTAGGAGAAGGTATTCTACTCGAAGATGCTGCACCGTCCACAGAGAGCCCCACGATGACCCAGCTTCTTTCATTCAACGTCAACTCTACCACCCAGGCTTGCTTACACAAAACTTGGAAGACGTGAACCTGGGATTATATTCGAGGCTTATGTATACTTGTCTAGCACTGCTTAGGGTCCTCTAAAACATCATCAAAAGTTCGAAAGAACGGCTTTAACAAGTCTGATAGCTCATCAGGCCACCTCAGACGGTATTAGACTGTCAACGTATGTTCAACGGAGCCTGCCACCATCGATCTCATATCAACATCCATTTCAATCGGGCTACTCCTTGTACTTTTTGAGTATTTGCAAGATCCTGAATCGTCTAAAAGCCCTCGCTGAGACCGGTGGGTATAGTTGAGGAGCAGATGCCAGAGATATACCGATGATCGACCGGGGTTGATTTTGAGCAGTACAGTGCCAGGTCATAAGTCTGGGCACATGGAATTATCACTGCTTAGCTCAAGTCTTGCTCACTCGACACCACTGTAAGGAGCAGTCTAGCTAGTAAGCAGCCAGTTAGTCAAGAGGCAGTCTAATTTGCGCTACTTCAAACTTGACATCGCACCTAGGGTTTTTCAAACTCCATGGGGGGTTACCCCAAGCAGTGGTAAACGCGTGTGCACAGACTTATAACCTGTCACTGTAACTTCAGTACGCGAGTACGCGACGCCGTGTGGAGTCTTTTAGCAGCTTCAGGGAAATCCCAACTGTCAAGACGCACGAGTGCGTGTTGATACGCTGGATTCTGACATGGATGGCGATGTCTGGAGGTGAGGATTTCGCCATGTGACATTGATCTCTTCACTTTCCGGTTGTCACAGTCTGCTAGTGTCACGAATGAAAAGTCAGATCCCGTACTCTGGGCTCTGTTTTCTAATAAAAGGTTCCGAGGATTCGAAGAACGTCGAGAAAAATCGATAGCAGGAAAACACTGAGCATCTGCTTGCTCGAACTAAGTCCCCAAACTAGCAGCGTCGTTCCATCGGCGAACAAGTCGACCCGCCCCAAAGATATGGGCAAACGCAACCCTTTCCATGGCCAGCCCTTCGGCATAGAGACCTACCCTTACCAATGATACCCATCACAGCAAGCCACGGCAAGCCAAACACGTACACGGCCAAGGCAAAATTCTCGGTTTTCAGTCGTCCTTCATGGCAAGATTGTCCAGCTCTGCAAACATACTTGGCCCAGACGTCGGCTACCACCGAGAGCAATACTATGGGCATCACGCCGAGCAAGATTAAGATGTAGTTGTGGAAGATCCGCCAGACGGCGCGTTTGTTGGTTGATTGCTGCACATATTAGCTAATGTGCTCCTTCAGTAAGGTGGATGGGCGGATGTACGCAGGAGTAGAAATCACTTACGTCCTTCTGCCATATCATCCATACGTGGGTGAACCCGTTCCCCACTATGAACATGAATATCCTGGCATTAAACTTTACCGCCTTGCGGTAAAGCTTCGACGACGTGCTCGGGACCAGCCAGTAGACTACAGGATGTGTGCGTTCTTCTGGTATTGCTATGCAAAGGAAGCAACCGGTGAACCAGGTGATGCGGAGCGTGAGATAAGCCGAAACCCCAGCGCGGTAGTTGTGGACCAAGAATCGCCAGACCAGAACGGCGATAAGTAGGTATAGAGCTTCCACAGTAAGACGGCCACGGAGGGGTATCAGAAGAGGAAGCGGAGCGAGACCCGATCGGTTGGTGTCGAGAAATTGCCGGGAAAGGTTTTCGAGCGCGACCGCCACAGAGCCATGCTGAGCGAAGGGGAACCTGGGAAAATAAACGTCGACGGTAATGAAGAGAATAGTCAAGAGGTAGCATGCTGCCACCTCCCGCCATGTGAGCAGGCAGCGTCGGATAGAGTCAGGCTGTGTGAGATCGTACGGCTGCGGGATATCGTCCTTCTCGTACTTCTTGGAGCACGCATTCGTAGGACATTCTTTTATCGAGGACGCCATCGTGCGTTACTTTGGGCGATCTGTCGAAGTGTGTGATGGTGATGGAGGGACGGACAAGGTGGCTCCGTTAAAGTAGTCAAGCACGTCGCGATCAGAGCGCAAGCAGAATGCAGGTGTGACCGTGAGGTCTTGGAAGGCTGAGGTTGAACCATGGGTGAAATGAATTATCTACCCCGCCAACGATCAGTCAACCGTAAATCCATCGGATCTGGAAAGATTTCGAGGCGACTTTGTTTCCCCCGCAACCTTACACCGTCTCCAAGCCAAGCCGATCAACTCATGGCCGTCCTCTCCAGGAAACCTCAATACCACGTCTTCCATCCCATCCACCGCAAACCCAAGAGACCACTTCAGCCCTTCGGCTCCCTCGTTGAATACCCCATGCTCTGAGTCCCAATGTACAGTAACAGGCCATAAGTCTATGCACACGCGTTCACCACTGCTTGGGGTACCCCCATGGTCTTTTAAAACCTAGCCACGACGTCAAGTTTCAAATAATGTAAATGAGACGACCTCTTGGCTGACTGGCTGGTTACTAGCTGCGCCGCTCCTCACAGTGGTGTCGGATGGGCAAGATTGGTGCCCAGCAGTGATAAATCTGTGTGCCCAGACTTATGACATAGTACTGTACAAACGCCGTCGAACCCGGTCTAACAACATGTCTTTCCCCTTTGATAGAGACAAAGTCATAAGCCGAGATGATGCAGTATGCTTCCGACTGCGTGTGCTTATGACAGGCCATGAAGCCGCTGGGGGAAGGACAAGAAGCGATGCCGGCGGTCAGAGCGTTAGTGCCAACAGAGAAGAGGGTAAGCCTGTTTGTATTGCCGTGAGCGATAGAGGGAAAAGAATTGAGGTGGGCCGAGAGCGCCAGTCTAGCTGGTAGTCTCGCTTCCCGGCATCCGTCCACGGCCCCCCAGGCGCAGTCAACCTCTTCATCGCGAGGCTCAGGTATGTGATGCGCTCCGTGATGGGAATCGACTAAAGAATTTTCAAGCTGGGGAGCTGGAGCGGCCAATCTGAGCATTTTGAGGGCCGTGCAGCTAACATTTGATTGCCTGGAATGGGCTAGGTTTGGCCAAAATGGACTCGAGTTCCTGACCTGCCAATAGAACTCGCTGGTGTTGATGATGCTCAGCAGCGAAAAACACAGCAACTTTGATTCAGAAAAGCCGTGGGCTTGATAACATTGGAAAACCTCGTGGAACGATGAAAGCTTAGGCAGACAAGGCTGCATAGCTGTCGGAGAGTTGCCGGGGCTGGAATTTAAATGGAGAGGAGCGGAGAGAGCGGCCGTGCTATGAATGGCGGTGACGCGATATACAAGATGCGGTTGCAAATGTAAGCCCGGTCACCCTTCTTCTCAGTTCTGCGCAAATGTCAACTTCATGAGCAAAACAGACCATGGAACAATGGACACTGCGAAAACGTACCTTGATCCCAATACTCCGCCTTACACTTCGTCTTCAGACCACATCGTGATATATGCCTCATATTGATGCTCCAACATCATTCTCCGTCATCGTACTTTTCCCAAAAGGTCCAACTGCGAATACCATCTTGATTCCATGCTCATCTCCCGCATTCTGCATGTCTCGTCTCTAGCTGCATGTTCGTTGTCCATCTATCTCTATGACTTATTTTCTCTACCCTTTGGCATCCCCTTTCTGGCTTCCCTTTTGGTTTGTTTTCTGGGTTGTCTTCTGATTGTCTTTGTCCTTTGTGTTCGGCTTCTTGGTTCGTCTTCTTGTTTCGTGAGTTCGGTTCGTCTTCTGCTTCATCTCTTCCTGCTTTATCTCTCCCAGCTTCATCTCTCCCAGCTTCATCTCTCCCAGCTTCATCTCTCCCAGCTTCATCTCTCCCAGCTTCATCTCTCCCAGCTTCATCTCTCCCTGCTTCGCTCCTTCCTACTTCATCTCTCCATGCCACATCATTCTGCTCCATGCCACTGCTCCATGCTGTTGCTCCATGCTGCTGCTCCATCGTGATACTCCATCGCCCAACTCAATAATCTTCCTGCGATTTCCATGCTAGTCCTTTTGACAGCAAGTACTGCGCCGTCCTCCGCCAGGGCCGTCTGGGAGGCTCGTGGATGAGGGATCACGAGAGTGAAGGAAGACCCTTATGCGTTGCCGAGAAGTTAGAATAGCGAAAAGTCGCTAAGTGAAGACAAGAGTCCACTACCAAACTCGAAAAAGGAACTGTTAACTAGTTTGGACCAACGACAACGGCACTCGAGGGATAAAGTGGTGCAGTCGTGAAGTGTCCAGTCGACTTCCGATTCCGGGGCTAATCTTGAAGCGGATGGTGAGCGACAACAAGCTGGCATTTTGCTAGGAACAATGAAGCCAGGCCAGTTTTGAAGATGACTCGATACGTGGCGACTGAGTCTCTTATGTTCCGATCGTAGCTGATCCGTGGGAGCCCAGGTTGGACCATGTTGGGAGTCGAACTATGGTGTGTGATGCTTGAATAGATATCAAAGGTACATGTTTCAGCGTGGCCACATTGACTGTCAACTGCCCCCGGAACGGTGGCTAGGGAACGATCGGTTGTCGCAAGCACGCCGTTCAAATCGATAAAAATGATTCAACTTGTCGACGTTTGGGTGATACTCCTCGAAGTGCGTGACCGGGCGAGAGAGCTGTTTCTGAACTTGATAAAGAAAGGCTACGGAAGGACTGTTATGCTATGCTACCAGCGACGGAATAGGTCGGCTTACCTGTGGAAGAGCTTACCATGGTGTCATGATTTTGGGACAGTGCAGTGCTTCGCCGACAACTGATGCTTCTTCTATACGCCGAGGATAGTCGACTCGTAAACAAGGCCTCTTAAGCGCTTCCGAGGCCAGCCGATACGTAGGAATGACGATTCGTCAGTGCTCCGAGACTGCCAGGCCTTGCAAGGCCTTTGTTAGGGGTAAGCGTACAAGTAGCTGGCAGTTGGGAATCAAGATTGATTCTCAATTCACACTCTTTTGTGGCGCTGTTAGTAAAGCCAGCTGCCCGGTCTCACAGAGACAGTCGATCCGTCGGTGCTCCCGGGGGAGCCCATGAGGCAGTCGGGTTATTTTTTTTCTGCACAGCAACAGCAGTCAGCCTTGATGAATTTAGGATAAGACGCGGAGATGGGTCCTGTTCTGACTTTTTTTTCTCTAGAAAATCAGAGGTCAGCATATGTATCAACAATCGATAATGAATGGATGAAGCATGGAGAAGACCTCGGGAGAATCTTACTTTTTCTTTTGTCTCCCTCCTCGCCTGACACAGCATGCATTAGTCGACAGCAATGGGAGACACATGGACGTAGAAACAAACCGTGGTGGGGGTGCTTGACACTCTGCCGGCTTACTTGTGACCTCCCTACTCGATCTTGGCCCACGCCAGAGATCGAGCATGCCCAGCTACGAACACGGTCTCCCTATTGCAAGTATATCATCAGCATTTGAGTCCTGGACGATAATGCTCGAGATGGAGTATTCGACGGCAATCGGCTCCTTGGAATGCATGATGGGACGTTGGACATACTCGTTAGACGGCGGAGGAGGCCCCCCCTACGTAGAAGAGTCAGCACAGGTATCATAAACGGGAGCGTGAATTGCACGCTGCAACTTCGATGATGAAGATGGATGTTAGATGAACAACACTAGTGCAACTCAGGGCTAGAGGAAGCTGAGTCCTGGGCGGGTTGTCGAAAGGCCCTCGAGGGACCTCAAACGGTGGCAAGCCTGGAAGCGAAACGACGAAGGGCTAGGTAGGAACATACTTTGGGATAAGGGGGTCTATGACAAGCCAGACCAGGAGCCACATGATGATCCCGCAGACCACCATGCGACCTAGGTCAGCTCTGGCTGCGTCATAGAGGGCTCGTAGCTGGGTGGGGTCTAAGAAAGCCGGCCAGAGTTTCCAAGAGAACTCCATACCGATGCCGGCGAGGAGGGAGATTGCGAAGTTAGCTATAGTTTTGATAATGATATACATATTGGAGTGAATGTATGTCTAAAGTGTGTGAAGGAAGAAACTGGGAATCGGGGGACGCATTGTTGTTATTGTCCCTACGAAGCGTGCCTTCCATCTCCAATATGCTCTCTCCCCAAACACCCATACTCTCCTACCTCGTTCATAGCCTCCCTCCTCGCCTGACACAGCATCCATTAGTGGAAAGCAATGAGAGACACAGGGACGTAGAAACAAACCGTGGTGGGAGGGCTGACACCCTGCCGGCTTACATATGACCTCCCTCCACGATCTTAGCCCACGCCACAGATCGAGCGTGCACAGTCACGAGCCCAATCTCCTTATTGCAAGTACATCATCAGCGTAACGCAACTTGGAAGAGCGTAGTGTGACTTGAGAGGAGAGATGAAAGGTTGGAAAGAGCACTAATTCATCTCTTTAAGCGACTTTGAGGTCTATGTTTTGGAAAGATGCTAAAGAGGTGATAGCACTCCACGCAGTGGCTAGTTTTGTTTAAAAGTCGGCCTAATTCGCGGTCTGCCGGATTCGACGTCTCATCCAAATTTTAATCACCTGTCGGAGGACCTCGAACATCGCTATCAACACGTCGTCAGAATCAAGCGGTTGGGACCTCTAATCAGCGTTGTCTTGACTTTTACATCTCTTCTGGATTTTCGATGATGTACTAGAGATCCTCAGACGGTGGTAAGTAGGAGTGTACAGACTGTAGGTCAGGCCGCCGAAATAACATTGAATAGGTATGTCGGGTCCAGCAACCTACAATCCAGTCCCCCAACATCTCACACCCTCTCTCACCAATCACACGCCCAGGGCGCCTCACCTACTTCCACCCAAATAAATCCTTCTCCACCAACCCCCTACAAATCGGATGATAAAACTCCCTATTCCGCTCAAACGTCTCCACCGCCAGCTCCCGATCCACCTCTACGAGCCCTCGATACAGCGGCCGCACAAACTTCATCCTGCCCACCTTCCCTAGCAGCTCCGCCGTCGGCTTATATACGCTCTCCGCGCGAGCCTTGAGGCCCAGCCCGAAGAAGCGCGCGACGAGCTCGACGTTCTGGGAGGCGGCGAAGGAGTAGACGGAGCCCATGGTATCGATTGAGGAGGCCGGAAGCGGGGGCAGGGTTTGCAGCTTCTCGAGAAAGACGACGGATTGTTGGGCGAGCCAGTGGGATATGTCGGAGGGGGCAGGCTTGAAAGTGCTGGAGGAAGAAGTGGAGGAGGCCCATTTGTCGGCGAGGGCGAAGCACTCTTTTACCATGGTCTGGTCGAAATCGGGCTTTGGGGGGTAGCCGGGGGCGTAGAACCAGGTGTCCCAGTCTTGATACGTTAGTTGTGTCTGCGTTAAGAAAAGGAGGGGGATGACGGAAAGGAGTCAACATACCAATCTCCTCCAAGTTCTTCGCCGCCTCCTTATCGCTCTCGAAGAACTCTAACAACGTAGCCTTGAAATCAAACGAGTCCAGACTCTTGAACTTATACTTCGTGAAGTAGTGCGGGATGAACTTATCCCACTTCTCTTTCCCCACTTGCTTCTCGAGGTAATACAAGAACACGAAGCCCTTCTCATACGGAATCGATGAGAACGCATCATCCGGGTCTTTGCCCTTCAGATCAACAACCAACTTCGTGAACTCGTGGTCCTCGCCAAACAGCTCGATGGAGTCTTGTAGCGCTTTCCATCCAATGATGGCGCTGAAGTCACGGAATTCCTCGCCGTGGAGCGCGGCCTGGATCCGGCGCTCGAGGTACGTCGTCCAGCCCTCGTTGAGCCAGAAGTGCTCCCAAGATGCGTTGCTGACAAGATTGCCGCTCCAGCTGTGGCTCAGCTCGTGTGCGATGACGTCGATGTTCTGCTTGTCGCCGCTGATGATGGTCGGAGTCGCAAAAGTGAAGACGGGATTCTCCATACCGCCGTACGGGAACGAGGCAGGTAGGATGAGCGCGTTGTACGTCGTCCATGCGTATGGGTAGACGATGGACTCGGCGGCTTCCATGAACTTCTCCATGTCGCCTTCGAGCTCCCATTTGCAGGCTTGCAGCTCCTCGGGCCCGGTTACAACGGTGCTGCGAGGGCCAATGGAGGCCGTGGCGAGGTCTCCGGCAGCAATGGCGAAGAGGTAGCTAGGGATGGGGTTCTTCTGCTCAAACGTGTAGGAGAGAGTTCCTGAAGCACCTTTTTCGCCCGGCTTGTAGTCTTCGGCGCCGGTAGGTAGACCGCTGGCTACTACTGGGAGAGACGAGCGGATCTTGAAAGAGAAGGTGGATTTGACGTCTGGCGTATCTTGGCAGGGGAATACGGAGCGCGCGTGGATGGCTTGACATTGGGAGACTGGATGACGATGAAAAACATGATTACAAGACTGGATAGATATGAAACTTACACATATACGGGTGCTTCTTGTTAGAGGTTTGGGCGGGCGTAAGCCATTGAAGCGCGGTGCATTTGTCCGTCGTGCTCAATTTGACCTTAAGCATCCCGAGTTAGCTTTTCTGCCTTCTGTTCCCGTATCACAGACGAATACTCGAGTACTCACGTTGATAGCAAACTCCTTCCCCTTCTCCACCCCCTTGCCCAGCTTAACAGACAACGGACTCCCATACGGCTCCGACCTCTCCGCCACGCTCCATTCCACAGCCTTGTCATCAACATCGACGTCTTTGATATCGAGAAAACTGCCTCAATCAGCAAATAGCCACACCTCAATCCACCACATTCATCCGTCTCTTCCGAACCCCCTCCTCCCCTTTCCTCTTACACCTCCGGTCCTCTAAAAAAAATAAAAATAAAAACCCACCTCGTATCCAACACAACCACCCCCTCCCCATACCCAACCTCCCCCAAGCTCTCCAACACTAACCTCACCACCCCCCGCAGCACCTTCCGCTCAAAATCAATCTCCAGCTCCGCCGTCGTATGCCTTGTCCTGAACGCATCGTAATTGCTCAACGTATTCGGATCGCGCGGCATCTTCGCAGCCCCACACGTCGCAAACCCTCTAGTTCTAAAGCTTGAATGCCGGGTTGTAGATCTAACAAGTCTAGGCAGCCAGGTGAGAGGGCGGATGCGGTTCATGTAACAACGGAAAGAAAGATAGAGTAGGGAGGGACGAGGGCTTTTTGAGGATGTTTGATGATACGAGGTGGAGGTTTGGGGGCCGATGTAAAGCGGGAGTGTGGTGCATGGAGCTGCCCGGAACTGTCTAGCGGCCGAGTCACGTGACTTTGGTTGGATGAGGCAGGTCGGTTTTTGGTTGAAAGTGGAGTGGGACGTGACGGTTATGGGACATGCTATACAGAAGAAAGCATCGTTTTGTACATATAAGGCAATCATAAGTTGTGACGTCGAAGTGTAACGCTGTCCAGTGCCTTATTGCCTTTCTCTTCAATTTCGCGCAATAATGGGATCCAGACCTCAAGTCAAGCCTCGTGCACGATATATGCCACACAGTCTTCAAAATACCTCGAATTAAATGCTACAGACTCCCACTCTCCCAACGCCGCTGAAAACTCAAACCCAAAACGGCCTCCAACTACAAGGGGTCTGGGTAATATCAAAACATACCCCTCGCCATCCAAACACCTCAAGAACGCTAAAACGAGGAACTCGCCCGCCGTGAATACTGCTCAGCTAACCGAGCGATGAAATCAATCCTTCTTCGTCCCTCCGCTCCTTCCCCTCCCTCGATCTCTTACGGCCGCTCCCAAATCCGCCCTCCCGCTACCATAGAGACCAGAACCGGATGGGGCACTTAAAGAATCCGTGGTCCTTCGCCCCCTTCCCAGCTCGTCTTCATCGTCGTCGCCGCCGCCGCCAACGTCGAAAGCGTCATCGCGCAGCTCAATCAGGTCGCCCATGTCTCCACCAACGACGCCGATCACAGGGACCGCCGAGCCCCTGCCTGCTCCGTTCTTGGTGGACGGCTCAAGCATAGTCGACGCCCCTTTCGCCATCTTCCGCATCCAGCTCTCGATCGCACCGCCGACGTTCTCGAGGTCGATACCGCCGCCTCCTGCAACGCGTCCGCCACTATTGGCCGTCTGGAAGGAGCTCGGGATGTCAGAACCATAAAGGCCGGCATCATCTACGAGACCAGGATTCCAGGGCGTGAAATACTCCTGTCCTGGGGGTGGCGCGACGCTGGGGAGGTGCGAGGCGAAGAGCTTATTCAGGCCATCTTGAGCGGGACCAGGGCTGCGGACGTTCTTTCCCATGGTACCGACGCCACCGGGCCCATGGAGGTGGAACTGTGATAGGCTTGATGTGCGCTGGCGGGCGCCGGGCCGTGTTGGGGGGCTGTTGCTCGCGATGGGTGTGATAGTCGTGGTGCTGCCGCCTTTGACACTAATCAGAGAGGGCGAATGGGCGTGGGAAGATACAGTGGAGAGCGAGGAGCGAGGAAGGTCGAAGGAGGAGGATGCAGTGGGGGTGTCCGAAAACGTAAGAGATTTCCGGCGTGCGGGTGGGAAGAAGCCCAGGGTTCGACGCGGGAGACGCGCGACTTCGGTGGGGTTCGCGTCGTTCGGGAGCATGACCCAGGATTCGTGTTTCCAAGGTGGCTCGGAATCTGTGTTAGATGTTGACGAGTGTGGTCGTGGTGCTGATGTGATTTGGTTCGTGGAATGCCATCCATTGGTGAGGGTAGGAGTCTGTGTAGGAGTCCGTTCGCTATCCGATGTGCTATCTCCGTATCCACCAAGGAGAAGGTCGTCTTCTACGTGAGTACTATGGTCCGAGACTGGCCGCCCTTTTACTCCGCATGCATCCACCGGCAATACAATTGTTTTCCGAGTCTGAACAGTGTCATTCGGCCACATCCGATTTGCTTTCCGTAGCACAGCTGGCTGGCAATTATATCGAATGGTGATTCCTACGAGGGTGTCTTCTGGCCGAACGCGATGAACGTAGACCAATGCATCCCGATCGTCCTGCTCAGCTGGTGGAGCAGATGTGGAGAGGCGCTCGTCGGAATTCCGCCTTTTTATCCGCCCCACGGCATCTGGATAGATATCCCCGTCTGCAGCGAGAAGGTCTCTCCGCTTCAATGCCCTGACCATGTTCTCCCTCTCTTCCTGTGATCCTGCGCCAATCTGTGGACCCGATGACGCGGAGGGCCCCCATTGTTTCGGTGGCGCACTGCTAGCCGTTCTGCGATGGGTAGCTTGCAATGGTCTCCTCCGCCGTGATTGCTTGCCATCTGGAGACGTATCACTTCCTAAGACATTGGAGGCGAGCCCTTGTATTGCTGACCAGGAATTTCCAAGAAGGCCGGAGAAACCTGCAGCAGCCTCCTGACTGCTTGCCTGACCAAATATGCCTGCTGAGCTTCCAATGCCGGAAAGGTTCGACCGTGGGGTTGTCCTTGAGGATTCGGCCCTGGACAGGTTCGTGCTTGGCATGGGTGACGCGGCTCGAGAAGTGAAGGGTGATGCGAAAGGCGAGGATTTGCCAGTGTTCTGTCCGCTCGTGGGATTCACGTCGGACTCATCATCGAGCCCGGATATTAAGCGGCGGTTGCGAGGTCGGAGGGACGAGGCCGTGGGCGTGGAGCTGGTCTTGGAGGAGTGGGAGGTAGTGGGGTTCATGGCCTTTCGAGCCCTGGCGGTACGGGTGGATTTGGAGCGGCATAGGACAGACGAAGCTTAACGGCGGTAAAGGGCATGGAAGACGCTCAGAAAAGCATTATCGTGGTGGTTTGCGACACGAGAGGATGCACGGAATGGGGTGGAGTTGCAGCAGAGGTGTAGGACGTTGGAACCGACCCACCGCCCAGGTGCTGACGGCCCTTCTGCGGCGGCACGGGACGACCACCAGGGTGCGCCTACTTTAAGTACACCTTCATTTGAGTAAGCTACGCCAGATAGTTGATGATTTCTGTGATTGCTACTTTATTCCGAACAGCTACAGAGACAAATTATTGCCTTCCAATCTCGTCTGATGCTGGTGAGGCCAGATGGCACCGATTCGTGATCGACCCCTCCTTTCCTTTCCTGAGCCGATAGTTCAGATAGAGAAATTTTACGAGGAGTCCGCACCCATATGGATATAGAGGGAGATGATACCACGAGCATACTTCCAATGGCTACATTTTCAAGTTTGTGCACGGGTCAAGAATAGTTTCAGGAGCAACTGCTACGTTTCGCTTCGAGCGCACCAACAACCGGGTGGTCTCTACCCTTTGTTGGTTTCGTGCTCAAACGGTCTTCAATAAGCATCACGTCTCATTGTCTAGTTGTGTTTTGAACCGCGTGAAACGAGCAACACGCTCAAGTATTTAGATTGTGCTCGATACCTTTCCTTTTGAAACATACCTTGTAGCTTCGGAAGACAGATCCTCCAGCACACGACAATCCTCAAGCCATCTCCGCTAGCAAGCACTGCTTAACAAGTAAATCAAACAGAAACCCTCAAGAAGCTCATATCCCTCCCCAGCAAGAACCCTCGACTTGCCACAATACGCCGTCCATCACTGTGTAATGGCCGAAAAATCCCAGACGGGGCATCCTTTAGATTTCCGATCACATCCCGTGATTCCTGGTATCCTCCGTTCGTTCTCTATCCCATCCCATTCGAAGCCCATTCAAAGCAGTATTTTGTTATCCGCGATCGCCGTTTAGAAGCCGTTCAAGTGATTCTCACCATTGATCCCGAAAAAGTTGAACCTATTCGTACAGAAAACGCCAAAACCGTCAGTGCGTGTTCTCGTTATTCTCTTATGTACCGTTGTACGCGGGTTGCGGATGGTTGTACATGTTCATGAGGGACGGGTCGGCGGAATTCGACTGCTGAAGAAACACGTACCAGTCCTCAACATTCAGCGTCGTGGGCACGATGGGATTTCGCCCATTGCTGCTGTTGCTCCAGGTGTCGTCGCCACCTGCTCCCTGCTGATGCTGCGCCATCATGTCAATGTGGGACGACCAGCCATTGGGGTCCGTCTGGTCGAAGCCGGGTATCGTGGCACTATGGGGTGTTTGCATGTGCTGTGAGGCGCTAGATTGCATGTTTGCGTTGTGCGGATGCATCGGCATCGTTTGCTGAGGTCGCGACAGAGCTGGGTCTACGAGACCGTTCTGAATGGGAGATATGACGGGGAAATTGACGTGGGTGTCAGCGGGAAACAGCTGATCGGGCTGGAAATTTTGCCAAAGCTCCTGAGAGATGTTGGGTGAATTCCGCGTGACTAGAAAGAGCTCCGGAGGGGTACCCGGAAACGAGTATGACGGGTTGAAAGGAGTCGTTGGACGTGTTCCAGATCTTGAAGGACCCATAAAAGCATCACTGTTTTGTCGAGGCATGTGTGGAGAGGTGGCAGTCATATTCGGCATCGATTGTTGCTGTATATCTCTGGACGGCGTGACGGCTGGCGTCTGCGGTCTGGAGCGCTCGTATGACACTTGAGCGGCTGGTGGTCCATTGGAGAAGCCAAGGTCCATGTCGTCAAACTTTCGCTTGGCGGCTGCGTCTTGTGTTGGTTTCGGAGGCGGATGAGCCACTGATTGCTTGTTCTTCTGATGTCGTTTGCCAGCAGCCTTCTGGAGCCTCTCTTCCAGATGTTTGTTTCCTAGAATAGACTCAAAAAGAGTGTGGACCATCTTCGCAACTAGCCACACCTTCGACACTTCTTTCAAGGCATCCATGCAGGTCTGAAGACGCTGCTCAGTTGCTGAGACGATTGACTTATTGGACGACCGCATCTGGTACACGTGCATGATGAGGGCTGAGAAAAGACTGTACACGCTAGGAGGGTATCAGCTGAGCTCGTTCCAGGCGGCATTGAAGACTTACATAAACGCCGGCGTATATCGTAATTCATCGTGCGCGCGTAAATTTTCAATTATTGAAGTGATCATAGCCGCCGCTTGGTAAGCAATGTTCCGAGACGGATATGCCGTTTCCTCTGAAGAGAATGCATTTGGATTCGTCTTGGGTGAGCCGGCGGGCGGCATATGGGCACGATGAAGCAAACATAACGTCGTACTGACTGATTAGCGTGGCACGAAAAGGATTAGACAAAAGACTTACTAGTAATTAGAATGAAGTAAAGCGGCCCAGAAGTGATGATTGGACCTATCCCACAATACGTCGGCAGGGCAGTGTTGCAACCAGTCCGCCAAGGCCATGTCACTGTGTGTAAGATCGATAGCGTTGGTTCGTCGATACTTGGAAGCAACAGAATATTGTTGCGATAGAACCAGGCCCATAATCTCGCAAAGCTTGACATAGTTGATGAAGAAGTGGACGTGAACGGGTTCTGGCGGGTACTCCGCAGGTCGGTCGGGCTCGTCCTCAACGAAGTCGTCTTCGGAAATCATCTCGACGTCGGAATCCTCTGGATTTATGGCCACCGGTCTGCCGAGCGCAACTGCGACTGATCGGTCTCTGGAAAATAGCGTCCACCAGATCCTCTTCCATAGTCGTTTGTCCGACCTGCTGAGTTGAGATCCTTCGACACTGGTCTGGTTAGCAGCAACTCCATGCTGAAGAACCCAACACTCTCACCTTCGGTGCATGCCGGATCCCTGGGCAACCACTATGCCTACCCTGCTCCAGTAGAATACGTTTTTGGTAACATCTGTTCATACGTTAGCTGGAAAAAGTCAATAAAGACCTCGGACTCAAAACTTACCTTCTGGGCCTTCCCAGTACCACCCCATGAGAATGACAGACTGGACAATGGTGACTCGGTCATCCTCGTAATTCGCGTCGTACAAAGCCTTTGCTCGCTTGTAGAATGTCATGGCTGCAGGTGTCGTAGAACCACTTGGGTCCATCAACTGGGGATTCGTACACACGCGGGAGCCGGCCAATAGAATTGCTTGGAGAAGTAGGAGTGAGGGTGGATTCTTCGGGTCACGATACTGTCGCATAAAGCGGCTGCGATTGATGACAGGAACCACCGGAGCCACCCATTTGAAGAAGGCTTCGACGAGTTCGTCGCATAACGCCCGTGGAGGGAGGAGAAATGCCCCGCGCTGGTGCAGAATGTCGATCTCCATGTTGTCCAGCTCGTTCACCCGGGCTTTCGCGCCTCGCACGTTCTCCGGGAGGGGATAGTGCACGACGTCGGTCGTACCGTAGCGGTCGTGGACCAGAAGGGACAGGTTCGAGGACTCCCCCAGATACGCCACACGTCCGGCCTCCTTGATGGGTGCTCTGGCAAACTTTGGCTTCATGAACTGCACATACATGCCGTTGTGCGAATTCTGCTGCGCGGCATAGGCATTGTTGATGGCCGTCGTCGGAGTGCCATCCGCTGAGTGGTATACCGTCGTCTTGTCTCGCGGTGGGCCATCAGGATTCTCGTCCACGGGGGCGGGGGACCTGTCGATCTCATTGTTGCTGTCTCCACGATCGCTGTGAGGAGTCTCCAGTCAGCCTCGCTCGTCTCGGTAGGATGCGCAACAGGGCTGTACCTCTCGCCGTCCTTCGCCTTGGCCTGGGTCTTCTTGCGCTTCGGGGTGGGGATGCGGCACTCGATGGAGAAGGCAGTGCAGTTCGTACACGGCACGCCTAGACTAGCAGCGTCGCAGCGGACCTGTCTGTGTTATTCGCTGGTTGGAGCTGGTCGAGTCTCAGGGCCTTACTTTGCGTGCATGGCATGTCTGCTCGCGCCATCTGTTAGCATAATCCAATAAATGTAATCCACCGCAGGCTGGACGAAACCTCGGTGCCGAGGCACTCTTGCAGGTAGATATAACGACAGTGCCGCGCTGGAGTAACGCGGGCGTGGAGCGCAAAACACCAGCAAAGCTATACAGAAAGAGAAAGCGGGCGCACTCACTTCACATGCCCGGCTGGCGCGCTGCCGTCTGAAGCTCGGGTGGCCGATCTGCTGCGAGTTCCTGCGGTGGGTGAGCAAGCGAAGGCCGGTCTGCGACGGCAGAGGATGCATACGGTACGGGATTGCCTTGGGGTGCCTGCGAGGCCGACGGCGCCGGTGCAGCCATGAAGCTGTGCTCGCCCGACATGCTGCGGCTTTGTGAGGACGGGTTTGCGTGGTGTTCGCCCGCCGTGATATGTAGGCACGAGGTAGCGGCGGCGGCGAGCTGGGATGTGTGGTGGGCGGCTTTCCCCAGGTCTTCCAGGCCTAGTATGTATTCTTCTAGTGGATGGGGGTGATCTGCAGAGAACACCCGTGCAGCAGACCTCTTCTCTTTTCGACTGCTCCTCCGAGAGAGCCCTTTGCGCCAAACAAGCAGAGCTGTGCAGCCTGGCGCTCTGAGCAATCGCGAGATCAAAGGTAGCGTCCGTCTCTGTCCGCTGCCGTCATCTGTAGACTCCACATCCCGCCCGCCTCCCCGCGTCCAGCGCATCATGAAGCACTCCTCAGACACAAGTTGCGTTATAATACATACAATACCCGGTACCTCTCCCGCGCCGCCATGAGATGTTGGCCTGTTGTAGGTACATTGTACTCTGGCAGATGCACCCTCCCGCCACCAGTTCAACACCAGCTCGCTTCTTCCTTCCGCGCCGCCGTATCGTTTGCTACTAGCAACAGTGAGCCCGGGAATGCCACTTGTATTATTGTTTCCCGCCACTAGTACCTGCTCAGAGCTCCTGAAACGGTGCCGTTGGGGCTGAGCACTTATGCCCTCCAACCTCAATCTTTTCACGCGTCAGGAATAGCACGGCCACACAAACACGAGCAGAAACCCCTTTCACGAGGTTCCGTACGGCTATTGTGGTCAACTTGCTCCCGCGACGGCCCTATACGACGTTAGCTCACACACCACGGGGCATCACCCGGGCCCTCTTTCGCTCTGTGACCTGGCTCCTGAAAGACGGTATGATCGAGCTTTAGGGCTGCCGCGGGTCCCTAGCGCTGTCATGCGAGCCTCCTCTGGGCCTCTCTTAGGCCCCGTCTCGACTTCTTCCGTCTCTCTTGGACGTTCTTGGAGCCACTCCGCCCACTACCAACCACCAGGTGCAACCGATTACATCCTGTCATTTCCTTGATAGGCTCCGACATAACTCCGTAGATTGACCACATTCACAATCTGCAGCTAGTCGAATATGTCACGCAATCCGTGGGAGGCCTAGTAGCCAGGTAGGGTATCCTTGCTAACGGCTGCGTCCACGTTGTGGAACGGCTGATCTATCTTCGGGGCTCTGATCACAGGTAGGACGTCCGTTGTCGATACGCTCTCCTTGAAGATCTTGAATCTGTCAATCTCCAATTGCTTCTACAGAGCTTTAGCTGAGGCTTTCTCGTTCGCTACGCGTTTCGAACTTGTCTTTGGGGTAAGACGCCTAAAGAGGTGATATTTCCTGACACTTCTCAAACAGATTGCTCCTGGCACTCGGAAACGGTCCTAGACATGAAATCTATAGTCTATGCCTGACTTATAATAACCTCTATGTTGACGTCAAACGCCACGTCTGCCTTGCAAAGCCCAGACCATGCTTCCTTTTGCTTCCATATTCACCGAGACCATTCCATCTAATCACCTTCCATTACCGGCCATGGTCCTTCCTTTATCGTATCTTCCCGCCCGAAGAACTTAGTTCTCACAACTTCTACGTTGGGGTCCACTCCCTGGGGCTAAATATGCCCAGTGACGTCCCATCTTTCCTCTTCTCCTCGACAACCTCCTCTGTCGCCCAGACGAAGGCCTGATGCTCCTACTAACAGTCAGCTAACAGCAGACGCAATCAGACTGAACCCATACCTTAGGAGCAAGAACGATCTCCAAATCTCCGTCTGTCTCTATTCCCTCGACTTCGACCTCCACGTTCACCTTAGCCCACTTGGAGGTTCTCCCAGGCCTCTTATCGTTCCACTCCAACTGTGCTACTAGTTTCACGAACCGCTTCGCCTTGAACCCAGTCTCCTCCATCAACTCCCTCTCTACACCGTGCAGAATAGTCTCATCAGAGTCTTCACTACCACCTCCTGGGATTTCCTTTTGGTCTATTAGTATCGTGATACGAAGCTGGGGAAATGACAAATGGTTTGTTTACCCAGAAGTTTGGGAATGCGCGGTCGGAAGCGCTGCGTTGGATGAGTAGTAGCCGCTTCTTGTGATACACGACAGCGCCAACCGCTAGGGCATCTACTTGCGGGTTCTGTTTGAAAAACTCTGCCCTGGTGATGGCGTATTTCTCCAGATCTGGTGGTATGGAGGTGTGGAGTGTGGAGGCACCGGTTTCTGATTGTTCGGTGGACATGATTGCAGTGAGTTTGGTCAATTGGTGGCCGATTGGCTTTGACGTATGGTGGTAGCCGGAAATCAATTTGGACTTTCACTCCAGGCTGGAAAGATGAAAACTTGAGGTGCAGGCTGATTGTCCGGTAGAGACGTCGGAATTAAGTAATTGTGGTTGCCTATCGTGTCGTCAGGGCCATACCGTGAAATATCGCGGCCTAGATAACAATAAAATATAAGCGTGAGGCTGATCTCTTTAGTCGCATCTTGGTGGTGCATTCATTGCTGCCTTACACACCGTTGCGAAAAAACATCACGAAGAACAGAAGCATTATACACATACAGCTTACGTACTGCCCAAAGGGCCTTACCCTTGCAATTATTCTCCCTTGTTATAAACAATCCCAATGTCTGACGTCCGCAAGCACATGCAAACCGCAACGGAATCCTCAAAAGGCAATTCTCGCTTGAGACGTCCGAAGCAAACTCTCCGTCCACCCGCTTTCACATGCACTCGGCCCTGAGTTGATGTACGCAGATCTAGATGCCGACGCGGCAGATCCAGGCCCGCGCTTGCCACGCGAGAGAATGATCCTGGGGCTAATTGACCAGGTGATTGCAAGGTGCGCCGGAGAGATCGTGTTTGTCGTTAGGCTGGCTTTGGTGGCGCTGAAGGAGTTCCTGCACGTGGATCCTTGGGAATAGTGTAGGACCCTGGCTATTCTAAGATGGGTGAGCGGAGATATAGGGATAGGGAGTCTAGAATAGTGGCTTATTGTGCATTTGAGGTGAAGGTGAGAGAGCGATTGTTCGAGGCACGTGATGTCGCACCCCGCCTTAGCGTTTCGCTAGCGCGAAATCCGATCTTCACGACAATCCAAACAACGGCGACTATCACCACTTCACTTCTAACCACCACCCACAGCCCACCCGCGCACATCGCTGTCAACGACCTCGACATCCGTCAATCACACCTTTACCTCTACCTGCGCTGCGAACAACGACGAAACCATGCCGCGGCCCAAGCGGACCAAAGTCGCGTCCACACGCGTCGCTCAGTCGCAAGCACCCACCGCCGTCGCAACTCGGCGCAACCCACCACGCCATGCACCCCTAGAGCCCGTCCAAATTAGCGGAGACGGTGACGGCCTAGTCATCGCCGCAACCAGACCCCGTAGGAGAAACCCGTGGGATCTCCCCGAAGAGCCCGATGTCGATTACACCATGACTGGCGGCCTGGGCGAAGGCGATGTCGCGGGAGCGCACAAGCTCATGCCAGATCCTTACGAAGCGAAATCAGCGGCGGAAGCGAAGGCGAAGCGTGCAGCTAAGAAGGTCACGCCGGAAAAGAAGCATGCCAATGCGATTGAGGCGCTGAAGAAGAAGCGGAATGAGGCCGCGGAGGCGAAGGCGAAGAAAGCGCGCAAGGACCCGTTCCCAGAAGTTGTTGTCCATTCACGAAGGAGTAGCGGAGGTCAGGCCACTGAGCTATCGAGTGAGAATAATGAAGAGCCGACATCTGCGCAGAAGCCGGCCCCGTCACCAACTCCAAGTCCCTCGCCTGCGAAGGGGGCATACCCAGCCTCAGCGCTCAAAGCGCAGGGAACTCCGGCTATGGAGACGTCGATGATGGCATTGACGAACTTTAAGAGGAGGTCGCGACAGCCCAGTATTCTGCGTATGGTCCAGCAGCCCAGTTCCGACAACAACGACAGCGATGTCGATCTGAATTTCTTGGACGACTTCAATCCGGATGATGAGTCAACGCCAGTCCACGTACACAAGCGAACGGGAGGAGAAGAGGCAGGCCAGGAGAGCACCTTGCGATCGACCAGCACTGGACAATCCTCAGGCTCCAAGAAGCGCAAAGCTCCATCTCCAGAAGTCCAGGTCCTAGCATCATCTCCACCCGCGCCATCCTCACCTCCTGCGGACTTCCCACAATCTAGCCCTCTCTCACGCCTTGCAACACCTTCCGAGCACATTCTAGAAACCCAAGAGAATCAGCCCTCAGTTTCTCTACCCCAAGCACCTGAAGAAGTCTGGAGCTCAACCATGGCGCCCCCGTTATCCAGCAGCCCCGAGCCATCCAGCCCCTCCAAGCAACCCGAAGAGCGTCATTCTAAACGCCGCAAAACCAATGAGTTTGACGACCTCTACGATGTCACGCCCCGCGCCTCCGACGACGAAGCCGAAGTTGCTCCCTCTGCCAAGCCAAAGATACCCGTGAAGGCGAAGAAACCCACCCGCGCACCCACCCTCTCAACCGCAAAGCTCCAAGCCCTCCTCCCCCGCCGCCGCCAGCGTCCTCGCCGGGCTGCTGAGAAGGAAGACGAGTTCGATATCCCCTCCTCCGATTCCCTGGACACCCACATGCTCGACTCGGACCAAGACGAGCTCTCCATCGTCGCACCGCGCCGCAGGGTAACCAAGACGCCCGCCCGTGGTCAACCAGCCAAGGCCGCGAAGTCACTTGCGCAGCTCAGCGCTAAGAAGAAACCTGCCGAGACGAAGGCGAAGAGGGGTCGGCCGCGGAAGGACGTTAAGACCGCTGGTGTGACAACGGCGGCGGCGGCACCTACGCGGACGTACGGGCGTAGGCATTCTGATAAGGAGAACGAGAACGAGGACAGTGTCTGGGTGGCTGGTGAGACGGAGGATGAGCTAAATCAAGAGGGCGAGACGACGATCGAGGAGGTGCTGATGAGTCGTGAGCTGCGGGAGCAGGCGGAGAAGTTCCGGAAGATTGACGAGGTCAGCCTTGAGTTTGAGAGTGTGGATCATGGAAGTTCGAGTCCGTGGCGATGAGCGGGATGGGTGGACACTGCGACGAACGGTATTCTAAAATTGGGGAAGTTGAAGAGCTTTCAAATGTCTTGAGGTTTCTTGATGTGGATGCGGTATCAGCTTGGCTAGGCTACGAGGAGCGGTATGGATGCTGCGACTGATTGTTTTCTAAAAATTGGAGAAGGCGAGGTGTTCTTGAGTTACATGCGATGTTGGCTTGGCTAGGCTATGATGAGCGGATTCAGCGTCTCATTGATGGAGTACATGGTATGGCACGGCACGAAGTCCACACGAGCGATGAATTATGGACGGGCGGCTTCTTTTGATTTTTTTTGCTGAGAGCGATCTGCGGATCGTGTATATCAGACCCGAGTAGGGTTCTTGAGAGCGACTCGTGCTCAGTGGTTCTAGGCAGATTGTCTAGGAATTGATGATACTTAGATCTTGAAACTCTGCCTCCACGTCCTGCCTGCTTGTGTTGTGCTTTGCACTGTGATGCTGCATATCCTCGGAGCATTCATGCTGACGTGAAAAAGGACACCATGAGGTGTTGCATGCGAGTAATGAGAAACCCCCCCTTCCCCCCGCCCCCGGGGGTTTCCAGTCAAGCCTTCTTCTTAAGCACGCCCCAAATCCTAGGCAAGCAACTATACGGCTCATCGTCCACGACAATGTCACCCGGGTTCTCCCACTCCCCAGCAGCCAGGATATCCGCCTTGATATCCCGATGCAGACAACACCCGACGAGAGCGCTCCACGCAGGATTCCAGCAAACTAATTCTCATATCAGCCCCCTCCGCACAGTTTCCACGGCACATCCCTTAATGTGATAAAACTAAATACGTACCTTGCGCCACAGCCGTCGCAGCATCCCTACTCCTTTCATGCTCCCAAAACACAAAGCTGCCCCCGGGCCTCAACAGCTTCCACACCTCCCGCATCACGCTCTTCACATCCCCCACCGCGCACAACACCTGGATACTCAGCACCGTATCCATACTCCCCTCTGTAACCCCCTCCCGTCGCAGAATCTCGCTGTCTTCAACACCGCACACGAGAAACTTGTACTTATCCTGGCGATCAAGTTTCTCGAGCTTCGCGGCAATGGCGGCGCCATAATGCGGGTTAGGATCAACGGCGTACACGAAGTCGACGCGGGATGCGTCGTAGCGGTGGATTTGGTTGCCGGGGCCGGGGCCGAGCTCGAGGATTGTGCCGTGCGCGGCGCGGACGAGGGAGGGGACGACGGTGGTGTTTTCGAAGGCGATGAAGCCGTCGGCTGTGCACATGAGTCAATATGTAGGGGGTGCACGAGAGTTAATTATCTAGGGGGTGGAGTTGAGTTGAGGACAAGGGAAGTTACACGTTATGATGAGGAGTTTTGCTTTGGCGGCGTCTCGGATTCGGTGGGGATGGGTAAGGGAAGCGAGGCCGTCTTTGCGGAGGGCTTCTTTGAGAGCGGCGTAGTGCACTGTTTTGGGGGAATTAGTAGGGTGGTGTAGGGGAGGATGAGGATGGGAGGATGAGGATGGGAGAATTACATTGGATGGAGAGCCAGATGAGCAGGAATGGTCGGAAGATGCCTCGGAGGCGGTCTTTAAGGGCCATGGTGCTTTATTTGATGACTTGTAAGCATAAAGACGATGATTGTAGCGAGGCAGTGGTAACTCACGTAATTCAAACGACCTCGGGAGGATTTGTGTAAGAAAGCAAAGTATGCGCAAGAATGTAGCACACCAAGTGGGTAGCGCAACATGTAAGAAAGAAAGTGTGGGAGGAATCTCTCAGAATGATTTTATATGCGGGCCAATGTCCTGCTCTCACATGGAGGGGTAAGCGGGAAGCTGGACGTGCCCCATTGGTTTGATCATGGGCCCCACGTAGCTTGAGTCATGGAGCATTGACAAGAAATATGGAGCGTCCGCCGGGAACACTAGGTATATGCTTTTTGAGATTGGAAAAAGAAGCGACAAGGTAAGCTCTTGTCCAGCGGCAAAGCTCTTGCCCAGCGTCGAGGTTATCTTGCGACAGAGCGGGTCGGTAGAAGGAGGTTTGGGGTGAGCTGTGGGAAGTCTGGGAGGTCTCCGAAGGCTGGGAGGCTGCTAGTCCTTTGGGATGGGGGAAACGGTTGTCTTATGGAGCGCGAATGACGTGAATTTGAGTGGTTCGCTACAACACATGCTACAGCGCACTACCAGCACACTAAGCCCAACGCAGAACCTGCCATGTCGTTCCGAATGTGGCTAGCGCTGCATGCACGGAACTACAATCCGTGGACACCGCGGTGTCTCTGAGCTAGCTGAGGTGAAAGCGCGAACACTGGACGTGCGAGAATTGGCTGTCGGACAGGCTAGATTCTCTGCGGCAGCTAAGAAGTAGGACTGGCGCGTGTGCACGTGCATAGACTACTCGGGCCCCGGCCCGAGTAGATAGCAGCCCGCACCTGTTATAAGCCTACATTTAGAAAAGATATATCTCATTATCAAGTAAGAATGCCTAAGCGCTAAGACTTATAAAAAGTCTACTATTCTAGTGGCGTTAAGGATAGCGTCTCCAAAGATATCCTGTACCCATGACTCCATCTGAACGATCAGACTTTCCACTTAAGTATCTTTTAAACACGCTGCCCCGAAGGAGTGGGAAAGGGCGGAAAGACATGGCCAGGGAAGGCGTCGAGATCGCTTAGTCTACAAGGGCTGGGCTTGTGCCCTGCATATATAGAGATGTGATGTTACATAGATGTGAGACTTTGAGTTTTGGAGGTGGTGGAAGGAGAGGATGCCGGAAGGCCAGGAAAGAAGACGGACGGAGGGAGGACGAAGTTAAGTACTTTTTACAGCTTGCCAAGGCCGTTATGGCTGCCGTAGCTTGGGAGAACCAGACCGCGCGCACGAATACGAATTCAAGAAGCTGGGAGCGGGATCAGAGTCATTTGTTTCGCCTACCCACGGTACGTTTAGAGGGCCGCGATGATAGGGGTCAACACAATACGGGGAACTAGCAGACATTCCAAGTATAAGCAGCTAACGCAGATGACAGAAATATTAAACTAAAAAGAGGAACATAATCTCTAATCAGGAAATTTGCGGGAAAATAAGGATATCAGTCTATCCCGCCATACGTCCCACTGCTTGCGGTGCCCTAGCCGGAATTTGAATGTCTGGTAGGTTGCTGCGTTCATCCAGATATGTCGCCTTTTGAAGCCGCCCATGGGCCCAGTGAGAAATCTGTTGACGATGACGGATGAAGAGCATCTGATGCGAAGAATTTTCGAAGAACCGGGCGACCGTAGCCTGCTACTGAGGAGCTGGGTTCGAGTACCCTGGTTGTAGAGGGAAATGTGACTCTGAGGTGTTCATACCGCGTATGCGCAGCAACACGTCGTATCTATGAAAAATTCTTGAGTGCAGTTGACCTAAACGTTTATTGTAAGGAAAAGCTAGAGGAGAGATCTTCTAGAAGGACTTCGATGATTTGAAGGACGCTGGCAAGGGCTCACAAGGCATGACCGCTGAATTTCAGCTCTCCGCGTTCCCATTCCAATACGCTCCGCCCTTCCACCTCGAAATAACCTCGAAATTGAACCATTTCTTCCCTTTCCAGCTTCGTTCAGTACTCCTCATCGTCCAATCGTCGTCGATACCGGCCCCAAACTTCCTCTCTAAACCGCTCCCTCTCGTGTTGGCTCCCATGGTTACCCTCCTCGCTACCAAAGTACTGCGTTCTCTTTTTCTCAGCCGACCTCCATTCCCGTGGTTCTAATATCTCTTCTCGAAGCATCCTCATCCTCGCCACCAAACCCTCAGCACCGCGCTCTGACGATGCCCGAGTATAAAAACTCCCATTTACCCCGTCTCCTCCCAACTTCACACAAACTCCAACAACCACACACACACTCAAGCTCTCACACTTCAATCCACAACCAAACCAAACCACTACACTCTCACACCTCAGCTCAAACACACACCTCTCTCCCCCTCTGCAAACCCACACACACACACACACGCACCTCTCTCTCTCTCCCTCTCTCAAACCAAACCAAACCAAACCAACCCACGCAAAGCCACTCCAAAATGGTTTACCCCATGACCGCCACCAGCGCCGCCGCCACCAAGCGCACCTCCCAGAAGTGCACCTGCGGCTGCAACTCCCTCACCGGCACCCTCTTCAGCGGCCCCACCTGGTCCCTCGCCGAAGAAGTCGCCCGCAAGAGCTCCCAGCACACCCACAAGAACGTCGCCAAGCAGCTGGGCTCCAAGGCCGCGAAGGCGCTGTCGAGTGTTTTTGATTTTTGAGTGCGAGAAAGAAGTTTGTGGGCATATGTGGCCGAAACGCGTGTGGGCGCTTCGGCTAACAGTGCACAGTGATTCGACGAGATGAGATGGATACGTGATACATGGAGGAGGGAACTATGGGCGTTGAACTTTTTTTAATGGGACGGGGCGGAGTTTTAGGGGTGCGGATTGGATAGGAGGTGTCAGGTGACGGGGGCTTTCGTGGTTCTTGCATAGCTATTGGGTACGCGACGTTTTGGGGTTTGGGTAGAGCTTAGATTGAGACAGCGGGATAAGCGCATGAGCGAATGAGGATACGTTTCTTCCCTTTTTTTTTTTTTCGTGGAGACCTTGCTGTGACGTGACGTGATGAAGATGCGGCTGATGTGTGACGACGTGACAAGAGTCTTGCAACACCACAACTTGCTTCTTCGTGTCATTGCCAAAGTATGAACAGAGGCGGTGTCGGGATATTCGAAAGAAAGAGCGACCTTAGACACAGGTATGAAAACTGTTAGAGTTCTAGGTTATAAGTTTAGGCGCTCGAATATACTACTGCACCAGCTCTTTTCTTGCTGGTTCGACACCGCTGTGAAGATGGCCTTAGCTAGCAGGTATGGGGTTGAACAGAAGGTGGTCTAATTTCTAATTTGGTAGCCTTTTCATCGTATCTAGAGCCTCAAAAACCTATTAGTGATGAATCGATATGCTCAGATTCCTCGTTTGCTGTCTCGTCACTATTGCTAGGAGTACCCTAGCCAGAGGGTGTTCACTTGCCCAGAATGTAGCCTAACACTCGCTGCATTGACCTACTCATCGTGTTTACGGTCTTAGAAATCTCTCGGTGACGGAATGGGTGCGCTTAGGCTTCTGTCTTGCTGTCTCGACACCACCGTGAAGAGTACTCTAGCTGGCAGATATTTAATCAGCCAAAAGGTAGCCTACCTTCCACTGCATCGAGCTTTACATTGCGTTTAGGGTTTCGAATGCTGATAGGTGCACCCCAAGCAGTGGCAAGAAAGAGTGCTGCCCAAACATACGTCCCGGGATTGTATTTTATGACTGAAGTCAATGGCCTTCACTTCTTCTCTTAGTCAAAACTCACACGCCCCAAGTCCCACCCCACCTCCCCATTCCTCTGTAGATCCACATTTACAATGCCAGTCCTCTTTCTTATTCCTATTCCGACACACCGCGCAGAACCACTGCCCCTCCCCCAATATCCCCTCCCTCGGCCACTTCTTCTTCAACTTCCTCTGATCACTCTTGCCCGCGCCACATCTATGACAACTCTCCCTCTCCGCCCCGTTATACACGCCACAGGATATCGCAACACACACCCACTCTCCTTTCAGCAGTTTATGGATCGGCTTCGCAGCCTCTTTCGGCGTGCCGCAAGTAGAGTTATGGCACATTTGCCAGGTGGAGTGGTTGTGCCAGCCGCAGCTAGGCAGGCCGCAGAACCAGTCGCCGGGGTGCCAGTCGACGGACAGGGGCCGGGGGTCAAAGGGGAATCTGAGAAGTTCGGCAGGTGTGGGTGGTGGCGATGGCTTCTCGAAGCGTTTCTTGTGGCTCCGTTTTTCCCCAAAGGTCAAGTGCTTTCGGATTTGAAGGGGTCCGGGAGTCCTCAGGAGACTGGGAGAGGGGTCAGAGGGAACTTTGAGAATTGTAAGAGGCATAGGTGGTGGCGATAGCTTTTTAGAGCGTTTGCTGATAGTCCGGTTTTCCCTAAAGACCAGGCGTGGTCGGACTTGAAGGCGTCCTGGAGTCTTTACGGGAGTAGAAGTTGCAACCCGCATTGGGGCTTTCGCGTGACTAGGAGTTTCCAGGTGACTTGGGATGTTTGCGCACTTTCGAGCCCTCACTTGCTCGTACAATGTTACATATTTTTGGATTCTTACGGGTTTCGCGGAAACAGACTGGGGAGTTGCTACCCGCGTTGGGACTTTTGCGTGACTAGCATTTCCCAGGTAACTTCGGATGTTTGCGTGCTTTCGAGCCCCCACTTGCTCGTGAAATGTTACGTATTTTTGGATTCTTACGGGTTTCGCGGAAGAAGGCTGGGGATCTGACTCTGTGACTCTAGGAAGGTCATCCCCATGCAATTTACCCGCTTTCGAGACATTCAAGCCAGACGGTGCAGATCCGTTGCTAATCTTTATGTTTTTCAAGGCAGGACTCTGCGCCAGGCTTTTTCCAGCGGGCTGGGATTCCGTTTCTATGCCTTTTGAACTATCCTGGCCCGCTCCAGGTGTCTTCTTAAGTGCTTCAAATTGTGCCTTAATACGCTTGTATCTCGCAAATGGATCGACTTGCTTCGGTGGGTCTATCTTCCTAGATGTGCTTCCGGACTGTGAGTTGATCGGTTTCTCGGTGACATCCTTGGCAGTGGGCTCTGTGACTTTAGCGTTGGGTTCATTTTGTACGGAAAACCTTCTTATTTCTATCTCCTTCCCGAGAAAGTCATCCCTGGTAGTTGCCACGGGTGGGATAGCTCTCACAGGCTCTTCAACCAATTTCGGGATATCCCTAGTAGTTGGATCGGTCTCAGTCCGTAACTCCGGTATCCTATGAGAGCTTGCTACTCCTCGTACTTTCCTTAGCAGGGTTGGGGAACTACTTGGTTGTCGGTGCGGCGTGCATGATTGGCGCAATACACACGGCACACGCGTAGTCCTCGTCATGGCTTATGCTCAGGTTGACAATTTCCCCTTCCAACTCCTGCACCCTCTTTGCGTTATCTTGTGCCTCTAGTGCCTGGAATATCGCGTCGTGCTTGTTGAGGGACCTGAAAGGTTTGATTGTGCTTATAGGAGTAGGTTTAGATTCAGCTTTTGTGTCGTCGAAAGGACTATCGAGGACGACAGCGTAGACACCGCCAGACGATGGGTCTGAGGGGTCCTTTGGATGGGGTAGCACAACCACGTCACGGAGGAGTATACGGCGTGGCTTAACGGCTTTTATGACGGCTTCTTTGGCGGCCCATCTACCAGGAGCTTCAATCAGCCTGTAGTCGCAAAATTTTGAGCCGAATCTAGAGGGCCAATGCTGACTGTGTATACCTTCCGGCAATGTGTTTGCTTATGATATCAATTGACACATCATTGCCCCCAAATCGAGCCCAGTAGTAACGCTGTTCGAGCGGGTGGTAGATTCGGTTGAGAAGCTTGTTCAGGCGCTGGGAGCGCTGCGATACCGCGGTGCGGGAGGGAAGGCCGGGAGCGATGAGAAGGCGCACTATGCGGGGAACATGGCATAGGTCAATTCCAACGTTATAGGGGAGAGCAAATGGGCGCGGCGCCATGGGCGCTGGCGGACTGGAGGTCCATCAAATGAAGCTTGAAGCTCGAATAAGGTCGGAGCTCATCATTGGATGAATTGAGACCGGACCGACCTTTCACCGTGAAGATCATGTGACCTTAGCCGTCTCCATCCTTTACCTTTGTGCCACCCGACTGTAGCCTACTTTCCATGTAGGTGGAGATTCGGATCCGATTAATGTGGAAGTTTTCTCTTGGGGGGCCGGATCAAACTCTGACCACGTCTCTAGAGAGCGTGTGACCTCGATCTTCTACATGTCAACACCAGAATGCGAACCGGGCCCCCGGCTTTCTAAACGTACGCCCAACCTTATCGTGCTCCTTCACACCCTCCAGTCTTGCCACCTGCCCGCATCGTGAAGGCTGCGCCGATCTAGCTATGTATAATGATGCTCGCCCACGAGGATCGGCCTGTTTCGTCTTGTCAAACAGTCGTCGGACTTCGAACAACACCCCTGCGTCCCTACTCCCACAGCCCTGAACCCCGACGAGGGACCTCCACATTCGCCCATTCGCCATTACCAATATACCGTCGGCGATGCACGGTGTTGGTTACCCGATTCTCACTCACACAATGTGTTTAGTGTGCTGACCTCAAACATGCGCGGAGTTTTTTTGTGCGCTGGAGGGCGACGCGGGCCCGGCAATCAGGCCAAAATGGCGCAGGTGGGAGGACAGATATATTCCACAGTGCAGCACAACGGACCCCACGCCGCCTCTCCTTCTCTTTCACTCGTATCTTGCGCTGCTTGTCAAAGTTTGCGTCTGCTAGTCTCTTGTAGTATCGAATGATTTCTTCTTAATATCCATACTCTCGTCACCATGGTCCCCCGGAAGTTCAAGCTCATGTCCCCCCGCCTACCAGGCGTCCAAATCCTGAGCCTGGATTGTACACCCGTAGAGTACCAGAAATGGCGCCGAGCAGTGCGGTCTGCCATGACCAATGCTTCACCAGACGCGTGGCAGCACTGCGATGGTAGCTGCAGCTGTCCGATGCCCATGCCCGCCGACCGATGCAGCCTCAAGAAGGAACCACAGCCTCAGCTGCTTGAAGAGCGCCGCGATTGGGTGCGCAAAGACCGTGCCGTGAAGCTCGATCTCTTCCTCTCCATCTCCGATGACATCAAAACCGATCTGTTTGGAGTAGGACCACCACTACCGCCCTCTGCACCAACTGCAAATCAGATGCTCGAAGAGCTGGATGAGCGTTTCAGCCACTACACATTTGACGACTACCATCACGCCTTCTGCTACTTCCTGAACCTGCATCTCGACGACTTCGAGCACCTCGATGAATTCCACAATGAGTTCCGTGGCATACTCCTCGAAATGGAAGACTTCGGCCAACCCCTTAATAACACCCAGGCGTGCTCGGCGTACTTCTCTAAGCTCCGCTGCTGCCAGAACCCCTGGGTGGCGCGCAAGATAAAGGAATGGGACACCCTCGAAGAACACCCGACCATTGAGTCGCTGATGGCAGAGGCCCCGAAATGGATGATCATCAAACCGCTCGATATCAAAAACCCCGCCGACGGCCCCGAGGACGCGACGCTAGTCGGAAGCGACACCGAAATAGACACTTCAGACCGCCTCCCTGTCCGCCCAGAACAACTCCAGCAGAAGCTCCAACGTCTGCAAGACCTACAGCTTGATCTCGAAAGGCAGCATCAACGGAAAGAAGAGATTCAACAGCAGCCAGAGCACGAAGAAATCACCATCCACGCCAGCCCCGAAGCCCTCCACGCCGCCCAGCCCCCTCCCCGCAACCCGTCGCGCATGAGCACCCACACCGTCCGCACAATCACCTCCAAGGCGTCGCAAGAGCGCCCTCTACCCCCGCTACCACAAGAAACGGCCCCCGGCCACATCGTCTCCCAACTCCAACCTCCAGTCATGCCCCGCTCCTGTCCCCAATCACCAAACGCCTCGCGCCCCGTGACCCCGGTGCTGAACTCCTCCCGCCCTCGCCAGCCCGAGCCGTCTGTCTCTAACACCTCGAAACTGCGCCCGAAGCTCGCGGAGCTGAAGCTGCCGTCTGAGCTTAGAATTCCCGCGCATATGATGATGCCGCCGCAGCTAGTATCGTCGCAGCCGCGTCCGGCGGACTCGTGGAGTCTGCCCATGCAGGGGACGGACATGGTGGGCCCGCCAGCGATTAGGGTAGGTAGGGATGGGCGGAAGAGGAGTCGGGCGAGCTGAGGGGTGTAAAGAGTGTGGTAATGTTTTGGGTAGAGCGGGAGTTTGGGGATATCTAGAGGCGTCCGAGGGGCGGTTGTGTGCGTACGCTTGATATAGCTTAGTATCCTTCTAATTTGCGCCCTCGAGCTTTTGACATCATGTAGGCGTCGCTTTCAATTAGCCCTGGGGCGTAATCAGTCTTCTAGTGCTTTGTCAAAATGTTCACGTGAGGACTGCGATCTAAACTCTCAAGCCTTCAACATCGTACGGCTGTTGCTTTTAGATAGCCTAGGTCTAAATCGCAGTTCTCACGTGAACATTTTGATACAGCACTGGAAGATTAAGTACACCCCTGGACTAATTGAAAGCGACGCCTACACGATGTCAAAACATCGACGAGCTAGATCAGAACATCGAAGTTTATAGTTCAAATGAGGGGTAATAGGACCCCCCCAAGTCTTTGACATCGTCCGGCTGCCGCTTTTGAATAGTCCAGGGTATACTTACCCCTCCTACGCTTCGTGGACTTTGATGTTCTGATCTAGCCCCTTGAGGGTTTATCATGTAGGTGTCGCTCTTAGTTAGCCCAGGGATGTTCTCAATCCATTCGAGCTGTGTCAAAACGTCCATGTAACGGACTTCAATTCAAACGTTCCAGTTTTGACATCGTGTGCGTGTCACTTTCAATTAGCCCAGAGGTGTATTCAATCTTCTAGTGCTGTATCAAAATGTTCATATAAGGACTGCGATTTAGAGCTGTTATTTGTTTACATGGCAATATAATTCGGCAGATTTAAAGTTCTAGTCTAGCTCCTTAAGTTTTCAACGTTATGTAGGTGTTGTCTTAGTTAGTCCAGGGGTGTAGTCATTTCTTAGGTTAATTACTTAATAAATAGTCTATCTTTTCATCTTGCTATAGTCTTATTACTTTCATCTTACCGCTAAAACTACTAGGAAGATAAAAAACACTTACCTAAGAGGTAGTCTAGAGAACAGCCTAAATCATTCAGCATAAGTGCTGTTCGCAAGAGTACACCTCCCTTTCATTCACCCCTGCAACCTTACATCGGCTTACCCCGGCAACGCGTACTTCTATTCACTATGACAAGATCATTTTAATTTGCATTGAACTTCGCTTATCCTATCAACGTCATCAAGTCCTCCAAAGCACCGGTTACCATCGCTTTATAACACTTTTCTTCCCCGTGCTGGTGCTATAAACCAACGTCATCGTCAACGTCCCTACCTCACCTTCCACCTTACCTCCACCCTCACCTCCAACCTCACCTCCAACCTCACCTCCAACCTCACCTCTTCTTTTCTCTCACTAACTCACTTCAACTTGATATCCTCACTACACCACCACCAAGCACATCGGTGTTGCGAAATGGCGTCTGATACCTTCGACGCCGGGGCGGTTGATGATGAGCTTGGTAAAGTTGAGAAAGCAGAGGCTGCCATCAACCTCAACGAGCGCAGCTCCGGCGGAGATATTCCTACCTCCTCGAGCAATTTTCCCACCTCCTCGAGCAATGTTCCCACCTCCTCGAGCGACCTTCTCACCTCCTCGAGTGATCTTCTCACCTCCTCGAGTGATGTTCCCACCTCCTCGAGCAATGTTCCCACCTCCTCGAGCGATTCCAGCGACATCCTTCTGGCACAAAAGGAACGACGTGAAGAGATTGCGAAGACCGAAGTGGACTTGAAAGCGCGTACCAAAGTGCTCCAAGCCGAGCTACACCACATCAATAGGACTCTCAAGGCACTTAAAGCTGAGGACAAGGTAAGCATTCTGCCTTCATTGCTTTGCGCTTCGAGATGCGATGAGAACTTGACACTGATATCTTTTCCAGCAGTTACTTCAGTTGATAAACTCGCAACATACCGCCAACGACACCGAGCATATCCTAAAACCCACCTCCCACCATGGAAAGCATGCCCCGGCCAAATCAGTCGCGACTGAAACTTCTCCTTACCTCAACAACTCTGCCGCCAATAAGCATCTCAATAAAGCTCAAGTTCATAGCCACCAAGAGGAGACTTCGAGAGCTAGTGCGGCAAAGACGCATGTGCGTCGGGATCGAAGCGCTTCCCCAGTTCGAGAGCACGTCGGAGGCACCGAAGACCGTCGTCGGGATGAAGGACAGCTTGAGAAGATGGAGGCTGCACGACCCGAGCGCCCCAGAAAGACTCCTAGTATGCGAAGCCTTCGCCATACATCTATATTCGCGGCTACTCCTAAAGCCCCGACTCGGATCGTGAATCAGTTTGGAAAGCCAACTGTTGGTGTCCCCGGCCCGTTGCAAGAAGAAGATTCATTGGCTAGGTACGGCTTCCCTACAGTCGTGCCATACCAAGATTCCTGGTATGAGCTTCGATGCCCACGCTGCAACGGCAACGCCATCTGGCCCGACAATACTCAGGTTGCCACTACTAGCGTGTCAGTGGCGTTACATCCTTCCATATCCGTAACAAGGGGGAACAGGGGAGTACCCCCCCCCTCCCCCCCCCTTTCATAGGCTATATATACGGGCCTTATGCCTCTTCAAATCAACACAGAACTGCTTCTTCACAACCTGAGAACAATGGCGCGCCCGACTACAAGAATGAGTGGATCAATGGAGCTTTAGGTTTTCAGCGTCATCTGCGCACTGCGCACAACATTGTCAAGCACCCACGCTTGGTGGCAAAGGAGTGCTCCGTCCGCGAACTTACAGTCAAAGAGGTTCGCAGCATTGTGACTGGAGCTGCAGATGCGCCTATGATCCGCCTGGAATGGTGCGAGGATCTGGCGGAGTAACCTGCTCCGGCCAAGGGCAAGCATACGAAGGACTAAGGCAACAGTACAATAGGTCTGTAGATGGACATGGGGAGACTGTGATTTCTTCCGGTCACTGTGCTCAGTGATGCGTCTTTGTTGCATTGGGCAGCTTATGTGAGGTGAATAGAGTCTCCGGTGAAACTGGGTTCTTTTGATATAAGATAGGGAAAGCTTCTGGATTCCTGTGGTCGTGGGGGTTCATGGTAAGCTTCCTGTAGTCATGATACAACAGCATCAACCTGTTTATCTTTCTTGCCCCTCTTTGGTGTGTTTCAACGAGTTTTCCAGAGCCCATGATCCTGGTCTTGTAACTGTGAGACCCACTGCATATCGTATTGTCGCACTAACGTATTTCACGGGTAAGTGGGCCACCCGGGTAAGTGGGCCACCCCATCAAAAATTCGCAAGACGCGACGCATGATGCAACTACAACCTCAATGCCTCCACCACAACAACAAGATAACCTCTTCAAAGAGGGCAGAATTGAGCTAGCTATCAATGCATACAAGCAAGGCCAAATTACAAGCTTCCGAGCCGCCGCTAGCACCTACGACGTGCCCCGGAGTACAGCCCAGCGACGCATTAAGGGCACCGCGTCAAAACGCGATTCTATCGGACCAAATCGCCGTCTCACGCCTGCACAAGAAGAGACGCTTAAGGAATGGATTCTATCAAGAGATCAACGCGGTATGCCGCCACGAATTGAGGTTGTACGGCAGATGGCTGCGTTGTTAGCTGCACAGTATGGACCCGCCAAACCCATCGGCAAGAATTGGGTGACAACCTTTGTCAAGCGCCACAACGATATACAATCCAAATTCAGTCGCAAGTACATTTATCAACGGGCTAAATGCGAAGATCCTGTTCTTATTCAAGGCTGGTATAAGCGTGTATATAATATACAGATGCAATACAGAATTCTAGATAATAATACCTGGAACTTTGATAAGACTGGCTGCCAAATAGGTGTTATCGCAACAGCTGCTAAAGTTATTACTGGAATAGATCGCGCTGGCTGTCCAAGAACAATACAACCAGGCAATTAAGAAGGACGAGCTTAATTACCACCCCCCTATTCTCTCCGCATCACCCCCCTTTTCTCTTCCTGCCACCCCCCCTACATCTAGCCTAGCGCCGG